ATATCCTGGTGATCTCAGGGATGTATTTGATGTGCGAGCACTGTTAACAATGATTTCGTTCTCATCTTTCTCTGTTTGCATAGAGTTCTTTGAATCTTTGCGCTTGAATAAACCCATTGTTTCAAGTGGGAGTTTCACCCGATAACTCAAGGGTTGAAAGGGGGGAAGGGGGGGAGAGAATTTGAGGAAGAGAAGTTCAGATGTTCAAGGGAGGGGGTCACATCTGGATGTGATGTTTTTTTTTTTTTTTTTTTTTTTTTTCGAGCATCAAAAGGGCTCTAGGAGTAAAAAATAAGTAAAAATGAAATGTTATTATTTTTTTATGGGGCTTTGACCGAAGCTGTTTAGACGGGCTAGATGTATTAATAATTTTGATATGGAGTCTAAGGGGGGGATCTGGCAAAGTTCGAGTCTGGATCGAGAAAGCTTGGGAGGTATCAGGTACAATTCACTAGTACTGTATGCAGAATGATATTACAAGGTCTCAACTGACTAGTGTCATATGCACATGTATCATTATCGATAATTTCATACAGTCATTGTGTACAAGGACCGATTACCGCAATAGGTATGGAGATGGGCCCCGGAGCAATGAACCAGTCGGAAGGCAAGAGAAGGAAGTATTCCACGCCCTAAGTGAAGAATGGAAATATGAGGCGCCACCAAGTGGTACGTGTAGAGATTAGCTCGATCAGCCCATACCTGATGGGACTATAATAGGTGAGAAGGTGAAAGAGAATGTAAATGCACGGACTAGCGTACCGTTCAAAAAACAAAGGTACGGCTTGCCCTGTGCGGAATCCACTTCGGACTTCAAGTATATGGATCTGAATGGCCTATCGCGCGTTAATTCTCGTATCTGAAGCGCATGTAAAGTTTGTCTGATTCTTCAATTACGTTGAGGATTCTGGAATTTTGGAATTTTGGAATTCTGGAATTCTGATTTTACATGTGAAATCCCCCATGCGCCTTTGGAAAACAACACCGAGACCCGGAGAATTGACTTGGCTTCATGGTGTCTAGACCTATCAGCTAGAAGAGGAAGGTGTCGCTTCTAAAATACTCCAATATCTCTCAGGCCCGGTTTCACATTATACTATGCCCCTCCTGGAATGGTGTCCAGCTGTGTACCACGGAGTACAACGCACGGAGGTCCCTATGTACATCATAACTAGATATGAGTGGTACATGCATATGTAGTTCCATCTTGATTTGTCAACTATATACATACACTGCATGGTACATGTCGAACAGCAAGGATAGCATCTATGACGTTGACGTTCCTGATTAGGGGGCTCATCTCCGGACCGTTAAGCCCCCCGGGGGCCATTTATACAAATGCCATCCAAGGACCCAACTAACGCGGGAAGCACGGGCCTGGCCACTCTGTTGGGTTTCACATTAACTTATTCACTTGTTCGATTTTCTGGCCCTTTTTTTTTCTTCTTTTTGTGAAAATGACATCTCAAAAAGTATTGTAAGTACTACGGAATACAGAATACGGAGGCGACAATACGTACGTATTGATTATTATTGTGCGAAGTGACTAACCCATAATAGCCGGGAGCCCTGATGGTCAGGGGCAATTCCATGAGATCCACCGATTCGATTTCCATTCGCTACCGCGCGGCTCGTCTTCCCGAGGGGTTCCGCTGTGGTGAAAAAAGCGGAGTTCCGACTTGCCTTTTTCCCGCATGGACTTGAACACGGAGGACTCCGTACAATAGATGGGAAGGGCATTCGATATGAATCCCCAGATTCAGCCCTTGACTTCAGTAAATGATCTATCACTAGTCCGTACTGGGAACTCATTTTTGGGGATTGTGCCTGGAAAATGAGTCGAATGCCACTGATAATATAAATCTAACATTTGGTCTAGATTATCGATTGGATACAAAGCACCCCGTGCTGTACGGAGTAGATGGAATTAAGTATAGGCGTGATCACTTGATTGGCCTTGTCATCGGCAGTTCTAACATTATTTCTGTTTATATTTCCAAGGCTCTTTTCGGTCCTGTTGAATATGTGGTCCCATTAGGTAGTCTGCCCCATTGATCTACCACGTGACTACCCGTGGACTTCGGAATCAGTACGGAATACGGAGTAGGTAATCACTCCTTACTCAAGAATGGCTTGATGAGAATGAATAACGTAGGATTCTATTCTGGTTGCTTTTCTTGTTTAGGGAACTCAGCAGCCCTTCTCATCAAAATTACCAACCGACCAAATGATTGGGCTCCCAAGCGGCCTTCATGGCTAACCGGTCTCGATGAACTCGAAGCCATTGAGCACTCTGCATATCTTATCGAGGATGACATTGAGATTGATCCTGTTAGGAGGACCCTATCATGGGCGATAACCCTGTGGAAGAGGGGACTATTCTACAGACAATTTGAGAAAAGGCCTTGGGAAAAACTCCGGTCATATCATGATCCCTAGTGACAACAGTCCCTGATACCACACCGGTGGCTATGTGATACGCTTGAAAACCACAATCACCGCGACATTTACCCAACTTGTCATGAAAGCACGAAGTCCAGTCATGGTATTTGATTAAAAGTTGGACCGACCAGAAGGAAATATCAGGGAGCTTGTCGAAGCTTCGATCCAGTGACAAAACTTTGGGTTTCATAACTCCCAGTAAATTTGAATCGGCTATGGCTTTCTTCAACCCACAAAGGGCCATAACAAATTCCGAAAATGAACTGAGGCCAGATTTTACACCGCACTCGAATATGTTCGAAATGGAAATGGAGCCAAGGTTTTTGAAGCCCAGATCTAATCCAGGTCAAGGAGCCAAACCTACAAGCTTGGAGTGCCCTAGGAGCTAGGTGGAAGCATTTTCTACTGGAGATTGCGCAGCAGCCACCAGCGGGGTGTGAGACCGCAGACTTCAAAAAGGGGCAATCTCTGGCCCCGGAAAAACACGTGCGAGAGGGTTGTGGGGTCCCTATACCATCAGCCGGAAATAACCAGCTGGTTGTAGCTTCAAATAATGTCAAGCTTTGTCAGATTCATTCAAGGTGATCATCTTCTTTATGAGATAGGGAGTTGACCTCCAGCTTTCGTAATAGTTCTATCTCGAGATTATCTCCTCCAAAAAGCCGCATGGCTGTTCATCTTCAACGGTCATGATAGATTGAGTATATTTTTTTCACAGTATAAAACCATTTTTATTTGCACCTTTCGATTAAATTAGAAGCCTCAATACATGAAAGAGCTATTTATAGTCGGGACCTTACGCACACAACGTTGTACGCAAGTACCAAGTATCTACGTACTACAACATAGATCTGAACTGCTTTTCTTATTACGACATACTCAGCCTTTCGCTTCCGCACTAATCCTTTGGGGTTGTTGGGCCGCAGTGCTACTGGGCCGAGTACATCCTGTATGGACTGTTCCTTTGGGGTTCTTTAAAGACCTATATATCGAGACTGGACTACAGTTGCACCACTGATAGAATGTTCTTCGACTTCGTAAATGTGGACTTCGATCAGGTACGTAGTTTTCTACCTGTCAAACTTCATTCGCCTAGGCGCTAATGCACAACGCTTTTCTCAATTCGTGCCGTTTGCCAAACTTTAAACGACTTAACATGAGTCTAGCGGGAGACAAAACTAACACTTGAGGCTTCTAAAGACACTAGAGTACAGACTACTGGCTTGAAAGAAACACTGGGTATACATGGGCCATAATGCACTCTGTAGGGAGTACGTGGGTCTTGTATCTACAACCCCTTTTTGATCCCTCCAGAAAAGACAAGACAGTTCTAGCTGTAACGCCGTATTGCGTTTCTGACCCATTACGTCCCTAATTGGGATATGATGTGCATTGGCCAGAAGCAGAAAGGGAACGACCTCGCCCCATCTACAGCTAATAGTACGAAGATCCTCGGATAATTGTTCCCTTCATGGCTGAATAGTATATAAGTACATGTATGTTGTAGTTTAGCTTTGGCAGGGGTGGATGCGACGTACGGAGTATATGCCTAGGTCCTATAGGTCAAATCCATGCCACTGAGGGCCAGGGACTGATGATCTCTTTCGGCTATTGCACGGAGAATTGAAGGCTTTTAAGTTTCTACTGCCTACGGAGTAGACTGTCAAGAGGTACTCCATAGAATGGGGCTACCTCTTACATGAAGTTTCACTGGTGTACTTTTTACCAGCAGGGACACGTCTCCACGCTTCCGATAAAACAGACATTTATGGCTCCACGGTGTAAGCTTTAGATTTCTCCAAGGCTTGATTAGGGGTGGAAGAATGGGTTGCGCAGGTCTATCACCAAAAGAAGGGGTGGATGAGTACGGAGTAGTATCATTTGCAAGGTGTTTCTTTTCCAATTTAAACTATCGGATTTGCCGGATTTGTGGGGTCATTTGGCTAAAGTAACTACGGCGATAATCGGCAGTAGCTCTCAGTTTTCTGTAGGGGCCGAAGCAAATCTGAGCGATCATGGAGAATTTGACAATCATTATTGAAAAACCAACAAATAATATGGGCTAGTTGAAAGTCGAGGCTGTGATTTTTCTCACATCAACGTCATTGCATACACTTTGGACTTAGCTTAGTTCATGTTAAGAGCATTGATTTCTCAGATGTGTTTCAATCTTGAACTCAAGGAAATGAATAGCCAGATATTGAATTGAACCTTTCTCATGTATAAATTCAATATAATCCAAGGAAATGAAGCTATTCCAGAAAGCGACAGATGGAACCGTAGCATCACGTGCTTGCCTCAGTGCGGTCTGGATCCCCCACATGCAGGGGCAAGTGTTCTACATCTGCTTGATAGCATAGCAAACGGTTGATATAACTTCAGGCTTTTATTTATATTGTGAGCTGGTGAGATCATGGAAAACCTTCATCCCTCTCCCGGGACCTAATCCTCATTCGAAACCACCAGACGTCATCCTCTGCGACAAGCTCACTCACCATGGAGGACCTAAACGGCTTGAGTTGGTCCTCCGACTCCAAAACCCAAGCAAACCACCACCAATGAGCTCTGGATACTTGTACCCAAGTATACCATCAAATGGCGGCTCCGGCAGGTCTACCCCGTTATCTGTGACCTCGAACCGCTCAAGCTCGCCATCAAAGCCCGCCACTTCTACCGGAGATAGTTTTGCGAACCTGGTCTCATTCAATTCTTCCGCCGGGAACAAGAACCTTTCTCTTATGGAACAGCAGAGGCGCCTGCAGGAGGAAAAGGCTAAGAAGGAAGCCGATAATCGCAATCGGTTCGAATCGCAATACGGAGGCAAGAACAACCAATTCTGGGACAACTTTGAAGGACGTACGCGGAGCCCCGCATCTGTACCTGTCTCTCGATCCGTACCCCCACCCGCGGACGATGAGGATATCCTGGCTGCCTTCGATGCTGCAGCGCCGGTGGATGCGTCGACTCATTTCCCAGTTCCCGACTCCTTGAGATCATCGCCTCAAATCGACATGAACCGTAGCCCAGAATTTTCCAATGGAGGAATTTCCATGCAGGACAACACGGGGGGGTATGGATGCCTTTGATGACGATGATCCATTCGGTCTCAATCAATTGAAGCCGAAATCCGCTCCTGCTCCTCAGCCTCAAATGGGCGACGATGATGATTTTCTTGGCTTGCTCGGGAAGCCTGTGTCAGATATCCCGCGCCAGGAACCGCCTCCCACATCTTCCACACCCTCAGACCGTGGACGAGACCAAGATGCTTCTCCTATGCCTTCCAACGAGGTCGATCGGGCTATTGCGGAGTTGGTGGACATGGGTTTCCCCGCTGATAAATCCCGCCGGGCTTTGAACACCACAGATTCCGGAATTGACGTACAGGCAGCTGTTAGTTGGCTTCTTACTCAGGCCCATGCCGAATCTCGTCAGAAGACCGAAGGACATTCTAGTGCGACTCGTTCTGCCGATCGCGCTGAAAGGAGCGATAGCCGCAATCGCGATAGGCCTTCGTGGTCGAGAGAAGAAATGCCAACATCTCGGTCGCGTCAGGACAGACGGAGTCCAGCATCATCGGACAAAGACCCTGCGCAGGTGGCCTCTCAATTTGGTAATAGTCTGCTAAAATCAGCCGGTTCGCTTTGGAAGACTGGCAGCAAGAGATTTCAACAAGCTGTAACTGAGTTCAACACCGAGCATGACCCCAGCCAGCCACGCTGGATGAAAGATGCGTCTTCCCCACGCGATGAGCCTTCTTTGCAGCCGCAGCGTCCCGGTCGTCGTGACCAACCGGCTCAATCCCAAAGAGAGCAGCAGGAATTCACCAACGAAGCGCTCCTTCTTGAATCTGGAGAGGGTCGGCCTCAAAAACCTTCTCGCCCTCGTGAAAGCCACCGCCCTGACCCGAGAAGTCAGCATCAAGACCAACAGTCCCCCGGTGCTGTGCAACCAAGGCAGCAACCCAACTTCCTCCAGCGTCCATCCCGACAAAGCTCCCAAGATCCTAAATCTCGACTTTCACGGTTTGCTGCGGAAGAGCAGCCAGCGCAGGCATATGTCAGTCCCGCAAGACGTAAGCGACCTCAGGCCACACCGCCGTCCTCTGAGCCTACCGTCGATCTCTTTGATTCTCCCGCTCCTTCAGCCAGTCGCTCAAAGCCTCCCACCCCAGCTCAAACTGCTACGCCCCCCGCACGCTCAGCTTCCATCCCTGTACGCCCCAAAGCTCCAACACGGTCTATTCCACCTGTATCTCCCGAGGCGCTTCAATCGACACACCGTCACCGCGAAAAGGCCGCAGAGTCATACAAAAGAGGCGATTACGCAGCAGCCCATCAGAGCTTCTCCACGGCTCTTGGTATGCTCCCCGACAAGCACCCTATCACCATTATCATTCGCAGCAATCGTGCCATGACAGCCTTGAAAATCGGCGAACCCAAGTCCGCCATTGATGATGCCGACATTATTCTAACATTCATTGGCCCATCTAAGGGCGAATCGGAGGTAATCGATCTCTGCACCGGCGAACCGCCCAAGCCCATGAAAGACTTCTTTGGCAAGGCTTTAATGCGCAAAGCCGAAGCCCTAGAGCAACTTGAACGCTGGGGTGATGCCGCGCAAGCATGGAAAATGGCTGTAGAGTCTGGTCATGGTGGCAGCACTAGTATTCAAGGCCGGAACCGTTGCGAGAAAGCGGCTGGTATCAACAAACCTCAATCTAAACCCGCAGCCCCTGCTCGGAAAAGGCCTTCACCTCCGCCCAAGAAGGCTTCGGCTATGTCTGGTCTCACGGCTACGTCGGCATCCGGTACAGACTTCGAAGCAGTCAGCCGACTGCGGCAAGCCAATGAGGCGGCCGAGCGCGCCGACGAAGAGAAGTTTGCTCTTTCTGAGAGTGTCGACGCCAGAATTGCCGCTTGGAGGAATGGCAAGCAAGATAACTTGCGTGCATTGTTGGGAAGCCTGGATTCTGTGCTATGGCCTGAGGCTGGGTGGAAGAAGATTGGCTTGTCAGAGCTGGTTTTGCCGAATAAAGTTAAGATTCAATACATGAAGGGAATCTCTAAGGTGCATCCTGACAAGGTATGTTTACTCCCTTCTTGGGTGGTATTGGCTGTGTTTCATCTGATTGCCAACTAATTTTCCCTATTAGATCTCTACCACTGCTACTACTGAGCAGCGTATGATTGCTGGATCTGTGTTCGGAACCCTGAATGAAGCGTGGGATAAGTTCAGAGCTGAAAACAACCTCTGAGAATTCCTGTTTCCCTGTTGATACCATCTACCCCATCGTCATCACTTGCATTTTATGATTATCAGAAGGCGACCTTTATAGCATCTTTGTTCCATACATAGAGAATTCCCATTTGAATGGTTGCCTTCATTATCGTTCTGGTCCTCTGTCGTACTCATTCATCGCTTTTGGTTTGATATCAGAGGAGTTGACGACCACTAGCTTGGCTCCAAGATTGATTACAATGTGAATAATTCAGAAGCCTTTGGGTAATTGATATATGGGCGCTGCAGGTTGTCCTCAAAGACAACAGTGCCTCAATCTAGCTATGGAAATTCTATGCTAAGAAAACAAATCACTGGTATCTATTCAACTCATGCCTCGGTGCTCCCCTCGATATTTTCTTCAGCCTTATCTCCCGCTTCTGGCTGTGGGGCTTCTTCCGATTTCTTCTGTTCCTCGCGGAGCCTTGCCCGTTCCAATGCAGCCTCTCTCTTCAGTTGCTTCTTACTTGTCTTCGGCTCATCAGGCTTAGCGATCTTGGCGGACGGCCACTGATCCCGGCATTTTTGTTCTTGTTCTTCAGACCAAGCCCGAGGCAGGATTGCAAAGACCAGATATGAGGTATGAGTTCGAAGGTCCGGCTCGGATCGATGCGTCAAACGACCCTGAGCATATAAGGGGACATCGGTCTTCTCTTTATAGAAAGGTGTCTCTTTCACAATTGGCTGGTAGTTTGGATCGTCTTTGGTCGCTCGGTTATCACGGATGAGCTTCGCACGTTGTTCATCACTGCGAAGCTTTGCGACAGCCTCCTCAACGGTCTTGGGATACAGTGTAGCTCCGCGCACCCCCTCAGTATCTAGCCCGATACGATCCCGCTTGACATCAAGTCGACGCTGGGCAACTTCCACCATTGAGATGTTCAGCCATGACAGCTTGCGCATAGTGCGGATTGTACGCTCTGCCTGTTCAAGACAGGGCGAGAATGTGCATATGTAGGCGGGCGATTCAGGGTCGAGAGCTGATTCCTGCCCGGGGGGGTGGGTTGCGCACAAGATGCTTCAGCGCGAGCCAGGGAGCAGGCAGATCCAAGAATATAGCGTTGGCTTTGGGCGATTTTCCGGTCTTGGGATCGCCTAACAAAAATCCGTCCTCGTAGACGTCACGATGTGTAGCCTCCACTATCCCGTCCAAACCATGGTCTCTGAGTTCCTGCTGCACCTTGGCCGCGCGCTGTTCGTGAAATTCGAAACTGCATACCTTTCCCAGTCGTTGCCGTTTTGTCGCTTCCTCAGTCCCGGGATACCCGTTGAACACGGCGCGAGCAGAGGCGTGCGTGAATGAGCCGCTGCCGGCTCCAGCTTCAATGACTGTGCAGCCCGGTCGCGCGCGGAGACGATGGAGGATGTAGCTGTAGTCTGGGGTGTAGACGACCTGCGTGCGGTGGGGAAGAGATATGGTCCAGGCTTCGGGGGTCGGGGCGAGGATATGTAGGAACCCGCTTTCCGCCGAGACGGGGGCTCTTAATGATGGCTTTCTCTCCTCCTCTGCGCCGGTTGTTGTTCCCTCTGCATCGAGCTCTTCAGCCTTGCGCTTGGCGGGTTGGTTGCGGCCACGCGAGCCTGTGTCGACTTTTGAAGCGACAACTTGCGAGCCCCAGGTTTTCCCGATCAAAGTGCTGTGTGGGAATGAGCCGAAGCGGGTATTGGTGACCTTGCCTTCCCAATAACCTTGGTTCTCATCGTCATGGTCGCGGAGGATTGTCGGAATGATTTGGTCGCGACGGAGTTGCAAGAGGGCCAGGCTGTCTGCTTCGGCTTGGGCGTTTCGGGTGAAGAATGGGGACGGCATCGTGAATGATATCAATCAGGGAAATCGGTATGGACAATCCCTGACTTGAGGTCTGGAACTTGCCTCTCCGCAAAGAAAAAAAGGTTGTCATGCTCATTGCCTGATTGAGCCATCAATTAGGGCTCAGGGCTCGGTCCTCCCATCCCCAGTTGCCGCCAATCACAGCGAGTCCGCAGTTGATGGATGAGTCGATCTGGTCCTGACAAGAGCCCCTCCCCCTCCATTTGCCTTTGTTTTCTTTATGCTCTCCCCCGATCCTCCTTCCTTTCTTTTCCTTTCTTTTCACCGCCCAAACACCGGTTTTTATCGTCGATCACTTCTTTCAGGTCTATGTCTTCTCGCCAGCAGCCGCCATGGCGGCAACCGGCCTCTAGCCCGGACGCGCAACTGCCTCCATTGAAGGTGTGGAACTCATTGACCAAGTCCAAGACCCCCTTCGTCCCGATCGACCCTGCGGGAAAGAAGGTTGTGTGGTACGCGTGCGGACCGACTGTTTACGACGACGCGCATCTTGGACATGCCCGAAACTATGTTAGCACCGATATCATTCGGCGTATCATGCGCGACTACTTCAAATTCGATGTCAACTTCGTTATGAACATTACAGACGTGGACGACAAGGTATTACTCGGCGCTGTGTACATGGATACAGTTTCGAGCACAGTGACTCACCAATCCTATAGATCATCCTCCGCGCCAGACAACAACACCTGTTTAACGAATTCGTCGCTGTCAACCCTACGATTACTCCAGAGGTTCTCGACACTGTGAAGAAGGCTTTCATCGCCTACTTGAAAAAGAATCTACCCCTGCTCGAATCCGAACTCCCTCCCTCGCAGTACCAGAAGGAAGTCGAAAAAACCTACGCAACTATCTTGAACGGCGGAGCTTTGCCAGGAAACGACAAGGCAGGTGATGATGAGGCCAAGGTTAAGATGCACATCAAGACGGCGGCGTCGGCCGCAAAAGTCATCGCGCAGGCGGAAACCCGTGATGGTTCGAGTGCCGATCCTGCTCTCTTTGCTGAGTCGTTTTATTCAAACGCCCAGGATCTCATTCTGCCTTATCTCGATGCTTTGAAGGGCGCATTGGTTGATGCGGACAATCACAGCATCTTCACCAAATTGACTAAGAAATATGAGGACCGCTTCACCAAGGATATGCGGGACCTGAACGTTCTTGATCCCACCGAGTTGACTCGCGTGACGGAATACGGCGATGAGATTGCGGCTTTCGTGGACCGAATTGTTAAGAATAACTTTGGATATGCCACAAAGGATGGATCAGTGTACTTTGATATCAATGCCTTTGAAGCTGCAGGCCACCCGTACGCTCGCCTTGAGCCATGGAGTCGGTCAGACAACAAATTGGCTGCGGAGGGCGAAGGATCTCTGGCCAGCAAAACGACAGAGAAGCGCGGTCCTTCAGACTTTGCTCTCTGGAAGTCATCTAAGCCAGGCGAGCCGAGCTGGTCTAGTACCTGGGGCAAGGGCCGCCCTGGTTGGCACATCGAATGCTCAGCCATGGCATCAGCTCGGCTGGGCAACCAGATGGATATTCACTCTGGTGGTATTGATCTTGCCTTCCCCCACCATGACAATGAGCTTGCCCAGAGTGAGGCATACTGGCACGATGACCACAAGCATGAGCAATGGGTTAACTATTTCCTGCACATGGGCCATCTGTCTATCCAAGGCTCCAAGATGTCCAAGTCGTTGAAGAACTTTACCACCATCAGAGAAGCGCTTGATCGCAAAGACTGGACGCCGAGAAGTCTGCGCATTGTTTTCCTCCTGGGTGGGTGGAAAGACGGTGTCGAAATTACAGATGATCTGGTCAACACTGGCAGCTCATGGGAGGAGAAGGTGAACAACTTTTTCCTCAAGGTGAAGGATCCTTCGGCTCTCCAGTCGTCAGGCACTGACACCACCTTTGCTGCCGATCTTGAAGCAACCAAGAAGGCAGTCAACGAGCAGCTCTGTGATTCTTTCAACACTCCTGCTGTCATGGCATCGATCTCAGAACTTATTTCCAAGTTCAATATTGCCGACAAGGCCACCGTGCCCTCTGAGGACGTTCAAGCTGCAGCTCAGTGGGTAACCTCCATGGTGAATATTTTCGGTCTCAACGGCACTGCCTCGGCCGACAGCACTGAAATCGGCTGGTCTGGTATTGATATTCCCGAGGAGGCCAAAGCCTACCTGTACCCTCTGTCGGCTATGCGTGACACTCTCCGTGACACCGCGCGGTCTAAGGCTGGAATCTCTGCCAAGGATCTTGAGGCGGCAGTTGCCAAAGCATCAGTACCTCAAGAGGCCTCTGAATCCGCTAAGCCATACGCTGAGCTCCTCTCCAACTTCCGTGCCAAGGTGGCGTCTTTGGAGTCATCCGATTCTATTGGCAAGGATATTCTTGCCTTGTGTGACCGGGTGCGAGACATCGACCTCTTCGATGTTGGTATTGCCCTCGAAGACCGGGAGAACCAGCCTGCCCTGGTCCGGCCTGTGACCCAAGAAATGATCAAGGCGCGGGAAGAGAAGGAAACCAAGGCTCTCCAGAAGCAGGCCGACAAGCTGAAGAAGGAGCAAGAAGCTCTCAAGAAGGCAGAGAAGGGCAAATTGAGCCACCTGGAGATGTTCCGCACCAACGAGTACAGCGCCTGGGACGATGAAGGCTTGCCTACGCGCGATATTGCCGGCGAGGAGATCACCAAGAGCCGGGCGAAGAAGCTACGCAAAGACTGGGAGCGCCAGAAGAAGGCACATGAGGCGTGGTTGGCTACTCAGGCCAAATAGAAGCCAAAAAAACAAAACAAAAGAGAGCATTTGATTTTTAAATATCTAGTTTGATAGGTACCGGTATCTTGGGGGTGGGTACTCACTTTGCATCGCGAGGCGTTTCTCTCGGTATATATCCTTCTTATCTTATACAATGCGAATATTGCCTGGTTGTGATACTTGAAGTGCTATCTGCTCCTCTCGATTTCTTGAATATATGTAAAACTACTCGATTTTCAACATGCTGTACTCTCCGATGTTCCCCCGAACCCGTTAACGCTCTTGACCCAGCTCTAGGGGCCCTCGTTCATTCTCTCCTTATAAATCCTAGGGGAAAAAACAACCCGGACCAGAATTTCATGCAAAGCTAGATGCAGTGCTATAAATACAAAATGCATATGATTCGAAAATATATACGATGGCTCACTATCAAGTCACTCGGGCCGACAAATTCGTGCCCCCGGCGGAGTATGGTGCCCCGGAAACCCCCCATTAAATGTACTATGGAGTTGGAGAAAGTGGAATACCCATTTCTTTCCTTCTTTCTCTTTCACCTTTTCCACTAGGCCCTAGTGTTGCTCGTTTGCTAGATCACAGGTTTCAAAATTCGCCCTATACATTCAAGATGGCAGTACAGACAGGTCTCGATTATATGCGTTCGCGCACGTTGGTTGACTGTGACACTATGGATGATGAGGGTTGGTCAACTGACTCTTCTACATAGAGCTTATTCCACTTTCTTTTTTCAGATAATTGACTACGTCTTAGTTGCGAGAGCCCTGGGACCATTCCAGGACTGTACTTCCAACCAAGTGAGCACATGGATATGCGAGGGAAGCAGAGGATGGAGCTAACTGCACAGGCTATTGCACTCGGTGAACTTTCGAAGCCAGGACGGGCTGGAATCATTGCGGCGTCGCGGGCAGATGCGATGACATTGCATCCGAAGTACTCGTCTATCAGTCTCGAAGAATTGGCTGCCGAGATTGCGGTGAGTTGTTTCTTCGGCTATACTATGATTTTGAGGATGAATGTCACTCATATGTATCACAGATGATTAGATTGGGTATAGGAATGGCAAAACACATTCGTGGCCGTGTCCATGTGCAGGTTAATCCTTACTACTCCTACTCCTCGGAGAAGATTATTGTCAATGCACTTCGTATGCTCCACTCCTGTCATTGAGATTGTTTTTTTTTTTGTTTTACCTGGTGCTGATCACATCGTCTCTAGGCATCGTGCAATTGTTTCAGTATGTCCAGCCCGGCTTCGACGTCACTCGCATTTCTATCAAAATTCCGAGTACATGGGAAGGAATGATGGCCTGCCGTACCCTTGAATTAGCCGGTGTGCGTACTTTGGCGACCACTCTGTTCAGCATGGCTCAAGCTGTACTCGCGGCCGAGGTCGGCTGTACTTATCTTGCACCCTATGTGAATGAATTGAAGGTGCACGTGGAAGCAGGGTAAGTACTGGACCCTTTTTGAAAGCCTGCCTGACACTTCTCAAATTTAGTCATGTGGATAATGCGAAGTTGCTCCCACTTTGCGCTGCAATTCAGAAATACTACAAGTCCATCAATTCGTCCACTAAAGTCCTCCCCGCCAGCTTGACTTCCGTCGAGGAGATCTTCTTCCTCGCTGGGGTGGATCATCTCACTATTGGTCCAGGTCTGTTGACACAATTGACTCAGCCTTATGCAGGAAATGTCAAGTCGCTATTTGATATTGCGCCAACACTTCCAATTCCAGCGCGGGGCGTTTCTTTCATTAACGATCCTGGAAGCTACCAGATTACCTTTGCCCGGGACTTGGGTGGTGCTAGTCAGAACAAACTGACTGAGGTATGTGTACACATTGACTAGCTTTCAAGCTTCGCTAACAGAGACCAAGGCTGTAAACATCTTTTGTGATGCCCAGGACAAGTTGGAGCTACTTATGAAGACAGCTGCCTGAATAAATATATCCAGGAATTATAGCAGCGTTCTATTGTTGAAGCCATAGCCTAAAAGTTGCAGAAAATAGAACGAAAGAAAAGAAATCAACACTTGAACTGCCGTATACTTCTGGCGCACGTGACTCGACGTCATCTACCTTTCATCTGTGGATTTCTCCAATTCTCTTCGCGCACTTCCAATTGCATCTATTTACAACTTGCACAGAGCTGGGCTTCCCAGCGACTACATTTGTTTATATTGGCATTCTCTTTACACGTTATTTTGCTTCCCGAACTTCAATTGAGAAACCTTGGATTTTAATCGCACATTTCACCTGCAAGATGTTTCCCTCGCAGGCCATTAACTTTAACATCGAGGCCCTTAGCGGCATTTGCGGGTACGTTCGACAAGCTGAACTTCTTTTTTTTTTTTCGTCTTTGCTGTTTTCTCGTTAGCTGTCAATGTTCATTCAATGCATGCATGTACGCCATCCGATCTAGATCTACTTGGCCCGGCGATCTCTGCATGTTTTGTTTTTCTTAGAATCAAATACTAACCAGTCTAGGTCAATTTCTATTGCCTGCTGGGTTGTCGTTTTCTCGCCTCAAATCATCGAGAACTTCAGGCGTGGCTCTGCCGATGGCCTCTCTCTTATTTTCCTCATTATCTGGTTGGCTGGCGATGTGTTCAACATCCTCGGTGCCGTCCTACAAGGCGTGCTCCCTACCATGATCATCCTTGCAGTGTACTACACTTTGGCAGATATTGTTCTACTGGGACAGTGCTTTTACTATCGGGGGTTTAATCTCAAGGAAGAACTTTCTCCCTCGGCCACGCCGGACCTTTTTGCAACCAACGGTACTTCCGATGCGGAGCGCAATGGCGCCGAATATCAAGCAGAACCTACAGAGACATCATCGCTCATCCCGAAGCCCAGTGACCAGGCCCTAAATGTAACTGGACAGTTACCCCAAGACCGCACACGCCCACTGTCTGCTGGAAGACGGCACTCGGTAACCTCTTACCATGATTATTTCCACTCGTCGGTAGACGGCACCCATCTATCACCCGCAACGCCCTTCATCGAACCAACAACCGATGCTGCGCGCCGCCGTGCTCAACGCGCCCGTCGCCGCCGCATCTCCGCCATTCAATCAATTCTTTTCAACCTCACCGCCGTCGCTCTAGTCTGTGCCGCAGGTGTGCTGGGCTGGTTTGTCAGCCCTGCAGCAAAGTCATCATCACCGGACCCGGAGCCTCTCGCAATGGATGTTCTGGGTCAAGTATTCGGCTATTTCTGTGCAGCTTTGTATCTTGGGTCACGCTTGCCCCAGCTTCTCTTGAACTACCGCCGCAAATCCACGGATGGTGTTTCTCTCCTGTTCTTCCTCTTTGCTTGCATTGGGAACTTGACTTACGTGCTCTCTATCTTGGCATACTCGCCTATTTGCCATGGTGGGTCCTCTGAGGAGATCATGGGGCACCGTCACCGTGCGCAATGTCGTCCTGGTGAGGCAGCTGCTCTGTATGGGCGGTATGTATTGGTGAACTTGTCGTGGTTGGTCGGCAGTGCTGGCACACTGCTGCTGGATATGGCGATCTTTACACAATTTTTCCTATACCGTGATGACAAGGTTGATGAGGAAGAGTAAATAGTCAAAATCTAGATGTGATTGATCGCATATATATCAATGTTTGAACTGATATGAGGTAGTTTAGCTCGGAATAGAACTCCTTTTTTGATCTATGTAACTTTTTAGTATGTATTATCAATACCTATACTAAATAGTACCACACGGTAAATACTGGTAAAACGTATGCACACAATGATTATACGGGAAATAGAGATCAGTTCTATGCTGAGCCAAGTACGCCCACTATTTCCATCTTTCTCAACATTTGTCTTGACCTACTGTCCTCCGTATAGAGTATAGCACGATCAGTTCGTCTCCCATTGAATGGCTGCTATGTGCATGAGACCGGCAGAACCAATATACAAGATCTGCAAGATGGCGCCAATAACTGCTAGCTCGAGCATTTCGGAGTGTTTGAGACCCTGAAGTGGATATTGGCCTCCACTCCTCTTTACCACGTATTTTATACGTGGTGGTATCTAATAGGATCGCAGACTAGATAGTTGAACTCCATCGGTTGCTGTCCCCGGAATTATGACTCTTCTAGCACTACCTACGGCTTCCAATAATATTCCAACGTGTTCTAACGCAAAATGACTCCCATCCAGAACCGAATTTGTCAAATATCTCTTGCATTGAGTACAAGCAATCCAAAAGACTACAATTTAGCATTTCCGGTACATGTAGAGAAAGCTACCCGACAACAAGAGCGTGAAGTGAACATTGAGAGTCTTGAAGAGCCTTGTCCTCGACTAGGCTGGCCACATCATTCTCATCTCCAAAGTTGTCCGCATCCAATGCGAATGCATGCGCAACACACCAACGAGTTGAGAGAACTGCATGAAGAGCTAGTGCTTGCCATTAACAATATTGTTGAAAGGTGGTGGAAGAACAAAGAGGTGGATTTTTCGAGAAGAATGCCGTTGGAAGCGCACGGAGAACTTCTTTTACAGGTGAGTGACCTTACGAGCAAAAATTCAGAGACAGACTTCATAGTATAAAGCTCACCGATTGCAGTGGATCGATGTGATCGATATTGAAGAAGCATAATCAGTCATAGTGCGCTTTTATAGTGAAGAAAACTATATTAGAATGTCCTTCACCTGACCTTGCGCTCATCAAAGGTGTTATTACAACGAAAATGCGAGTATGCACTGAAAGGAGAGGGATATATATGACATAAGTGTCCGTTGTATTAACTACAGGGATCATAGAGATCGCCGATCGCTGCAGACATGTAATATACATCGGGGCCATAGCGGAGACTCTATACAATACGAGATACACTTCTGGATTATTATCCATTACATGATATCCATACAGTAATTCAACAGTGGAAAATCTGTATATGAGAACGACGATCCTGAGACCGCTCCTTGGAAGTGTAAAGGTTCAGAGTTTTTGTGGTCTTGTATATTGTAGTAGATCGTACTCGATCGTATTCGATCGTATCGGGTGTACATCGACATGGCTAACAATTGACTCCACTTATCAGATGCATAGAAGTCGGGATAGATTGATTCGTAAATCTGGCGATCCATGATGAATGATGGTCGGTGATATGAAATGGGAAAGGGGATGTCAATATAAAGCCAATAATCAACCCACCAGGACAGGAGACTAAGTCGAAATCACCGCTTATAGAGGCTGATATATACATAATTGCACTTTTGATGTGTACTGTTCTATCATGACACACGCCCTAGGGCCAGTCCACTTTCCTATCCTTTTCTTTTCGCTAGCGCAAAGCAGTGGCCCATACGATCGAGAACACGAGTTTGCATTTGCAAGATGTATACGTATCTTTCTAGGGTGACTCAGTAAGAATGAGTAGATTATGAGTCCACGTAGACCATTGTAAATGAGATAATATCGGACACCAGCCCCAATTAGACCCTAAATTCTCGTTCAATTATCACCCCGAGTCCTGTCGAATCCAACAAGGAACTTTGATTATACTATGCTGTACGGAGTACAACATACATCTAAGCAGCTTCAACAGGGCAAATGCCACGCCTCACAAATAGATGCTTTCCCTACTTAGGACACCCTTATGGCATCCGATAGCATCTCATTTGCAAATCAAAGGTCTTACTCTACTTTCTATCACCAATATAATCAGTCTGACACCTATCAGCAGGTTTCTCAACCCAGATTCAACAACGCGATGCCAATGAACTGGAATGCTCCCACAACACCAAACATATCCATCAAGTTCATGAGATACTTCAAAGCCAAGGGCTACTCAAGATAAACTTGAAATTCCGCGACGAATCAAGCAACTATCTCACACAACTGATCTCATCCCTGAACAAAAGCCACAACCATGGTTTACCTATCACCCATAGCTCGACACGAGGCTGGTTCTGGGATGTACGACCTCAATTTACGACAACACTAGCAAGATCATCCTCAAACTCGAGCCCTTGTTTCTCACCGGGAAATTTGCCGGCACGGTCTGAAACATCCGAATCCTTCCCCTGGCACACCGACTGCAGCTACGAAGAACATCCACCCAGCTTCTTCGCGTTACAGGTCCTCCGTGCCGATACCTGCGGAGGTGGTACTCTCTCCCTAATGGAGCTAGCCCGCGTCCTGCCGCTGCTGTCCGCCACAGCGCGAAAATATCTATCCAAGGCTGAATACCGCATTACGGTCCCACCAGAGTTCGTCAAGAGAGATGATCAGCAATTTATTGTTGGTAGCATTTTGACCAATACGGGTTATGGGCTACGATTCCGTGAAGATATCATTACGCCACTGACGACGAGCGGGAGCGAAGCGTTCGAGGAGCTGAAAAATATGTTGCGAAGCTCTGAGGCTAGATCACGGACGATCTCACTGTCGCCACAACTGTTGCCGAGTGGATCGATTGTCTTGGTTGGGAATCGTCGGTGGCTTCATGCTAGGAACGAGGTGCGGGACCCGAAGAGACATTTGAGAAGAGTTCGATGGGATGCCAAATCATTTGAGTGGTAAATTACATTATAATATACTGTGTATTACCAGGCTCTCAATAGATTACAGTCGTCATGGTTTTACCGTCTATCATTCTTATAGTGACGAGTTCAAATCATTACTTCGCCCAGACTATAAAAGGCTATCAATTGACATATCTATTGAAGAACTAAAGTTGTTATGTTGGAATAGGTTTCATACGGTCCTTTGCATATGTGCTTTCCTACACTTTTTTTCTGCTGTCTATCTATTAAACTGGAGATATACAAATACGGGATCGTGTTGGCAATTATCTTCAGGAGCATTCGTCACCCCTATACTTCCTTCTGGTAAAGGCTTTGGCCGGTTTCCCCAAGAGATAAATAGCGGTATGTTTATTCCCGGCATTGAACAAGTCAGACTGTCAAGCTTATGTCGTTCCGTATTGAAAGTTTACTATCAATAACCCTGTGTCTTTCACTCTAGGGCCCCAGTCTGGGAGTCGTTTTGGAAGCATATTTCTAGCACAACCTTCTCTAGAATGTCAGGAGATGGAACAATAATTACAAATAAGCCACGTAAGACAGACACCCTTAACTTGGAGTGAGATAACACGGGTCAATTTGCTGGTTCTTTCGACTCGATATGACACGCTACTTCCCATTACGTTTTTGATCACCTGGTTGGCAGCCAGGAGGTTCTGATCTGATATCCAATGAGTGTATGTCCATATATTGCAAGATATCTCTCTCCTGCAAGGTATACGACTGAAACCCGGTAAGAGAGCTGGAAGGCTGGCCAGGTTGGCATCTGATGCTGCGCTGGACACGCCGCCACTTGGATGTGGATATATGACAGCGATTGGGGCTCAGCAGTGCCAGCAAGCTCCGGTGACCTTCCGCGCGGTCGATAGCAGAACATTATAGGAGTCATTAACAAAGCACTGTCAGTAGATTGGCCTTGAAGAAGACCATAATACAGTTCTATAAACATCTGCTGAGCTGGCAGAAGCAAACCGCATGCGAATTAACGGAGTATTAAATGTGGCACATATATTTCATCTCTGGTATAGCTAGAGGTGAACTGGCGGTCAATCTTGATTTTCAGATTGGGCTCGCTAGACGAGAGATGTTTGCCATGAAGCAGGGGTTGCAGATACGCGATTGGATCATCGCGGCCATGAACTGTCGACATGTCTGAAAAGTCGCCGACTTAGGCCTGAAACATCACGGATAATCTTGTAGCATCTCATACTCGTAGCATCTTTGCTCTCGGGAAAGATATATTAGCTTAGCGCGGCTGACGGAGATGTAACTTTACCCCTGAGCCAACCATCACCATCGTGATGCGGGTGTGTCGATATTAACGGACTAGCATAACCATACTAGTGCCAGATCAAGGCTTGCATGAACGGGGTTTGTGAAAAACAGAAGCCGTTCGGAGGTGCAAGGGGCCGGCGCCAACATAAGTTTCACGGAGAACGAATAGAACTCAGATGAAGTCCGAGCCCTAAGCGCCCACAGCCTATCATTTTGGCCTCGAGCTTCCTTTGTTGCAGCCCTAAGCTGACTTGTAAACCCGAGTTCATGCCTCTCAATACTGTTGACGATCCCATATCGCGATACCCGGTGTATAAGATCCGTGGAAGCTTCCCAGCCAACAATACATCGGAAGTCTGCTGCTGAGTTGGGTTCCATTCTTTGCCCTGATTCCAGCCCAAATTTCCTGATATACTTCTCGGCGAAGACGAAAAAATATGTATATATAGCCTAGTTCGATTGCAGCATGATGCGAGTGGGATCCCCCAGAGGAAGACTCAAGTGACAAAGCAGGCCTTAGCAAAAAGCAATCAACAAGCACTGTATCATTCGAGACAAACTAAAAATCATCTACTACTTCACCCATACAATCGACCATCATGCCGGCTGCTACGAAGGAGATAGTGTATGCCGATACCCACGCAAAGGGCAACTGGTCCGAATTTCCGGACGGCGTTGAGGCTCATAAACTCGGCACATGCTCTGTCATCGCAGTTGTCAACGAGGAAGGCTTTATGCTCTTTAACGTTTCTTCAGATGGGCCCAGGGAGCTCGCTGCTGCAAAAGAATTCTGTGAGCTCTACAGAAGGGAAAAAGGGCGATTCGGCAACAAGGGTGTCTGTGTGTGGATTGTGTACGCTCAGGAAAACGCCCATAAAGGGCGGCAGATCAAGTACTATACGGGGGAGATCGAGCCTCGCAAAATCTATGAGCAGATGTATGACGGGGAATCTTTCATGAGAGCATCTGGTGAAGCAGGTGCTCAGGTTTGCCTGAAATTGGTGCATGGGACTGTCGTGGCTACTTTGCGCCCGCAAGCCGGAAATGGTTCTTCTATCGAGCTTTCTGGGGATGGGTCAACTGTGGTGTGGCCCATGTAGACTGGGAACAGGTTTGGGCGAGGATGGGGTTCTGTTTTGGATTTGAGTATCTATTTGATTGGCGTTCGGAAAGGGGGTTTTATATCTGAGTGATTGGAGTCTATGAATCGAACTACCTGCGTTTCAGAATGAAGAATAATCAGAAAGCTTGAGACAGCTAGTAAATTGAAACCTATTTCACAACAAATCATTGTGATACCTGAGAAACACCTCGCTACATGCGACTTTGCAATGAGAAAAGAAAAAACATGAAGCAGAACATTATTCAGAGTGAGGTTCGACCTTTCCCTTCGCGACTTCAGACCAGTTCGTGCTCAGGGATGTTCCCTGGCTTTCGGTGTAGCTCTTGATCATAGCTCGGCGCGTCTCTGGATCAGCGCCAGCATACAACTTCTTGAAGAAGCCGTCGACAGCATCACCACCTTCGTCATCCGATAGATCACCATCAGCTTCTGCCTTGCCCTTTGATTTCTTTCCAGTGAGAGAGGATGCAACCTTGTCCCAATCCTTAGTTCCATGGCGTGACGAAGTGGGGTAAGAAGGGCCTGCGGTAGCTGGCGCCTTTTGATCGGCTGGACGGTCGGTAATCTCAGTGGGGTTGGTGGTTGAGCCTTCGAGAGCACCCCATTTCTGGCCGGCCGTCTTCTTTCGCAGGTTAAGCTCAATCTTGGTGCCCTTGACTGAAACCTTAGATTCGGCAGGATTGATAGCCGCATACAGCGGGTCGAGGGTAAAGTCGTATTCAGAGCCAGATGGGAGGGGGAATTGCAGCGAGACCTTTTGCAAGATTAGTTCCAAATCCAAGAAAGAAAAAAGTCGACCGGGAGGCTTCATACCAAGCTTTCTTCCATTTCAACTACGACACTGTCCTTTGGGATTCCCTTGACATAAAGAGTCACAACGACGGAGTCCTGTGACTGATACCACTCGTGGCGAACCTTTTCCGGGGCAGTAGGAGTAGCCGTGGCGCTAGTGTTTGAGTTTTGAAGTCGAGCAAACAAAGCAGCCTCAGCCGCAGAAAGGGTCGATTCCGCTGGTAGCTCAGACTCCGGCTCAGGCTCAGGATGCTGCGAAGCTTCGGTCACCTCGACGTTGTTGCCAGCCTTGAGAGCCTTCCACTGTGCCTTCACTTCCTCTCCCGTAGGAATGTAAGTGGAAGATGGGAACTCTGTAACAGATACAGTGCACTTTGGATCGTCCTTAGGCAGCTCTGCCAGCTTGCGTTCAATTTTGGCAGTCCAAATCGGCATCTGGGCGCTGTAGTTGTTTCTGGTACCTCCCCCTCCGGACCCTGTTCCTCCCATGGCAGCCTGGACCTGCTCTGACTTGTTCTCTGGCACTTTCCCGCTCTTAGTTTTCTTCGCGATGATGTCAAAGACAAATGCTGCATCTCCATACCGCTCAAGTTGGAAGAGCGACACGCCACGGCGCATCTGCGCGGAGAGGATCAGTTCACGGTTTCCACGCTCTTTGGCGAGCTGGAGTGCGATTTCGGCATCTTTGAGTGCAGCCTGGTAGTTGGGTCCGCCATCTGCAGGCTTGAGGCGCGAATAGGCGGTTGATCGCGAAATGTAGTATGCCGGAGCGCGGGGTAGCTCGCTTAGGGCGTGGGTGTAGTGTTCAATCGCAATAGGATATTTGGATTCGGCAGAGGCCTTATCACCCTTGGCGGCAGCGTTCATGACGACGGGATCAGGGTCAAGCTCAAGTTGAGAAAAAGAGTACGTGACATCCAACGCGAAGGGAGCAACGAGCCGCATTGGCCCAAGCTCGTGTGGATCAACCATTTTGAGGTGGTCACGTGGTATGGACGTTATGAGGGGAAACGTGAGGGGGAAAAGGTGACAGGAGAAAAAGAAGCAAAAACATTTTTTTTTATACAAACGCAGTGCTACGCGCGTAAATGATTACAACGGCTGGATTGTTGAATAAACCCCTTCATTATTAATTAAGTACATAGGTGGGATACATGCTTTCCCTTATAGTTTACACGAGCTCTGCATTTCCGAACTTCTTACTATACAAGCCCAAGGCACGGATAGGCCAGTAGAACTTGTAGTTAGGATACGAAATCATGCTAAGAAGAGTGTCAGCGAATTGAATCCAAAATAGAAAGTTTAGGATAGTTCAAACTTACCAGGACTGGTTGAATACACCCTCAATCGCCTCCTGTAGCCACTCACCATTCCGCTGCTGGCGAGACATTAACAGCTTAATGCCTCTCTCCAACGGTTCTTTGTGCGGATAGCCCGCCTCCATGAGTGCAAGAAGAGACCAGGCAGTCTGGCACACCTGGGACTTCTCATGCTGAACATACTGGTGGGTCGAGCTACTAAGATATGACTCGCCCCAGCCACCATCGGCCTGCTGCTTCTCAAGCAGGAAGTCACAGCCCCGACGAGAATCAGGACTTGTTTCATATGTCTCGCCGACACTGGCCAGACTTTCGAGGGCGAACATCGCTGCGTAGGTGAAGCAGATACCCCAAGAACCATACCAGCTACCGTCGGCGCGTTGTACGTGCTTGATGTGGCCGACAGCCATCTGCTTCGCGGCACGGATTTCATCGGCGCGATATTTGGGGTAGAATTTGCTGAAGAGTGACAGAGCGGTAACAGATGCCGTTGTGCATTCGGGGTGGTCATAGCTGATCATGATTCCGCCGAATACCTCCGCAGCATTGAGCCACTCGACCTTGGGTGAGGCGCGGGTAACTTCGTACTCGGAGAAGCCGCCGCTTGGGTTTTGCATGAGCAAGAGACAGTCGACAGCGTCCTTCAACCGTTGTTCCGAGATCAGCTTGGGGAAGCCGTGCATCTCCTGCAGCTGAAGTGTTGAACGCAGTCCCTCGGCGGTGCAATCGCTAACTGTGTAACCCTGGTCCTTGGTGCTGAATGGCCAAGCGCCCTTACGGTGTTGGCGGTAGCATTTTTCTTGATCTGGTACGTTCTCTCGTAATTGATGGTCGTCGAGGAATTCGAGGGCCTTTGTCAACATCGGCCGCCATTTAGGCTCGTCGGCGAAACCAGCGACGACGATGGCCTGTGTGATGAATGCCGTGTCCCAAACTTGTACTCCATTGGTGCCATTTGCCAGCATGCCCTCGTTCTTTACCCACATATAGTCATTCAACCGCTCTCTATGTTGGCGGACAGAGTAACTGTCCGGGCCGTCGTGGATAAAGCAAGCGACCATGTTCATTGGATTGTTGACGGGTCCCAGCCCCGCATATTTGGTGTTTTCATCTTCCATGCGAATCAATTCCCAGGTCCATTCCTCAGCTCGCTTGACAATGCTGGGGTGTCGAAGGTAAGGGTTCCAGACCCGAACCAGCACTTCGTTTGCTGCATTCAGCAGCCACGTCTTGGGGTAATAATTGTCTGCTTCATGGATCGAGTTCCGATGCGCAGCAAAATCGACGGAGCTGTATGGTTGGGTGTATAGCTCTTCGCGCAGCTGTCTTGTCAAATCGTCGAGAGGGTGAGACCATTGTTTAGACCACAGCCAAGACATTGGGAGGAACACTTGACGCATGTGAATCCACCACCGCCAAGGGGCAAAGGGAACCCAGTCGGGAAGAAGCCTATGAAGTCGGTTAATATAAGAGGAGCTGTACTTGTTCCAGTGCGTGAACCAACCAAATCTCAGGGGGGACCGGGTTAACACCCTCCCATTCCATCACTCCCAGAATACTGAGCCAGAACTTAGCCCAATGAGGACCGTAGATGGCACCTCCAAATTTATGCAGAAGGCCCCGGGCTTTGATCATGCGCGGGTCTTCTTCGCTGACACCGACCAAGCGCAGTGCCACGTAGTTCATACAAGTACCAAATACGGAGCTATGGCCTTCAATATGCAGACCCCATCCACCGTCCTCTGGTTGCTGACGAGCGAAAAGATAACGTTTGATCTCGGTTGCATACTCAGGGGGAATAGGGGTATTGGTCACATAGTAAGTGATCAAGATCCCCGGCAGTAAAAACATCGGACCGCCGTACTCACACGCCCAGTTTCCGGGCTCTAGTTGCAGATGCGAGAAGAATGAAAGCCCATTCTCGGCGGCTTTCAATGGCGTCTTAGCCTCTGGCAGCTCGGGAAGACCCTATAATTCGCCATTAGAATTGGATGGAAGCTTTTAATTTATGTTCATCGAGGGAAGACTAAATACCGTCGGCATTCCCAAGTGATATTTATCAGCTACTGACTGCGGCCACTCTTGGTTTTCCACATCCGATTCGAGATATCGCCATGTTTGACGGCCTTCCTCATCGACCAATCGCCAGCGTGAGTAGTCGGTTTTAAGATCTCCATTGGTATCTGGGGTGAGATGACCTTGGGCCGGTGTTCTCCATGGTCCAATATGAGGATTCGAAGACATGATATGAGACAATGCGTCCTTTTCACCTTAGTAAAGACAATAAACAGCCAGAAGGGAGTTCGATGGTGAGTGGAAACCGGGGAAGCTTAGTCATCGGTATCACACCTGCGGTGTAGAATGAAGAATGTCTGCATGTGAGGCAGACAAATTGAAAAGAGAAGAAATATGGGAAAGAGGATATCAAGGAGGTTCTAAACAAAATACAAGGGCCCCTGAGCTAAGGCTTTGTGGTGTGGTGGGCGTGGTATGGTCTGGTCTCTCAAAATAACTACTCCGTATACACCCCAAGAACTTCAAATCCGAAAAGACAAATGATAATAAAATTAACGGTCGTTGAGCGTATACATTCTCACAGCAGTAGATTCTCGACGTAACGAGAGGGAAAGCAAGGGACGCTTATATAGTAACCATTTCGTGACCTCCATAAATCCTCGAATCCTACTCGTGCCGATCCAAGTTGTTAGATGTGTATTTATAGTATTTACGTTAGTTATTAACAAATCTATGGTATCGGGAAGTGTCATGTCAGCTCACTGTCCCCAGTGTGGTCCACGGGTAGATATGGTGCATCTACTCTCTTCCTCTTCGACCTCATCACCGACCTCACCTTGCCTGAATCCACTCCAATGGCGATGGCTGAGATATCAACCATCGAAATTGTGGAGATAGATGATGGTCGAGATCCTTCAGTTCAAGTCTTTATCAACAACACGCTCGCATCCCTCCTCCACGGACTCTCGCAGTCACCGGCAGAGGCCAACCTCTCTATCACCCTCAAGCGCCGAGCCAGCCCGGTTGCTTACATGATCAACCCTATCACCGGAGCGTTGGAACCTAGCTCGAGAGTTGATACATACAGGAACTACTCTTGGCCAGGGAAGACAGCATACGAGGCATGGAAATTTAGTAAGGTTTTCCCGTCACCACAGTCCGAACACCACATGAACACCATTCCTGGATGACAGACTGACCGAGTCTGCGTGTTCTGGTAGCCGTCATTCTTCGAGTCCTATCCATCTTGGACGAGGCCATTCGGACAGGCCAGCTGATCTCTAAGAGGTGAGTGAACTGGCAATGTCCATCAACCAGTCTGGAGGGCATGTTGAACACATCCACAAAATCTCCAGAGACATGTACTATATCGACCCGGAGTTCTTTCGCGTGCAGAGTGTCGTAGATCGCATTGTCGATGATCTGGCGTACACCATCGGAGTGAACAGAACGGCATTAAATGTGGTTTGTCTTGTCTAATTCTGTAGTATCATAGCATTGTGAGGCCGGATTGCTGACCTTGTGCACAACTCTCTAGGAAGCGGCAGCAAAAGGACTGGTGACAGGAGACTTTCGATTGACGCGTGGCTCCCAGACTTTGATCGATGCGCACTCTACCATCGAGGATAGTCTAATTCCTCGAATAGAGGACGGAGACGAGATTGACGTTTCACGGGCTCGGTGGGTTCTAGTCATCGAGAAAGAGGTATGAAGCATGAAGACACAACACACCGCGAAGCAGTAGGCTGAGTACCTATCCCCAGGCAGTCTTCCACCGGCTCGCGCGAATAGGTTACCACACCAGAGCACTAGCCGGAGAAGGAATCATGGTCACAGTAAGCCGCATCTCTGCTGTAGCACATCTTCTCCCCCCAAAGAGCAACTGAGCTCAAGTATACTCGAACAGGGCAAAGGATACCCCGATTTCATGACAAGAACTTTTCTGCGCGCAATGTCCGATTCTGTAACCAACCAGAATAGACACCCACCCCGTTTCTATGCCCTCACCGACGGTGATCCACATGGCATGGCCATTTTGTCAACGTACAAGTACGGCTCAACGGCACACTTGCACCAAAATGCTCGTCTGAGTATGCCGAGGTTGCAATGGCTGGGTCTTCGAGTGACAGACATCATAGCAGTTCCGGAGGTACTTGGTGACACGGCTCTCCTTTCGTTAACGACGCGAGATCGAAAGAAGATCATGACTATGCTTCGGAATAGTCCTGTCTGGGCGAGCGACGGGCCAGAGCCAGAGTGGCGTGCTGAATTACAGCGGATGCTGGTCTTGAATCTGAAGGCGGAGATTGAGATCTTATATGGATGCCAAGGAGGGTTGGAGGGGTGGATTAATCGGAGAATGTTTCGGCAGGAGTAAAGTACTGTACGAGCTGTATATTTATGAAGGTATAGAGGTATAGACCACATGGAATTAAGACGAAAGGATCTACCATATAGCATTTGCCATGGATCCCCAGTACTCTAGTAAAAGGACAAGACATGAGAATGCTAGAGTAGATGCAAGATTTAGCAGGTTTCTAGAAGAAAACAGTGTATCAAGATAATTGCATGAATTTCATCCGCTATAATAATGCGAGGATAAGAATGCACTGTACAGACCGAGAAGCCATCGCATATCCAAACCATGCATAAGAAGAAAAAAGAAACCTTTGAACGCCAGTCATCAAATCTTGACTTCCACGCCGCACAAGGTAGACCATATTGACAGCGATTTACTTGCGCCGCAGTGAGAGAGCTTCGGCATTCATCCACAACCCAGCCGGGCTCACAGACCCAGACCCTTCTTCACCTCGTCCCTGACCTTCTGCTCATACTCAGATCTCCGCTCGCGCCACATCTTAGCAGCCTCAACATTGGCGGGACTCTCATCATTTGGCTCAGCAAGCATACTCATAACAGAGATGAGAATCTTCTCGACGCTCTGGATGGGCGACCAGCGCTCCGAGGCGTGTTCGTAGTGGTTTGGGTCGTCACCGGGCGGATGAAGGATGGAGATGCAAACGGTTCCGTTGGGGTATACTATAATCAACATTCATCAGTAAGGTATTTCCCATTGTGTCTTGTGCAACGCGAGCAAGTAGCCTGGCGCAAGTCATTCCTGAGTTGTCTCGGTCACGTACCGTTGGGGTGCCACACGCCACCTCCAATAAATTTCATCGTCGGCGGGCTGAGGGGGTAATCTCTTGGGAACTTCAGCTCTGCTGCGAAGACGCCGCCCTCGAAAGGAGTTTCCTCTGGGCCCTGGATCAGGGCTTCCCAGTAAAACATGTCATCTTCGGAGACGGGACCTGCGGTGATACCCTCTGGTGGGTTGGTGGAGAGGTTCTTGTATTCGTGGAAAAGGCGCTTCTGGGCGACGGTGGACGCCATTTTGCTGAATTGATTCAAATGCGAAATGCAATTTCCGTAAATCCCTAGGTGGCAAGGATGTCTGCGGGGACTTGGGTGGGATGGGTGGGGATGGAATAATTCCGGGGCGGTGGACAAAGCGTGGCGATGCCGTCAGGGGGACCTGGACTTAGGGCCGAGATAGAAAAATGTCCAACAGTGAGATTTCTACGTAGTAGCTTAAGAGTATATATTACATCTGAATTGTGAATGTTATAGTACATATACTGGACCTTATCACCAGTCAAAATAATCTCCATCACCCCCATCACCAATGTCACCTCCTCCATCACCCCAAGGGTCATCTTGACCCCAAGGATCTTGAGGTTCATCCTGGAAGCCTTGTGGGCCTGGGTCAGCCGGATCCGATGCTGGGGTATTTGGATCGGTTGCGTTGCCCCTGTGCATTGCTTCATATCCAGCCATTGCACCTGCGGTGGTAGCGCCTCCAACCATACCATTCGGCATACCACCGGCGGTTCCAACTCGCTCAAGAGTTCCACCGGCAACTTCACCCACAGCTCCAGCTTCACCAGCGGCACCGCCTCCGGCAGCTGCACCGCCAGCGGGAGCCTGACCGCCCATAAATGGAATCGGAAAGCCAAACATACCATGGCCGTGTTGACGACTGAAGTAATCGAAATCAATGCTTACAGCTGTAGCCAGCATAACAGCCCGTTGGTCAAGGGTCATCCCTGGACCATTGTTGCCAGGTGATGTCCCGGTGCCGAGAGCAGCGGAATCCATTCGTATTGCGTAAACACCAGTGTCTGTGAAGATTTCACGCGCAAAACCTGCGAAATTGCGATTGACGGATCCAACCAACTGATTGTCTGCAGATTTTAGGGAGAAATCCCATGATAGGAAAGGCTCATCAACGTAGGCAAATTGGTTGAATTGACCCTGGTTTTGATCTGATCCTCGCACCAGCTCCATCTGCTGCGCTCGTGACAAACCGGAGTCGGATGGCGAGACATTGTGGGTTCCCATATCTGTTTCTGGGTTTGGGGACTGGTGATGGGTGAAGAGATTATACTTCCGCCGCAACGGTGCCCACTGCTGCTGCGCTTCACCAATAACTCGCATTTGACCAAGACCAAGTGGGGATATTCTTGCACTCGATCTAGTGCCAGGTTCAATGAGAGAACCGGGTGTGGTGCTTTGAAGGGAGGTGGATGCGGAGGAGGCATTTGGCGTTTGCTCAAGAGGATCATAGACGTGAATACGGGAGTTGATCCAAGAAAACGGGCGATTGAACTGTAATAATCAGCCAAACTGAAATCACAACAAGAGATGGCCATTTCATGGGCTTACTCGAAGAATTTCATTTTCGTTTCGGTCAAATACATGTGTTACGAAACTTCGGTGGGTGTGCAACCATTGCCGTGCCATTGTGTTCGCCAATCCCTTATCTTGTTCTGCCATATATCCAATGTGATTTCCTAGTGCATCCATGATGATGTACCTATTCGCTTGCTCAAACCCACTGGTGGAGTCAGTACACATAAATCTCTCCCAAATTAGCACTTGCCTGGCACTCACATCAGAACATTCATCATCTCTAGTTCTCGTTGTACAACTATCCCTGAATTCGCCAGTATCGAAATTGCCGGGTGGGTTTCTTTAAGCACCCCTCGTGGGTCTTCAGGTAGGTAAACGGGAGAAAGTAGAGTGTTTTGCGAAGGGTCGTAATTGGGATTCGTGGCATCTTGAGACTCGGGGGCAGACTCATCCTGTTGCGAGCTTTCAGCTTTCCTCGAAGTCGGTATGACATTTGGTCTTTTTCTGCTATCGCGAGGACCGCGCGGAGATGTATGACTTCTGAAGCTTGAAAGAGCTCGAGTTCGAGCTGGTGTCAACTGCTTTTGCAGGTATTGGAGCCTTATACCCCACATGGTAGTTGAAAAAGACCAAGCTGGCCTATTAAGAAGGATTGATGGAAAATTTTGGTGGAATGCGAAGTTGGCGAGTAGTCCGAACACTCCACTGAGAGGCTCAGAGACTGATGACGGAACCTTGGAGGTTACGGAGATAATCGGAGATAGCGATGGCAATAGTCCACGGGTGTTGTAGATCATATTTACTCTTACTCGGAATATACATTCTTATTTTGATACTCAGCTTATTTTGGGTGTAATTCCTTATTCATTTTTGTTCCATTACTTATAAGTATCGTTGATGAGTGTTTTTCCAAGCTCAAAACATACTTCAAGTCACTTTGTGTGCATATACATGGTAGGCTACGTTGGCAAGTCGTAGATAAGACTCTAGGATTTTGAGGAATATATATCCAGTTCATCTCCATATAAAAGGCAAGCATTATATGTTCGAGCACGTCTGGGCATGTCCAAATCAAGGTTTAGAAGCCTATGGGAACAATCCGTCCAGCGGCATCAAGCTCTATTACTTGAGCTCACAGCCCGTCGGCAGCTCCATGCCGTTCTTATAGGACCAAAAAAAATATCTTAGACCCATTTTTCACAAAAGACCCTTGCGAGCCAATTCGATTTTGCGCGTAGCTTCGCCTGCCTTGAATCCTCCCTTCGACACACAGATAGCACTTCCTTCTCCAAGTTCGACCTTCTCCTCGACATTAGGGTGAGGGCATGGGCAGTGGTGTGGGACGTGTACACAAGCAAGAGTTCCAGGGCAGAGGTAGTTGTCACATTGTGCTGTAAGAAGAGATCACGGTAGTCAGTTATGGGGTCCTAAGAGCAATGTGAACTTGCGACAGCATGTTCTTGATAATAAGATATTATGACTCTTACCGCCACTCCACAACTGTTGGTATCGATCGCTGTCACTAGGAACGTTTTGCGACCGCTGTTGTTGGCGCTGTTGCTGCTCGCCGCCTCCGAACATCTGGTCGAAGAAGTTGAATTGAGCCTGGGCGACAGACACGATAAGGAGAAGAGCCCACAGGGCTTGGCGCCAGCTCTGCAACATATTTTGATAAAATTGCACCAGCAGTAATTGTAAAATGATCAGTATTTGTATAGAATGTTGAACGAGTTCAAGTGGTGTATAGATGAAGCCAGTTTACGGGTACACACGTGACGCCAAGCCTGATCTCCGAACGAAAAACTTCCCCTTTGGAGCTTCACGATCTACACCTCCAAACAATCCAATTACAACCCGCCATGTTCAAGCCGCGAGTGCTGACGCCCCTGCGGGCACTGGAGCGAGCCTTCACCCCGGCAATTCGGTCGACACCCACGCAATCGCAATCCCTCCTGCGCACTCTCTCCGCAACATCCACATTCCCGAAAACCACCCCAACACCCTCCCTCTCCCGCGCACTCCTCCCATTCACACAAGTGCGTCATGCCTCGCACGCCTCTCAAGGAACGGCCAATCAACATTCGCGTGATCCGGCCGGAAAGCGTCTTGGAGCCAAGCGCTCGGGCGGCGAGTACGTTGTAACGGGATGCATCATTTTCCGCCAGCGAGGCTCACTATGGTTCCCCGGTGAGAACTGTGGGATGGGACGGGATCACACAATCTATGCAACACAGTCCGGCTACGTTCGTTACTATCTCGACCCGCTGAAGCACCCGAAGCGCCGGTACATCGGAGTTGTTTTCGACAAGGATGAGAAGCTCCCACATCCGCGCAATGCCCCCAGCCGGCGCAAGCTGAATATGACACCCGTGCCGATGGCGGAACGCGTCGAAGCTCAGTCTGATCTCGTTGCTTCCGTTGATGAGAATGGTGTTCGTGTGACGGATGTCCCGGCTGTTGAGGCTGAGTCTGGCTTGCAGCTGCGCCCCGGTTACATGTACCGTGAGGCTAATTGGGAGATTGGTCGGGCTGCTGAGAAGGCTGGCATCACTGCTATGCCACATGACCGTGGTAACCGTTGGCTGGCGTGGAGAAAGCGTCAGCAAAGAGCTGAGCGGGCTGCTCAGCTCAAGAGTTTGAAGGGCAAGAAGAAGACGGCCAAGAAATGAGAAAATTTCCAAGTGCATGATGTCTTGTTTCAATAACTTCTGGGTTTCTGTAGCGATATGAGGATTTGTATCTGGTGTTCACTGTATTATAGAAAGAGCATTTACCCATCAACTTTCCCACGTGTATGTTTCTTTTTTCATATTTCTTTTCATAGGAGAGATCTTGACACTGGATTGCCATAATCAAGCCCAAATGAAGAGGCATTCTAACATATAAAGTATGTTTCCAAAAGTTGGCGCTAACACAACCCAACAAACCAAACATGACCCTTGATATCCCAATGCCAATTCAGAACGAGATATCTCAAACCGCTCCACCCTTCTCCATGTGCCCCCTTGAATTCAAACAAGGCACTTAGGAACCCCGGTTGATATTGTCTGCGATTTTCTCGGCAAGCATATCTGTGACACACAGTTAGCACTCGACAGTTCAGAGCGATAACTGAGAGAAACCTACAAACCGTCGACTGAGGATGACCAGGAGGAAGAAAAGGAAAGGCGCTAGCATCAACTACACGCAGTCCGTCCACACCATAAACCCGAGCCTGGGAGTCAAGCACAGCCATGTCATCACCGGAGGTTCCCATCTTGCAAGTACAACTCGGATGCCATATGGTCATCAGATTGTCCTTGATGAACTCGAGGATTTGATCGTCAGACTGGACGTGTGGCCCGGGATTATACTCCTCGCCGATAACCACGGGCTGCATAGCTTCACTCTGGAAAGCCTGGCGAATTCGCTTGAACATGGCAATAGAAACTTCCTGGTCAGCCTGATCATCGAGCCAATTGGGATTGATCACTGGTAGATCGGAGGTATCCGCAGACTGCAAAGTAACATTTCCCCGGGACATAGGGGTGATAAGAATGCCGAGGATTGAGGCGTACTGGTATCCATCTTTTGGTTGGATTGCTAGGAGGTTTGATGCGTTACCAATATAGCCTGCGCCAGACATATACTATACAATTGCATTTTAGCAACATTCCGTAGTATGTGAAGGGAGAGTTCTCTCACCTCTGCTTCAGGCCAGTCAGCTGGGAATTTGGCCAATTCACTCTGCGTTTCGGGCGAGAAAGTCCAGCGCAAGAACCACGGAATCTTCTCCCATGCTAGGAAATCCGCGATTGGACTTGTCAAGAATCCAGTTTTAGCGACTAAGCCTTCGATAACTTGGTCAGCCGCGTATAGCAGGTCAGTAGCAAATTTAGTGAATGTTGTCACCCGCACTCGGTACGAAGGAGCAAAGAACGTGTGATCCCACATGTTCTGACCGACCCCTGGTCGATCGGCTATAATGTCAATTCCATGCTCTTGCAGTTGATCGGCCGGACCAACGCCAGACACCATGAGGAGCTGGGGGAGTGAAAGGCACCAGCAGAGATAATAACCTCTTCCGATGCCGAAAGCGTGATCGTGTTGCCTGGCGGACCTTCGACTTGAACTCCTGTTGCCCTCTTGTTTCCATCAAAAACCACCTTCTTGGCAAGAGTATGCTCATGAATTGTCAATGAATTAGGCATGATCTTGGATAAGAAAGATTCCTCTGAGCTACTTCGGAGCTCGTTGGACGGGTTGATAGTCGATGCACAATACTGGGCTCCCATTATAGTACCCATGTTAAAGTCCTCTGCTTGATCAATACCGATAGAATCCATAGCGAGGCTCATCCATGACGAGAAAGGCTCGGCGAAGTTAGCATACGACACCTGCAATGGGCCACCATCCGAGTCGAAGGCATCGGCATTATAGCCAGCGGAAGCATTTTGAGCTCTATACTTGGTGTTTGGGGCCGTGAAATTGACGCTCCTCTTATAAAATGGGAGTATTTCATCAAATCGATAACTGCTGTCATTGACCAAAGTTGCCCATAAATCCATAGACTCGCGTGTCGGACTGCATGGTCCCAGTCAGTCAAGCCGCAGGCACTCAGTCCCCACAGGGCATTACCGTTGATAGATCATGTAGTTCAACGCCGACCTGCAGAGGAGTGAGCTTCGATCTGTTGTACCGAGTTCGAAAATACCTACGATCCTCCAAGACATTTCCCTCGGGCAAAATGAATTGCCCGCCTATTAACACCCGGCTGATCTCTGGTCACGAAACCCCAATCCTCCGGTGCGCTGGTAGCAGGATCTGATCCTGTCGAAAGCACATCAGCTGGAGGAAACTCAGCCACAGATTCGAGCTCATAGTGGCCTCCAGCTTCGATCAGGGCAATATCGAAGCCGTTCTGTGCTAGTCGCGTCGCGATCACACTTCCAGCGGTACCGCCACCAACGACCACATAATCGAACGCTGCGTCGGCGAAGGGAATCCCTCGTCGTTTCAAAGGCCCAGATGCCACACTACTCGCCTGGAGTGTGAGCAGTATCAGAGCGGTCTGGAAGAGCATGGGGAATATTGGTGCAACCGCTGGGAGCTTGAGACAAGATGTGGCCGCATGTTACAACGAGACACGGCCATTATGTACAACTCGCAATCGGACCATTGCAACAGTTGCACTGACGTCGGCTCCCTCAGAAGATTGTCCATCCTTGGGGAATGCAGGGAATGAGATGTTCCGTGAGAGTTTGTTATTTCTCAGCCCAGCTGCCTTTGGCTCGTGATATATATTAAGCTGCACGAACGGTAAACGCTTCCTGGATAATGTACAGCGCTCATTCGGTATATCTTAGGGAGAGCGAACGAGTTCAACGTTCACATGACCAAACGTCGAGCTCAAGATTTCAAAACAATACTTTGACTCGATTGTCATTGATCATTGGCCAAGTACGGGGATATATCACACTGCATTCCTGTGTAGAAGGTCCTCAATAGCTGGCACTCTAGTTCTTCCGAATCAACCCACTAGAACATAATTGGCATGTCACCAGGGAGAGGAGAGGTATGGAGCTAGGACTTGAGTATCGAAATGATCTGGAAATCCGACATATTTCCCAGTCCATTTCTGCTCCGACCGCGAAGTATACCAACCCGCGAAATGTCCGTGCGCAAGTTGAGTTCTCCAGCCCCTGATTGTGCGATTTTCTTGGTAAGAAAAGCCTTCACTTGAATTGCGTAGATTTTTGGGGGCTAAACCTCATTTTATATTTTTTTTTCACACAATTGTGAAGCCTATGCTGAGTACTAAAGGCTGGACTTGACTCTACACTAGACGTAGACATCTTGTTACAAAGAGCATCAAGTGAGAGAAAAGATATCATGAAGAACCCGTTGCACAACCCGTTGCCTGCCTCACTATCCAGTATTATCCCTCGTGCTACACATGGCTGACTCACGGCTGACCACGGCCCACAGGCGAATGCAAAAAGGCGGCTGCAATTCTCGAATCTTTCATCAACCCGAGACTCAAAATCGATGGAGGAATTCCGCGTAAGATATTCGTGGGAGCCAAGGTAGGAGCTACCTTGAGAAGAAACAGCCCAATCAGTCACGACTCACTCTGTGCCAGGGCATCGCCGTATTCACAGCGCTCAGAGTTGGATTTCTCGGCTCTGTCCGCTTTGGCTCGGGACTGATTGTTGCCCGTCTCCCAGATGGTAGCTGGTCCGCACCGTCAGCCATGGCAATGGGTGGCCTCGGCGCCGGCGGTCAGTTTGGCGCAGAATTGACGGATTTTGTGTTCGTCCTGACTACTGATGACGCAGTGAAGACATTCATGCAGTCGGGAAACTTGACTCTGGGTGGAAACATTTCCATGGCTGTTGGGCCCGTTGGTCGGAGTGCAGAAGCTGGGGGAGTAGTGGGCACGAAGGGCGCAACTGGAGTATTCGCCTACTCCAAGACCCGTGGATTGTACGGCGGACTGACAGTCGAGGGTGGTGTTCTTGCAGAGCGAGCGGATGCAAACAAAAAGCTATACGGGCGGAAAGTTCGAGCACACGAGCTGCTGAGCGGATCAATTCCACCACCACCTGAAGCGGGAGTCCTCATCGAAGTTTTGAATGGGGACGAGTTCCGCATCGAGGTACCTGGACCTGCAGAACCAGCGCCAGAGAGCGCCGAGTAAGTCATGAACTTGGGCAAATCTCGGCAAAATCCGCCGGCCACTAGACCTGTTTGTGATCTAGTGCGGCCCCAACTAGGAACAATCGAGGAGGTTGAGGTCCGAGCAAATATATAAGTCAGCCCCAAGGGCCACTTCCCCTTTTTCAATTTCCCTTGACTTGAGCTCACATCGAGCTCAACGGATAATATCTCTTACTACCCACCGGAGTAAAATAAATCTGGCCCATCATGGTACTTTCAGATTCAGAGGGCTCTGATGTTGTGATGGTCAGCCCGAGCGATGTCCAGGATTTCAACGAAGAAAATATCCTGCCTCTCCCGGCAACTGATCTGAAGAAGATCAGAGAGTGGCTGCAGCCAACACCCTATGATCTCGAGGGCTCTGAATTTTCACGGCACCTCGAGTCGTATCTGCCGGGTACAGGCCAATGGCTTATCTCTACAGACGCATATCAGCGGTGGCATCAAAGCGACACGAACGGTCTGCTGTGGATCAAAGGCATACCAGGGTCTGGAAAGTCTGTTATGGCTGCATCGATCATCCACCAACTACGTAAAGAGAACGTCCCAGTGCTCTTTTTCTTCTTTCGACAGATTATCGATGCAAATCATCAACCAGTCGCAGTGCTGCGGGACTGGCTTTGCCAACTCATCCCCTTCAGTCCAAGCTTACAGGCCAAGTTAAAGAAGGATTACCTCGATAAGAGATTCTCTGTCGATAGCGTAGCTGCCAATGATCTGTGGAAAAGCATCCGATTTGCTCTTACTGCCTTCCCCAAGGCATACTGCATCGTCGATGCCTTGGACGAAATGGACCAAGGTAATGATGACTTCCTCCAGGCTTTAGTCGAACTGGGCCAGTGGCGCCCTGCCAACCTCAAGGTTTTGATGTTGTCACGCCCAGTCGTTGCAGTGGAAGCGCCTTTGAGACTATTCCCGGTGCCCGTTTTACACATGGATGATAAGCTTGTCGATATCGATATCGCTGCCTACGTGCAGCACCGACTGCGAAACTTACCCGTGCCGGAGGAGTATTGGACTCGCATAACTGAAGCCGTTCCCGGTCGAGCGAATGGTTTATTCTTATATGCTAGGCTTTCAATGGATGCATTTTCGAAACCTGGGGCCGTTGCTGGAGATGTGCTCAACAATTTGCCTATCAACCTGAACGTGATGTATGATAGGCTACTACGCGAGCATTCAGATCACTCCAATGTTCCGAAAGACCTCCAAATGCTTATTCTTCAGTCCATCACACATGCCACTCGCCCTCTTCGACTTCTTGAGGTCGCTGAGATGATCAAAGCCACTTATACTCCACTTGAGACATCTAGCTTGAAAGAGATCAAGAATTTTGTCCGAGCAGCTTGTGGCCCCTTGCTCCAGATTCTTCATGACGAAACCGTCTCGGTCGTTCACCATTCTTTGACTGAGTTCCTCAAGGGGCTAACTCGCTCGACTGTCATTAATGAATTAATTTTCCCAATTTTGGAGGCCGGTCCAACTAATCATCGACTTGCTGTTGCATGCTTGGATTATCTCATGTGTGGCTGCTTAGAAAGCATCAATGTCAAGAAACGCAAAGACAGTGACAATTATTACAATCCTAAAAAGGCCCAGCAAATTGAAATTCGCCTGAAGTTCCCATTCCTTGAATATGCAGCGAACAATTGGTACATCCATACTCGCCGTGCCGCCTTGACTGGGATGGATTTGTCGTCACTTTACTCGGTCATTGACGAGTTCTTTGAGAGCAAGAAACAGTTCATCGCTTGGTTGGACATCGATTGGCCGCAACATTCTCTTCAAGGTGTTACTCCGCTTCATGCTGCCGCCAAAGCCGGGCTGGCCCAGTACGCCGCCCACTTGTTCCAAAAAGGCAACGTCGACCCAAGTGTCAAGACCCACAATGGAGATACACCTCTTTACTGGGCTGCCTTTGGTGGTCATGGAGATGTTGCACAAATTTTGATCCAGAACGGGGCAGATCCGGACGGCGAAGCGAACCAAGGATACAAGCCTCTTCATGAGGCCGCCAGGAAAAACCACGCCGATGTCGTCAAAACCTTGCTTGCTGCTGGTGTTGATCCAATGACACCAAAGACACAAGATACTCCAGGCAGGCGCTGTGGCAATGCGCCTACATCAGTTGGTCATACTCCATTGATGTACGCATGTCGCAAAGGTCACCTCGAGGCAGTAACTGAATTTCTACCCTATCTCTCAGAGGCCAACATTGAGAAGGCCCTCAATTGGCTTTCGGGCTCAGGACACGCGACATGTGTATCTCTCGTTCTTCAAAACAGTGTCGTGGATATGAAGTCACACTTCGGAGGAGGACTTTTGTTCGAAGCCTGCTTGAACGGCGACCTGGATACGATCAAGGTTCTTGTTGAAGCAGGGGCGGATCCCAACACTCGCTGTCTCTATCCCGTGGACGAATTTGGGGGCATTGGTTCTCGCATGCATATTCCAAGGAAAAGGAAAACCCCTGGAAAACGAGAAGAGCCCAGGGGCTTCACTGCTCTACATGCTCTGAGTGGGATTAAAAACCGTATCGAAGATTGCCAGGACTCACTGGAATGTGTTTCAGTCCTCCTCCAAGCTGGCGCTGATGTTCATACAAAGTCCGAAAATGATGGAAAGACAGCTTTGCATTTCGCCTGCGCAAACAATATAAATATTGTTCCACTTCTTTTGGAGGCAGGGGCGGACCCTTACGCCAAAACCGATAGTGGAGCCACGATACTACACACCGATGGAAAAACCGATCAAAAACTGCTTCCCATCCTGATTGATTCGGCAGCTGTTGATATCAATAGATTGATGGCAGAGAGCAACGGCGGACCCTTGTTCAGTCGTCTTCGTGGTTACAATTCTGAAAGCGTAATTGAGATTCTGAAGTACATCATGGACCCAAATCTGACCGAACCGGACGGTAATAGTTTTCTCCATGTGTTTCTCGATCAGTATCCTAAAGATACTGTTCTTGAGGCTTTGCTGTCCGCTGGCGCTGATCCGAATCTTCAAAACAATAAGGGCGAAACGCCACTGCATATAATGAGGGATGACACCAAACTTGAAATAATCTCCAAGCTGGTCAAGGCAGGTGCAGATCTTGAGATCCGGGATTTGAAGGGTCAAACAACCCTCTTCAGGAACCTTTCCAGGTATTCGGGGGACATGTCCAAAATTTCCAAATCCCTTATCGACCTAGGCGCCCGACTGGACACACGGGACAACAAGGGCCGTACTTTGTTCCACATATTGGTCTGTCAAGTTAAAGCTCTAGACATTTTGATAAAGATGATGGATTTTGACCCTTCAGTCGCCGACAATGAAGGCAATACGCTTTTCCTTGAGCTCGCTTTCGCAAGTCGTAGATGGAACAGCCCGTCAAATTTCAAACATCTCAAAAGTCTGGGGGTTGATATTGACCGTCCTAATTCCCACGGGTGGACAGTCTTGCATCAAATGTCCTTCCAAAATAAGTGTGACAGGAGACCTTCTGTCGAGACGCCGTTTGAGTATGTCCTCCGAGAGTGCAAGAACAAAGGTCCTCGGGATATAGACGGGATTCAGCCTTTGCATATTGCTGCTGCTGTGTCAGAAGATAATGTGTTTGGGCTTCTCTGTTCTGGGGCTGATATGTTTGCCTTTACGAAAGAAGGCATGACGGTTCTCCATGTCGCAGCTCGAGCCCGAAAACCTGGAATAGTTGGTCTTCTTCTTTCTAGAATGATTGGCCTTGACGATGAAACGCGGAACACCTTCATCAATCAGAAAAACGTGGAAGGAGACACGGCACTTCACTTCGCCTGCTGTTCTGGTCGACCCGAGACTGTCGATCTTTTGTTAAATGCCGGCGCAGATCCCACTCTGCCGGGCAAGGATGGATACACTCCATTGAGAGCATGTGTCAATTTTGAAATGGAACAAGTACGATGGCAGAAAATAGGCAAAATCGAGGACGTCAAGGCCCTCAAGACCGCCAGCATCTGGCTTGGTATCCGAAGTTTGCCACCGGCGCAAGATGACTCCAAGGAGGGATCCAAGGATTCTCAATGGAGATCAAATAGTGGCGAGGGTGGTTCAAGCTCGACGCGTCTAGATGAGATTCTCACTTCATTGGTACTGCACAGCAAAAACCTTTCTGCGGACAATGACTCGCTTCGGGAAGCATTCCAAGAAGCAGTATCTAATCAACGTGACTATACCGCGGAATGCTTACTACGGCTCCAGAATCGTGTGTTCCCTAACATGAACCTGATAGAGGGCCCGGGGGGCAACGACTTTGTCATGTGCAACGCTCGGCTTCAAGCCGAAATATCGTCCCTCAGAAAGGAAGAAAAGAGGCGAAACGAGTGGATGAAGACAAACCATGGAAGCATAAATTTACTCTTCTTACAAATGGTTCAGTATCTTCGTCTTCGGCAATATGGTCTATTCGAAGAATTGGCTTCACAAACGGACCCCCTCGAGCTAGATTACACCCATATCTCTATTGTCCACTGTCTTGTGGATGATGGTCTTTCAGAATTGTTAGATCGTCTCTGTACTCCAGAGCAGGCTCTGAAGTTTGATGACCACGAATGGTGCGAACATACCGAGAATTCCTGTTCCCGTTCTGGTTCTCGTATCCGTTCCAGTGCTAGGACAGTGCCTCTTCTGATGCACGCATGCCACCGCAACTTGCCAAATATGAAAGTGGTCCGAACACTCGTGGAAAATTTGGGTGTGAACATCGATGCAAAGCGCAGGGAAGAAAGATATGTTGATGACGATTATGTGACCGTGTTGGATCATGCCGTGCTACATGACCTCGCTAAGGGCGAAACTTGGTGGAACGTGCATCAGGCTTTGCCGTACCTCATCAGCAAGGGCGCGGACCTGGAGGTGCGTAATGACAAGGGCGAAACACCTTTGCATATCGCTTTAGACTATAACAAGTCCAAGGGCGTCTTTTACAAAGATGCTGTGGATATCCTTCTGAATCATGGCGCAGACGTCAACGCAGTCAGCGCCAGTGGGGAAACCTGCCTGTCAAAGGCTGGCGCTGATATTGACTTGATCAAGTTGCTCTTATCTCGTGGCGCTGCAATAACTGCTACTGCTATATTCGCCGCCATTGACTTTTGCAATGTTGAGTTGTTGGAGCTCTACCTCTCCCGTAGTGATGTCGCCAACATGCGGCGGCCCGCGCCAAAGAGTCGAGTAAGACCTCACCCACGTGCGGACACCATAATTCCAGCTGCTGAGGAGTATCCTGTTTTCTATGCGGCAACTTCAAAATCCCTTGATGACGTACCTTGCAAGGAGTTTGATATTGTTTCCGTTCGGAAGGACGCGATGACAGCGCTTCTTCGGAATGGTGCAGACCCATACGCTACCTTCGTTGAGCTCCATCGAGTAAAGCATGACTCTTTCAGTGATGGCGACGATTCGGACTCGCACGATTTGCATGCTGGTTCCAAAGATCAATGGGAACCCGAAACCCTCACTGTCATCCATGAGATCTTGACTAGAACGAAGGTGTTTGAGCCACTGCTTCAACTGGCAGATCTCCAACTGGAATGTCGAGACGACAAAGGCAGAACGTTGATCCTTTGTACTAGTAAACCTGAAGCAATTCGACAGCTTGTCGACCGCGGGGCTGACATTACCGCCCAAGACAAATCTGGCAAGACCGTGGCTCACGCACTCATAGCCTGCCAAGCCACCGAGGACAATATCAGCATCATGCGGGCTCTCTTTGACCAGAATCCTAGCATTGTGCAGTTAGGGGATGAAGCCGGTGATACTCCGCTCCACTATGCGCTTCGCAAACGATGGATACAGTTCGAACATGTCGATCTACTACTTGAATACGGAGCAGATCTGCACCAGCCTGATTCAAACGGTGATACAGTTCTCCATATTCTTTGCACAAGAGCATCTGATAACAAGACACGCATCGAGCACTTCTTGGCCCTCGGGCTGGACATCAACGCACGCAACAAGAAAGGCGACACTCCACTCATGCACTGTCTTGCGAAGGGCAGATTACGATCTGATATGTGGTCTTACATTGGCAATAGCTCCAGCGACAATGACAACCTGCGCCTGCTCCAAGATCTTGGTGTGGATTTCCATGCGAGAAATCACGCGGGGATGTCGATGCTTCATGTAGTTGCTGGCAGGAAGGTGCACGATACCCTTGGTGTTTCTGAGTGTGATATTGAAGATGATAAGGAAAACCTAGTCAGTTGGTTCAACTTCATTATGGGCTTGGGTGTGGATCCTATGCTTGAGGATGCTCAGCAGCGAACTTCTTTGGATCACGCTGCTGCTTGTGGCAATGAGCATATATTGAAGTTGTTCAAGCACAAGAACGCTGAGTGAAAGTGGTCGGGTGGGCTCCCGAGGTCATTTTGGGTGATATTCAGGATTATTTTCCCCTTTGTTTTTTATATGCATCCTGCATACAGAGGGAAGGCAAATCAAAATCAACCATCTCGATTTCCAGCAGTTCCAAGCATGAGCAAGATCATACCATCTAAATCTGAGGCCACTACCGCATTTTTCCCGACTGTCTTCTAATAGATATTTTCTATTTACATACCATAAATCTTCCCTTCGTCTTTTTTTGGAGTCTTTTCAACTATCATTTGAGGCATAACCGCGAAGTATCCAATGAAATGATTACAAGCCCATATTACACCAGCTGTTTCCAGACTTTTCAGACGGTATGTATAGGCACTTTCATGCTAAGCAATTTTATGTATGATCCAGATCGCGCCTGTCTTTTCCACACGAGCATATAAGCAGGGCAATGCTCGGCGCGCACGCACCTGTAATTCTGTAACCTACATAAACAGAAAATGACACGCATTGAATCCTGGTCACCGCGTCTCTCGCTGTATCTCCTTAGTATAACCTCGATAGTGTAGTGCCTCTATAACGATATCAAACCAAAGATTTTGTAAAGAGAAATATAGTACTAGTTCCGAAAGAATTAGGCGTGGTGGACTAGTGGCACTGGATATCTTTCGTTAGATAGATCGTAAGGGTAAAAAGCTAATTCCGTAGCCTCTTATAGCGTAAAGTGGTATTGTGCTCCTGGGGCGAAGGAGCTACCTCCTAGGAGCGAAAGGACATAGGAGGATTCTATATGAAGCTTCTGACTCTTAGGTCTAAAAATACCCCTAGGAGATATACTATGGCTCCTAAAGGCCAATTAGAAGCCTTTCTAGGAGCCTGCGCTGTGGTCCTAGGAAAGATTACAAGACAGTGTATTGAGGCGCTAAATCAGAAAAGGCAAAACTAATTCACAGGTCCGCCGTTTGCTCTATACATTGGAATACACCAGATGTCCGTCACCTTAGTCCAGATAGCAATCCATGTGACCATCTGTGCCTTGCTACGCTGTTGGCACGAGTTTTGATTCTTGGCATTTTTTGACCGCTTCATTCATGAATACATCAGTCCAAAGCCGCCAAATATTGTGCTCCATCAAGTATTTATGGTCCTCAGTGGGATGAAAGTGGACATTATTTCCGCTTTTGGTATGTAAGGCCATCGGACAAAGTGCATCACAATTTGACCTTTCTCCTCTTGGATATCAGCAGATATTTTCCTGATACGTCGTTGCTCTGGGACGTATACAGATTCTCCAATTCTCTTCAATCCCTGTTCTTCAAGCTCCACGATGCGCTGAGCACAAAGCCCGGAGTATTGATCACGCCAAATACCGCGATATAAAGTTGATTGGAACATCAAGTGGATGGCTTTCCGTCTAATTTGAGAATCACGGCAACGTGACGCAACAAGGAACATTGGCGGTGTGATCCCAAGATCAAAGCTGAACATGAGACTGAATTGTTGAGAGGTCACTTTCCAGATCTCGAGGATCTCTTCGGTGAGGGTGACAATAAATTGAAATGTTTCGTGATAGTCGTCAAAGGTTGTCTCTTCTGCTGTATAATACGTCCCAGTAATTATGACCGAGGTATGGTAGTAAAGCTCTAGAAGCTTGCGTATGCAGTCCCGAAGCTCAGCAGGCTCTGTTACAAAATCAGAAGCATCCAGTGCATCTTTCCAGCGTCGTAAAATTGTCATTGGACTCATGTTGGGCTGCTGGCAGTTTGTGACCTGCTTTTTCTCAAGCACGGAGAAAGCATAGTCCATGCCACGGTCAAAATCCCTTCGAGCAACGTCCAACGACGTATATGATGATGGGATAGCCGGAGCAGGCAGACATAATTCGATGCCAGTATTGCTGAGGGCGTGACGGGAGTCCATGCACAAGGAAAATTGGACGCGCAGACGTTGCAAGACAGGCGTAATCTTCTCGTTCATCAGCTCCAAAATTGGCCGAGAATATTCTTTCAGCTTGGTGTAGGCGTTGGTATATGATCTCCACCAGTAAATTAACTTGAGTCCGGCAGTCAAATGAACTATACACGAAGCATCACCACTTCTGAATTGCTCAAAGCAGATAAAAATAATGCACAAGATCATCGTGAGATCAGGTTTCGAAGACATATTGAGAGAATCAGACTGTAAAGATTTAATGGCTTCAATGTAATATTTGAGGGCCAAAACTTCCGCGGTCTTTCTGGCATGGCTCGGAGGCTTTCGAATCGAGGTAGACGCATCATTAGGCTCAAGACTTTCGTGCAAGGAGGCCAGCGCTGTAATGGCATGTTTCACTGATGCTTCATTATGTCCAAAATGAAGAAATACCGAAATCCAATCGCCTGCATCCTGCTGGCCAAACACCCTGTGAACAGTGCGCGATCGAAAAAATGCAAATGCTCGGCGTTCTGTGTCACTAAGCTCATTCTCGGATGAGACGGATTGCGGTACAATGAGATAGCCCTCACATATTCGCTTCGTGCCGACACAGCGTAAGCAAGCAGGCTTTTGCTCATCGCATTTGACATGCCTGATTATTGATGTTAGTCCTCAGAACGAGATATATGACATGTCTTCTATCATACCGAGACCTGAAGAATTTTTAGCGTGCCCGTGATATAATGACTCCTGAGAACTTACTTGCAGGTCAGACAGCCACTCCGAGTATTCCGTCGGGTTATTGCTTTTGCTGTCTTCATCATGGGATCACGTTGGAACTCATCGTGAGGGACGGCTTATGAGTATGAAATACTTTTCGCGCTGTGCCTGCCAACGATACACATTGACTGAAAGATGAAAATGCAGATTCCGGACGAGCCGAGACCCAAAGATATTTTATATAATCGAGTTTGATTCTTGGCGCAGCCGATAGAATGTCCACCGATTGACTCAAGTGGTTGCGAGGCTAATCAGCCGCGAGTCCTCCCAAGGTCACATACAATCAGGTCTGGCTCGTGATTGGTTGCGTCGGAACTGGAGTGTTTCAACCAATCAAAGCACGAACCACAAGAGGACCAGACCCACCTGACCCAACTCACGATGTATAGAGCCACGTGACTGGACGGCGATTTTACTTCATTATCTTTCTCGTTCAATCTCATCACAGGACTAAAGGAGTAAGAGAGAAGTGAGAGAATGCACCGATCTAACCGGTCAACCACCTACGAACCTAGTGAGAACAGGGCAGAGTTTGATGCTGTTCTTGAGGACCCTGCCGATGGAGTCAGCTGGGCCTTTCCAGAAGGTGGCCGAGATGCATGGGGTTGTTTGCTGGGATCATGTCTCATGATGTTTCCCTCATTTGGCTTTCAGACTGCAGGTGAGAATGAATTATACTCCTTTTGAATATATTCGTCGACACATCGACTGACACTTTGATAGTTGGATCTGTCCAGGATTATATCAGCACCCACCAGTTGGCCGAGTATGGAGAAAGAGATGTCGGCTGGATCACTGCGGTGCTTGTATTCTTGACCTTGTTCCTCGGGGTCCAGGTTGGACCGCTATTTGATCGATATGGACCCAAAGTATTGTTGATTAGTGGATCACTTGGGAGTTTCGCTTCCTACATACTGCTCGCAGAGTGCACGAGGTATTGGCACTTTATGCTCTGCCTGGGTGTTCTTGGTGGCATATCGGCAGCAATTGTCACGACAGTCTCCATTGCGGTTCTCAGTCACTGGTTTAATCGAAGACGCGCCCTTGCTTCTGGAATTTGTATGGGAGGATCATCTGCGGGTGGTGCCGTGATTCCCTTGATGCTACGAACTTTGTTTGAAAAAAACGGATGGAAGTGGGCTATACGGATCGTAGCCTTTATGGCTTTAGGGTGCTACATGGTGGGAGTCCTACTCGTTAAAGGACGTCTACCCACTGGCAGCAAGAGCAGAGTGACAATTGACCTTGCAGCTTTCAAGTCACCCCGTCTATGTTTTCTTGCGGTGGCAGTCTTTTGTTTCGAGTTCATAATCTTTGGATGTGCTGCACTTCTTCCATCCTATGTCCGTTACAGCGGTTTCTCCGTGGATGTGCAATTCTATTCCCTCACTGTCTTGAATAGCATGAGCCTTCTCGGGAGAGTCCTCCCTGGCTTTGCTGCCAATTTATTTGGCCGATTCAATATCTTGTTATCCTTGGTTCTGATAACCATCATAATCATGGCAGGTGTGTGGCTGCCATATGGGTCTCATGATGAAGGCACCCTTTACGCGGAAGTGGCGATCTTTGGATTTGGTTCTGGTGGGTGGCTCTCGCTTGCTCCAGTTTGTGCAGGCCAGCTATGTGACACGAAAGATTATGGTCGATTCTACGGCACCGTTTACTGCGTGGCTTCTTTTGGGGTCTTGCTCACTGTGCCTATTGGAGGCCAGTTGCTGCAGTCGACCACACCACAGGTTCTCATCGGGTTTTACTCTGCCATGATGCTCGTTGGACTTCTCAGCGTCATATTGTCTCGATGGGCTCTTTTGGACTGGAGCTGGAAGTGGAAAGCCAAGGTATAGACTAGAAAGATTGAGCAGACGGGAGAATTTACACTGGCTTGGGAATTTTACATAGATAGCCCTGCTTCCCTGAAAGATTACATTGCGTTTGCCTCCTACTTATTTTGTCCTACCCAATTGATAGGCTTGACACCTGTATGTCTATATAGTACCTAAAGCTTGTAGTCTATTCATGAAATGATAGTCCACAGCAGTTCAAGTAGTAAGTGACGATAACTGCCTAATACTGATATCAAAGTAAAGAATAATCTAATCAAATGCAATAAATCAGTATTTTATCAATTTTAGCAGTCCTTAGTATAATTATACTAGCGTGGCACTAAAATTGGCTCAGTCCTATAGTACCTCGTAGCACCATATCGCAGCACTAAATTTGCCTTGTAGTGTAGGTGTTGCCGGACTTATCAAGGCCTACAAAAAGTCCCTTGTATTCCAAAATTTTTTACACCATGTAAAATTTGATAGCCGTATTCGAAGATAGAGTTAGATTTAGATTATTTAGATCGAGCATAACTTAGTGAACACTAATTTGGCTACGAGATCATGGATTCAAAGCAAAGATTCCTCTTTAGAGGGATGGAGGCATAACGAATTAAGGTCTATCCCAGCCAAGTGGTTGAACCAGTTAACAGCGCTCGTAGTGTAGATAGATCCATCAAAGAATAAATATGATAAATGACATTGGTATCAAGAACTAGCACAAGAGATCACTCCTCAAATAAGCGACCTAAAATCAAACTTTGGCAAACAAACTCATTACCAACAACCCTCGCAGTACACTGAAGCTCATTAGGGGGCGTGGGAGTGGACGATGCAATCGACTTCCTACGCTTATTCCCATGGAACAAATGGATTCTCTGCGCCTTCGGTTTGGGTGTCAACATCGACTTTGCAGCAGCTTGATCTGCATCATCAACATAGATCCAGTCCCAGCTAGTCGACAGACCGGCGTCAGCCTGCGAATCTATCAATGCCCTAGCCGTGCCGAGATCAGGGACACGCTCAACCCGAGAGGCCCCCAGGGCATAGGTCAGGAATATGTAGGCTTTTCTCTTTTCCTCCACCTTCCCACGGCCCATGACAAGGAGCACTGATTGCCCAGCGAGCAGCTTTGTGCGTGCGGATATAGTTTCGGCAAGGCGGGCTGTGGATGGATGGCTAGGGGTCATGACTCTGGATTTTGTTGCTCCATTGAGGTACATTGAGTCACCGGCTGGGAGGAGATAGATATCCCAGTCGAGGATGCGAGCTTGGGCGACACAGTCCTCTACCCACCGGCCAGCCAGACATGGGAGGTTCAACGCCAGTGCTTGCATGTATTTTTCTCGCCGTGAATGGGTATCGGCAATTAAACATGCAAAGCCCACATCCTCAGCAAGAGTTGTAAGACGGAGACCTTTCTGGTTGAGGTCTGCGTCCTTGGTGCCACCTTTGATGGGAGTATCAACAGGAACAATTGACGAAGCCTCGAACAATTCTGTAAATCCCTCATGTAATACAGTGCCACCATTTTCGATGATCAGTCTAGTCACACGATTTTTAGAGGCTTCGTCCTCCTTGTAAGAGACTGCAAATACCATCCCAGCAAAGATGCCGCTACCTTGCTGAATGCTGCGGGACAAGCGAGAACTGGGAGAAGCAGGCGCGGATGACCTTTCGGATGGGGTATGGACCATGCTCTCTTGCTGAACAGGCGCCGGGCGATATGTGAACACCCGATCTTTGAGTTGATTCCATAGGATAGTATCGAGATAGACACGAGCGATCGGCACCTTAATCACATTCTCGCTGTTGCCAAGCCCCCCATTTGGCAGACTTTTGCGTTGCTTGGGGCCGACTATGACAGTTGTGTGACCGTAAATGTCAGTGATAGGATGAAGGCCATCATCCGCAGCTTTAACTAGCTCTTCTCTACTGAGTTTGTCACAGAATCCGCGGACGACATGAGTAACCTTTGGAACATTAGGCATATCGATTTTGACAGCATCTCCGACACGAAGCTCGAATCTCTTAACGGCACCCTTCGGCACCTCGACAGGAAGACTGTCCTCAAATTTCACAGAGTATTTTGTCTGCGATACACCCAGTGGTGTTCCGAAGCATGTTGCTGGGTAGTATGCCCGTTTCTGGCCCATCCAGACAGAAAGAACCTGACTTGGAGCAACGATAATGTTTTCCGATAGATTGTGGGATGGTCTAGGTGTGGTAGGAGAGTCATTTACACTGCACGCCTCCGATTCAGTAACATAATCCGAGGCAATTGTTGATGATGCATCAGTGGGTTCCGACGATGGAGGTGGTTGTCGATTATGAACGACAACCTTTGGCGCAGGTGCTGATTTCGCAGCAAGCCTGGAGCTCGTTTCTGGGACATGCTTCTCTTTCGTAGGCAGTGAAGTAGCCATCTTGCCGATCCTTGATCTCCGACGGAGGGGCTGTTCAGGCGAATTTTCGATCTCCCAAACATTCTCAGGTGCTCGTCGCGGAGGCTTTGATTGCCTTCGCACGGCTTTTTCGGAGATTCGCACCAATGGCACATCATCATCTGACTCTGTGGGAATAGGAGCTGGTCGTTCTTGTGTTGCTCGAATGGGTGCAACGGATTTTGGAGGTTGTGCACGAGGGGTGAAAGGGATAATAGGGTCGGAGGCAATGTAGCTCGAGCCATTATTGCCGCGCCTCTTCTTCTTTGGTCGAGTTGGCGATCCATCAATCAAAGCTCTGAATTCTTGATCGTCGGTGGTAAAGACCCCAATTCCCAAATCAAATCCGCCTACCCCAACCTGCGGGGAAAGATCTGCTGCAATTTCAGTCAGAGCCCTACGCTGGCCTCCACCCGGGCTGGACAACAATTTTTTGAGAGGCGAAGAGAGTGCTCTTGCCCCAGCTGGGCGGATATGATTCTTCCGAATAGTGGGGACTTCATTGAACATGGGTGGAAGATCATCGTCTTCGTTGTTCAGCCCATCGCCATTCCACCCAGTCTCGGAATTGCATTGGGAGTGATTGGGACTTGTTTCTGGGATACTCGTCAATCGAGCCATATCACCAAGATGCTTCAGACGTTGATTCATCGGTGTCTCAGCCACACGGGATGGCATCGATGATGAATTACCCGCAATTCCCGCTTCGACTCTGGAATGAGATGAGTTTATAAGTTGCTCCTCCGAGTTGTTGCTGGAGTGTGCCGGTATACTCTCGTTAAGTGGCGCACTTTGAACGGGTTGAATGGCATGACCATTCGATACGAAGCCATTTCTCTGGGTATTGCTGTTTGAGTGTCTTGATTGCGGTCGTGAGCAGGGAGAGGAGGACTGAAGACGTTCTCGTGCAGGAGAATTCACATGAGAACGCGAAGGCGACTGATCAATCATGTTCTTCGTATTTTCAACTTCTATGCGCTCTGGTGATGACTGAGGTGACGGCTGTGAGTCTTTTACCATTACTTGGGAAGAGCGCACGACTCCATTCAGCTGAGCACCACTGCGAGAGCCGAACGAGTCTCGATGAGCTATCTCATCCTCCAGCTCCTCGTCCACCCTCACACGGGATGGACTCAGTATTGGCTCAAGCCCAAGTACCTGAGATAGCCGGTTGTGGGCACTAGCGGCAGCAGCGGCATCCAGAGGAGGTCCGTCGTAGTTTTCTTTGTCTTCTTCGGCTGAAGATTGAGGAAATTCTTGTGACCGGGGCACTTGCATTTCTTCCTCTTGTTCGGTTTCTTCCTCGCTGGCAACAGCTTCTATTGTTTCCTCGTCTTCTTGCCGTTCTCTTGGTTGCTCGGGACACGTCTGTGATATAGCAGACCCATTAGGTCTAGGTCTGGCAGGAGCACTCAGCCCGGCAAACTGAGCCGCAGCTTCCTCGTCGATTTCTCGCTGTCGTCGTGCCCGTTCTATAAAGCTTGATTCTTTAAAGAACTCCTTGTCACTCTGATCCGACTGGATGTTGTCGGCCGAGCGAGTCAACCTCTCCCCCAATGTCCTATCACGCTTTGTCTGCGATTCCTTCATCGATATATAGTTCATGTTCGGTTCCGAGGATTCTCGCATGAACTGAACCGGCAGGCCCATCAACGGTGATGAGATACCATTGACAACACGAGCGGGTTGAATCGGGATATTGGGGGACGGACGATCGGATACAAGCTCCGTCTGCAGGCTGTGGACAATGGGGGACGACGGGACTTGGGTAGCCCCAAACACCTGACTGAGGCCAAGGAGACCGCCACTTGACTCGATGCCACTAGCCAAGGGATTTCGCGAGATGCTCGGGGTCTCTGCTGTCCCACCCTTTGTCTCGTTATTCTTCGCTGCCGTCCCGGGTGTTTCTGCTAAAAACCGTTGCGATTCGGGGAAGAGATCCGGTGCGTAGACCATTGGGGAAGACTCGTTCTGATCAATGGTGCTCCCGTCGTCATTATCATCGTCGTCTTGGGAGAGGTTCGTTCTGTGGTGGGCGGCGTCCAATTCGAAGAGAAGGTCGATGTGGCCGCTGTCGCCCTCATGCAATGTTCTCAATGTTGCCCCATCGGCCCCCGTTTGTGAATAATCATGTCGCATGGACTCCTCATTTTGTCTGATGATGCTGTCATACACTGACTGCGAGACGACCTGAGTATCCCCAGGAGCAGCCTCTGCGGGGCCTATATTGCCGAGTTGCGAGCCCGGCGCAATGCCCGCTTGATTTCCATTTTTATTAGACATTACTGGGAGTTTTTCATGCTGCCAAGATCGAGACGGGGAGGATTTGTGTTGGTGCACAAGGCTCGCGGGGTTCGATGGTGTTTTCAGAGATGGGTGTTGGCCGGTGCACACTCCGTCACCATTGGAAGCGGCGTTCACTTTATGGTGTGTGTGACAAAGAGTGTGATTCGGCTGGTTACCAGTTTTTGCAGACTCCGACAGGTACGGACGAGATAGATCGTGCTCCTGGGGATGTCGGAGTTAGTCCAATGAGGGCAAGGCACACTGCAGGTGGTTACATACTAGCCCCAACGCGTCGCGTTGCAACTTTGCAAGGTCGATGCTGTCGTCTTGGGTTTCCATTTTCAGACCACATACAATATTTAATAGTTTAGCACATAGTGCTGGAAGTAGTGGCTTCGGCAAACTTTGTTTTGAGAAACTCTGGTCCTTAGGATGCCTTTCGTCAAGAAATAATGGCAAATGGAGGCGTCGGAACGCGAAACGCGTGTAGCACGTGACCGGAAGTAATATTACTATTTATGGACTAGCGCCGTCGACACACCATCACCATTATACAACACGATTGTGGCATGGTGATTGTCAATACTTCAAAGTCTATAAATCAGTTTATTAAATGACTTCAAAAGGTGTTGGGAAACCTGAAATGAAACATGGATTCATGGGTCATTCATTATGCAATGATAATACATATGTACAGTTATACAAAACAATGCAACATAATTACAGAGAGGGTATCTGAAGCCCTGAAGATTTCCCAACTTGGAGAGATCAAAGAAGAAATCAAGACGATCAATCGCGAGTGCGGTTTGGAATCCATCTTTTGATGAGGAATTCGCGCACCTTGTATTGGCCAAACAGCGCTCCAATATCATCCAAGGAAGCAGCTGGCGGGGGCACTTCGACATAGCAGACGACCAAGCTCTTCAACACCTGGGCCTGGACACGGCTTACGCAGTGCAACCACCACCAACTCCTGGCTTGCTTCTCTGCTGTGTAGTTCCTCCGTTCCTCCGTCTCGGACCAATAAGGGTGGCTATAGGAAGGAATGACAATGACTGCGAACTCGGCGTGAGAGAAAACTGGCCCGCGGTTATAGAGCAGGTAATCGGTTCCGAATTTGACACCGGACCGAATGACCCAGCCGAGGGACCGGAAGTGATGGTAGACTGTGTAGGAGATCATGAAGGGATCATCTGGTTGGAGGGATGCGGAGCTATCACGGGCAGGCTGGAAGGAGTGGTTGCAGAACTGTTGGAGGAGGGCAGAGGTGGTGGTTGGCGAGGTCGCTTGGACTTCACCCGACTTCAAGGGTGCATCGTAGATTTGCAATGCTCCAAGGGAGTAGGCAAGGAAGAATGCCTCTTCATTGGAGAGTTGAAGATGCTCCTCATTTGGGAAATCATCTGCGTCAAGGCTGTCGACGACGGAGTCCGGCAATTTTGGTGACGAGGGCGAGGTAGATAGGAATTCTTTCTTTTGTACGATTGGTGAAAAGCGCACGGATTTGCCGTTAGAGGTCTCGGTTTGATTTTGTTCGCCGGCAGCGGCATTTTGTGCGGCCAATTCTCGCGCTTGCCGTGCCTCCAGCGCTCGGGCTTCTCTAGCCTTCTTCAAGGAGAACTTCTCGGTTGCAGCCGCTGTGGCATTAGTCGTATCGTCTGTGGTTGACTGAGCGTCGTGGTCGAGGGATTCAGAAACACCGGATTTCCTAGCAGCCGCCTCGGCTTTGAGTCTTTCCTCGATGGCCAGCTTCTCCATCCGGGCACGCTCTAGCTTCAGTTCACGACGTTCAGTCCGTCGCAGTCTTGTAATCTCCTCACTGGTCTTGCCATCCTGTAACCCTCTTCGTTTTTCTCTCGCGCCAGCCAGCTGGGCTCACTTCGGCTTAAACTACCCTTGCCAAAGAATCCCATTTGCCATAAGGCTTTAATAGACCTCTCCTCTGTAACATGGATTGATGAGGTGGCTTTGTCAAAGTAGGCCGAGTAGACTTCTTGGCGGGGCGGGGAGATAAGAAATGTGAGGTACGAGAGAGCAACGCTTATAAGAGAAAGAGGGTTATGAGGAATTACAGGAGGAACGTGATGTACATTGACCGGAAGAGGAAACTGGTGAATCTGTCTGAAGTTTGGCCTAGGAGGACGAGGGGCACGAGGCGGACGAGCATCTGATGCGGGCCCCGACTTGGCTGCCACAGGCTTGTCCATGCTTGTTACTGAAGTAGCCATCCTGGGAAACCACTACTGGATAAATGAGATATTTCAAAGTCCTAAACACAAAGTTCGAGGTTAGCGAATTGTGCGGAGACATGCGAGGTGAATCAATTGTCATGGTAATATCTTCTCAGATACCGTTGTAGTCAATTCAGCGGATCATCGACAGGCAACTAGAAATCAAAGTGTCGCCTGCCTGAGCTAAATAAATGGTGTCATCACCGAAGGTGAAGGATGGGGCTGAAGGAGGAAGGGTTAGAGAGCTGAGGAGCATCTTACCTAGAAGACTTTGTGTATGAACAACCTGAATCAATTGTCAATTAGTAAATCCACCATGACTCTGCACATCAACAGAGCGCAGTGTCATTTAGTAGAGATTATTTTCTCTTCTCTGGTCAAGTGCGAGAAAAAAAGGAAATTTCGCGGTGGAAAGCTCCGTTTAAAAAGCACTCCGTGACTAAGCAGTATGGTCCGAGCTCTTCCTCGTCGAGAAAAAAATTCCTCCACTTATCGCCGACGCATATACTAACACAGGACTATTCATCAAATACCGTCAAGTGAGTTTCTAATTCGTGTCCAAGTGGTCTATTATTTGTATGCTAATCTATTTTCCTCCAGAATGCATCTTATGGTATGTTTGATTGCGCCATCGAAGCGAGCGAATCTTCAGCTCCATTCGGAGATCAGTCCTAACTTTCAAACGAACAGTACACCCTCAACGCCGATGGCAAGCGCAACTACACCTTGAAGAAGGTACGGAAATCTTTGCGCTGGGGAGATTGCCGCTTTTCAGCGAATATGCAGCCCCCCGGGATCACAATCTCAACTTTCGACAATGATGGCTAATTTTCGGCATTATAGGTTCTGAACGGCGAGGTCACCAAGTCTGCCCACCCCGCTCGCTTCTCCCCCGATGACAAGTACTCTCGGTGAGTAGCAAGATCCTTGTACATGGCGGATAATGGATGAGTTGGAAACTGACGTCCTTCCCAGTCACCGTGTCACCCTGAAGAAGCGTTACAACCTTCTCCTCACCCAGCAGGCTGGTACGTCGAACATTTTCCTCCCGAACAATGATCTCCCAAAGCTATCTGAAACTGACATTCATCGTGCAGAGGCCCCTGTTAAGGCTTAAATGTATCAGCACTGGGAAAAATGAATTACCGGGTGGCATAGCCCATGTTTTGGCGAATGGTGTTTTTCTTGCGGCATCGGATGGCTGAGATGTCCATACATACTTGTTTTGCTATCCTTGGATAATCTATTCGGGGTTTCACCTAGAAATTCTAGAGAATATGATACCTAATCTAGGTAATCAACAAGGAATTTGTTAAAATGTTCATAAAGAGCCCTATGGATTGGCTATATTCTATGTTCAACCGTAAATCACAAGACAAGACATGGTCATTCCTCATAAAAAGGCCGACAACCACCATGACAGCGGAATTGACCAAGTGAACTTTTTTTCTTTCCATGCCCCAAAACTCCGGCCCATGTAATCAAGATGCAAAGTCATCCACGTAGCACATTTAGGAGCGCTTCTTCGAGTTGACATTGCGGCCAGCACCGACCTTAGTACGACCGCCAGCCCTGTTGCGCTCGCCAGTCAAGATACCAGGCAGATAATCTTGGTCCATGAGATCACGCTCACGACGCTGCCGCCGTTCTTCTTCCTCGTTGGCACGAATATACTCCTTCTGATCTTCGGCAAGAACGAGCTCGGTGCCCCATCCTCGCTGGCCACCGCCGCCCTTCCACTTGCCGTTTGCGCTTCCTGCGATCGGTTTAGGAACGCTGTATACATTGCCGCGCTTGTTCCACTGCATATTCTTCTTCAGATGCATTGTGAACGCGCCGTTGGCAGTGGTCGTGCATGAGACACGAGTGAGAGTATCTTTACCACAGCGAGGGCAGAACTGCTTGTTCATCTCCTTTGTAGTCAAAAAGCAGGCGTGGCAGCGCTTGATAAAGGTTCTGAGATGCTGGATCTTCTGGAGGGTGGTGGTAGACAGAAGATTAAGGTTCATTTGTAGGAGAACATTTTGACACTAAAAAGAATGAGCAATTGGTCGATAGACAAGAATCATCCGAGTTGTACTTACCGCGAAATCAGTGGTCATAGTCGCAACCTGCATTGTCTTAGGTGCAGCAGTAAGAGTCGGTGTCCCAGATTCATCATCTGCAAGACGCTTTTTATAGTTAGAGGGTGTGATCCATTCTCCGTCGTCATCATCGGCATCATCCTCCGCATCCTGATCTTCGCCCTTCTCTTCTTCTTCAGCGACCGCAACAGCAACCTCGGCGACTTCATCAGCCTCGTGAGTCGCAGCAGTCTCTTCCTCCTTGGGAGACTCTTCCTGGGCATCTGCGACTGTGGTCTCCTTCACTCCCTCTGTGATAGCTTCCACTTCCGCATCCTCGGGCTTAGTCTCCTCGGATGGCTCCTTCACAGGTGGCTTTCCATTGATTTTCTTCTGTCCTGGAACGCTTCTTAACCGCCAGTCTCCATCGTTCTTTTCGCACTCGATTTCGTACGCAAGGGCAAGGACTTCAATATCAGTTCTACTCAGGACAGAACGGTCTCCAGTCTTGCGAGCGAATTCACTGATGACATTGAAGCTCTTCGGTGTGGGGGATCGCTGCTTCAAGAAGGGCAGGTAGAGAGTCTCAACACGTGCGCGGGCATCTGGATCGCGGATCTCGGCCACGACGGAGGGGGGTGGTGATAATTTCATCGCACTGGGCAAGGAGGGTTGAAAGCGGCGGGGTATTCTTGAGAATCGGGCCAGCATCCAGCACAATTGTGTGGACGGGCTTGGTGGATGCAGCAGTAGTATCTGCCATGTTGTCCTATTTATGAGGACTATTCCCACTGCTCGACAACGAGGTAAGATGAGGTCCTTGGCGACTTGAAAGAATTGGCCGAGTTGTGGAAAGGAAATTTCTCTGTGATCAGTGGCCTGTGCGTCCTTATCGGTCTATCTTATCGACTATCCAAATCTACTGCAATTCGACCAACTTCGTATTTTGACATGCAATTGCACGTCAGAAGGCTTTCATTGTACATGAATTTGCTTGTTGTCCGGCTTAAATATTATTCTCGTCAACAGTGTACCCTAAATTGAAGACATGGTTGGTCAAATGGTGACCATGACGCTAATGTTGTTGATATATATTTTGGCACTTGTTTATACCTTCACAACGACCCCTCAGGTTTGGATAACCAGTTCACAAATAAGCCTTCCACGGCTTTCTCTATGCTGTCTATCTAACCTTGAAATCGAGAAAGTTGTGAAAGATGAGAAATCATGGAAAAAGACATCGCATGTCTCCATAAGTGGCCAACTAGTCTTGTTTTGATTGAACGAGAGAATTCATCACCATAGTAGAGATGAATCCCCAGGAGTGGATTCGTCTGGGTTTCAACAGAAGCATGATTCCTTCTTTTGTTCAATTCGGACGCAGCACCCAGTTGTCCACATGCTAAGACACCAGCACATGTTCAAAATCAGGCCAGTAGGTTACCGATGCCTCCCCGGGCTGTGTAAGGCATCCCCCCAAGTAGGAAATAAGAAGTGACATTTGAAGCTCAAACAAATTTGTTCGCCTCTTGCGACAGGATTCGAGGCATCATAAAAGGTATACCTACAATATAAGACTCATATCCGATGATTGTATGCAAATCACTACAAACAACTACGAGTTTCAAGGTTGCTGCCATGAATCATATATCAGACTTTTTGTGGAGATATGATCTTCCCTAGAATAGGGGCATGTGCATTGCATGTTTCAATCTGCAGACTCGACCAAAATCCCAGTGGTCCTTGTGGAAAAGGAAATTGAAGAAAAAGAACAATGGCAAAGAGAGCGGCTGCAGGCTGTAAGGAACGATAATCACTTGTCGCATCTTAACCAGCAGCGGCTTGATTTAGAACACGGAGGTGACATATTGGTTCATGTAGCTTGCACAGCCCACAATAGCCTGGAAGGGCCTTTGGCTTATGGCTTGTAGTTCATTTGATGTCAATAATTGATAGAATCCTGACAAGCTGTTCTCATGGTTGTTCGATACGTAATCTGTCGAGATGCCTGTAGGCTCGAAACTATCGTCAAAGCCGCGAGAGGCGGTTAGTACACGTGGAATGCCGAAAGTAGAATGTACCTCAATCGAGCTGTCCCAATCCTAACCTAAAACCGGATAGGGGCAGTAAGATGGTTAACCAAAGATAAGTGGACGATGAATGACAGGGAGATGTATGGACTACTCTGTCCCATGACATCGTCGACTACCCCGTACGGAGTAGTCGGTATAGAACCGCCTTGGCGCATCACATTGGCCAAAAATTGCGACAAAGCAATAATTCAATTGGCTTATGTGCTAGCTTCATCTGTCTCCTTCCTGTCATGTCATTAAAGTTTTAGGCGTCAAGTGTACTTTTTCATGCGCCAACTTGGACGCAGTTCAGGTAAGCATCAAGTACTGGGGAAAAGTCGAGTGCTCACCAGAAACCAGACTCTGCATTCTATATCAATGCGAAATTCAAGTCTCAAGCTGCCATGACAACTCGGCAAGCAAGGCAGCCTGCATGCAACGCATACCACCTTGCGCCCTGCATATTGACAGGAGGTACGGAGTAGTGCGTACAGATCGAATAAGTGTTCCACTACTCCGTACAGGATTGAAATAATGTGGCAGCTAGGAATAGAAAGCCATGTTTCTTTCATCCTGCGAGGACTAGAGGATCAAATATTCATAAGTGTGATGGCACCCAGTAGTATGTGACAGGTCAACTTAGCCTGCACCATTTTGGCAGGGGATTTTTCTGACTACACCTTGTTGGTGAAAGATCAACGAGCGCAACCGTTTAATTGCTTTTTTTTTTTTTTTTAATCTTTCCAAAAAATTCAATGCATTGCCACGAGCTGAATTGCATGATCAGTAGGTTCGAAGGTTGTGAGACGCTACGGAATACTATACAGGGCCATAAAACCATACCGCGAATGAGGTCCTTTACATGAGAAGCATTTACAAAAATTCATTGCCAGATCTCATAAACCGAACAAATCCTCGTATCTGAGAAAGTAAACGAAGCTTTTCGGGAGCAGATCTGGGGCAAGGGAAAACGATTGTCCCTTACAAGCTCTCTTCGGGTACCATTATCGATTGCATGTGGCTGCCGTTCCAACGAATGGGAGATTTAATTCTCGAGAATTTTCATTCGATATTCAGTTGGACATTTTGTTTCCTAGCCTTGAGTGGATCTGTCGCATAGGGAGTAATTGAGTGGCAATAAGTAAATGCCCCTTACTACACAAAAAGGCGGATGAGCTTAATATAGCCCTAACATGGAAAATGAGACAGTGTCTACAGGTACCTGTTTGTTCCTCAGTCAACTGTTGAGACAAATCCTTCCTTGTTCTGATCATCTCTCAACTGTCCAGGGAAACGAAATGAAAGTGAAAACAAGAGGGGCATATGTCGAGTCGATCAACTCATAGGGTGTTCAGACAAGGGTCGCGTTCTGATCAATCGAGAGTTCAAGAGTCTCTTGACAGCCTAGAGTTTCAGGATTTTACTGTTCGTCTCCGTCATCGTCGTTTGCGCTGCGCCTTCATTACCTCGCAGTTCGATTCGCATGAAGGAGAGTATGAATGTTGGCTTCTGACCTAGGTAGATCCACAGGTATAGTACCAATTTCGGAAATGGTAGAAACTCAGGAGCTTTGACATTTGACACCCTGAACCCCACATTGATCCCCATGGCCGAGCAGCTTTCCACATTTAGATCTACTGCAGTGTGGGATTCGATGGACAGTTTGATCCATAGGATTGGCTGACATCAGGACAGCATTTAAAGCTCATGCGTCATCATTAGTTCCTATCACTGATCAGTGCTTCTTCGGTGTCACAGTCGGAGATGATCGGATATCAAATGAGATGATCTCCGAACTGTTTGTAAGTAAACATCGTATGCGATCCTCATCTCATGGCATATTCAAAGTGAGTCAGAATTTCAACTACGGTAGATAGCATCCAAGTAACTGAAAAACTGATGACAGTCTGTGGAAATAAAGTTGCCATCCGTCAATGGGACGAAGGCAAGAACAGCCTCTACGTACTCCGTATTCCGTAGTGTTTTCTGGATTGGAACGGCAAACCAAGCGGATCGTCATGCGATCGACAAGAATAGCTTGAAATTATTGAGCCATTCAAAGCTAGCTAGATGGAAGGGGGAAGTAATTCTAGGGTCTCAAAATAAGGTGCGGGAGATTAACCCTGCGAAGCATTATTAACTCCCATGCAAATCTCAGCCACTTCCAAGTTCAAAGAAAAAAAAAACGCAAATCAAAAACTAACAAAGAAACATCATATAGACTAGGGTGGTTACGAAGCAGCAAATGTACGTACCGAGTCCATCCGAGGCCAACACTGTACCCGATTTGTTGTATGTAGCCCCTTGCGCTGCACGATGCTGCAATCACGCTTCCCAGACGGGGATGTTGTCTCGCGTCGAAGGCACTAGGCCGCTCATCCGAGGAGTGAGGAGAGAGATAAAATGGCTGACCATTTAGGGAACTGGTTATGTCTGTCTCCCAGAAAGGGATAGTGGATTTTTTCCTAGACCGTTTGGTTTCTGGGGCTGTATTGTTTATAGCGACGCTGTGTAGCAGGTTTATGTGCTGAAGATTATATTACGGCTATAACCCCATGGTATTCCCGCTTCTTAGTGGACGGAGAGATTATTCTCTTAACACTCTTTTGTGTCCTATCTCAGTCGTATACTAGATTTACATCATCTACTGATCTGAGTTGGACTGTTCCCCGGGCAATCTTCTCTTTGGGAAGTAGCCATCCCTTCTTTTTTTTTTTTTTTTTTCCAAAGCTACAAGGTCGTTTGACAATGAATTCGATGCACTCTCGGGATGGAATCTTCAGGCGAGATAATGGCAGCATCGTTATGTCCTCCAGTGGCGAGCGAGCCTTGGTTGTAAGCGTTGTGTTCACGGTATTGGCAACATGCTTCGTGGCAATGAGGATGTATACTCGTGTAAGACTTATTGGGCGAGTGGAGTCGAATGACTGGATGGTCATCATCGCACTGGTACGTTTTGGTGGTTGATTTCGAAGGCCACATATTGATACGGATGCATAGGTAAATTCATATGTTTTCATGGGTCTCGACATTGTCGAATGCATAAGTGGCATTGGGACACATATTAAAGATATACCACCGGCCATCCTGGAGCGCCAGATGAAGGTGAGCTTGCCCTAAGCGGGGAAATCGACCCTCTATGCAACGTCTAACACACAATCCGAATAGGCCTTCTGGCTCACTATTCCTTTCTACAATGCTGCCGTCCTCTGCGCCAAAGCCTCGATTCTGATGCAGTACTGGCGAGTCTTCCCAACTCATCGCATGCGCGTTATCTGTTGGATCATGATCACTATTCTTGCTGTATACGGCACATGGGCCGTGATCAGTGCGTTTCTTAACTGTATTCCCGTCGCCAAATTCTGGGACCCTTCAATCGGAGGTTTCTGTTTAGACAAGACAAAATTGTGGTTCTCCAATGCTAGCATGCACATCTCAACCGATATCGCAATCCTGGTCATTCCTATCCCGGCTTTGATGGCAGTCGACTTGCCCCGAAAACAGAAGATCGCCTTGATGATCATGTTCGGTCTGGGTGGCTTGTGAGTTGACCATTCCAGACATCAATCGCCTCTGAACTAACATAGCATCTACCAGTGTCTGTATCACCAGTATTGTCCGTCTAGTCAGTTTGAAAAAGATCGCCGATTCATCCGATCCCACCTGTACGTATCATGTCACTCAGCCCTATCACGAATCACACCCGGAACCAAACTAACACTCCCCAATCCAGTCGACAATGTCGGTGCCGCCTCCTGGTCCGCCATCGAATGCAATACAGGCATAGTATGTGCCTGTCTACCAACCCTGAAACCTCTTGTCGCCCGCATCTTCCCAGGAGTGGTGACTACCTTCAGCGCTAGCAGTCCCACCCACGGCAACACAACCCACCGCAACTCCGACTGGAACGGTGATGCATCAACCCTCGGCGCACCCGGCGAAGAACACGAGTATGGGGCTGGTGACCCAGAGCGTGTTCTCGCCCTCGTTCCTAGTACCGGGCTCAGATCTAGCCTGAAGCGCTGGACGAGAGAAGAAGAGAAGAAGTTGACTCGGATTGCGACGATTTCTGCGCCTCGTCCTAATATGATGATGCATCCTCATACTTTCCCGACGGCTTCGGGGGTGCCGTTTTAAGTTTCTGTTGCTGTATAATTGCGCCTCTCGTTTTTGAATGGCTAATGCGGCCAAGTTGATGGCCTAGAGTATGTGATATACCCGTCGATTTTCTTTTCGTTTTCTTTTCAGCTGCACCATACTCTTTGGGCCTGGCGGTCGTCGGGCCATGGATACCCCGTGGGCGTACCCTCATTTTCCTTTTTCATGTCACTCTAAAATAGTAATCTGGAATGTAGGTTTGGAAGTTCTTGGATATATAGATAGTGCAAGTACAGCAATCAAATCAAACAGATAGTTTAATACCGGAAGTTGGGAAAGCAATTGTCAGGATGAAGCCACAGTCCAACACATGCCCGAAAAGAAGAGAGGGCCCCATATGACCCAGAACAAAGTGCAAAATTATCTATCTAAAAGTCGGAAAACTCCTTGTCGACTTCTTCGTAGTGATCGAAGAATCCCTTGAACAACTTGACACCCAAGCCGGGGTCCAAGCTTCCAGTAGTCGCCCGGATACTGTGCATGCTCAGCTGCGGGATACCGCAGTCAATGGCCCTCATACCAATCTGGGCACTGGTCATGGGCCCAATAGTCCCACCGCTGCGAGAGTCATTGCGAATCTGGAAGACCTGCAGGGTTGACCCACAGCGCTCTGCAACTCGCCTGATGACGGCTTCACTGACGCTGTCGGTAGTCATGTGGCCGTTCGAGTCGGCAGAGACTGCCACGCCAACATTGAGGCGGGGCGCGTGATTCTCCAGGTATACATTAAGGAAGTTCGGGTTTACTGCATGGATGACATCTGATGACACCAGGAAGCTGTTGGCCACTGTCTGGGAAAGGAGACTTGGGCCATAGTTGCCCTTCGCGAATGCCTCGGCAATTCGCTCAATCACGCTGCTCATAAAGTTTGAACGAGCACCTTGGCGGAGCAAACTGCCAATCTCTTCATCGTCGAACATACCAACCATCTTCACGGTTCCGGTCGATGTGCTGTCCGAGGAAGCAATTAGCGCTTCCTGTGCAGCATAACAGCAAAGCTTGTCATCAATGCGACCGGCGAAGATCATGTCCTTCTCCAGGCCACCTAGTTGAGCGGGCTGGGTATCAAAGAGTTCCAATTCCCAGTTTACGATAGTGCTGTAGTCTGTGATGCCAAGCTCCTTGGAGATAATCTTCACGAGCTTCTCAGGCTGGGTCGAGGTGAATGTGCCAAACTTGACATTGCTTGACTCGATCTTGGAATGTTCAAACAAATCAGAGTTATCGATTCCGATGACGGGGACCATTTGAGTTTCCGGGTTGAACGGGCCATTCGCAGGAGAACCAAAATGGGGAGCGAGGGTAGGCACACGAGCAATAGGCCAGTCAAGCTTGACAAGTCTAGTCTCCACCTTGCCAGTTTCCGGATCGCGGACGAGCACGCGACCACCGATACCAAGATCACGATCCCACCAAGTATTGCCGAGACCACCGGCGTACGGGGCAACGCCGAGCTGCTGGAAGCCTGCTTTGTTCGGTAGCTTGGACACCGGCTTCAACTTGGCAGTCAAAGCATCGACGTGGCCAGCAACGATAGCCACGCCATTTCCACTCTCATATTTGGAGCCTATGTTGAATGCGATCAAGGAACTGCCGTTGCGGGAAGTGTAGAACTTTCCACCTCGTTTTAGCTCAGATGTCCACACCGCTCGCTCGGAGAGGTACTTGTAGCCATGGTCTTCGAGCTGCTTGGAGAAGGATTTGACGGCGTGGAAAATGGTGGGATTGGATGTCATAAACTCGCAGTATGGCTTTGAGTAATCCTCGGGGTGGACGGGCTCATCGCTGATCGATTGCTGAACTCGGACTGGCTGTGCTGCAGGTACAGGCATGAACGAATTGGGCAGCTGGGCGGAGATTTGTGAAGCCCATGGCATATCGAGGCCTTGGGTGGAGCTGTATTTTCTAGTCATATTTGTGAATGGAAGTGGATTATAGAGGGAAGAGGAAGAGTTGGAGGAGACAAATCGTGAGGGGAAGGCGGAGTCCCGACGGGGGCTGGTACCTGATCCCCCTTGCTTATCGCCGAGTCTGGTCTACTGATAACAGGTGTACAGCCCAGACCAGGTGGACTGGAGGTGTTTGACGTGACTACTCCGTACATGTTCATTTTTTACTGCTTAAATAAGTAGATAACCAGTCAATTGATGTATTTTATAAGAAAATGTATGAAGGAGTGAAAGAAAATCACAGACCTCGGCATAACATATTTTGGCTTGGTAAATGCTTAGTTCGGAGCTGCGAATCGCACACATCGAAAGCCCGATGACGCCATTTGCTATCAGATCGATTGTATATGAATCTGCCGGGAAGACAACCTCTTGAGTCAGAAAGTAATTAATATTGCCTTTGAATGTTCTCATGCGATTTGTACTGGAGAGACCTAAATGCCAAGCAATCTTGAAATGCTCAGAAAATATACTCGTCTCTTAGAATTGACTCCGAGATATATTCGAAGCTTGTTGCGCACGACTAACTCTCAAAGGTCTGGATGATACTTCGAAGAATTGACTAGAAAAACGAGTCATTAGATTTGTATCTAAGGTGCTGCGCATCGATACCAAGATAAAATATCATGGATTGTCTTGAAGCGACGGTTGAACCCTTCCCGAGGAGCATTTTACTACTCCCGAGGACCATACATCTGGGTTCTTAACCCTAAGTGGAAGGCCCTCATGTTATTCGAGATTTGATGCTACCTATGCAGGAAAATTTATCATATATTTCTCAAATGGGAAATATCATTGCTTGACGCACCCCCGACATCATGGTGATGTCAGGAAAAGCCCCCAAAACTGGAGTTTCAACATTTGCAATACATGAGCAAGGAACACCACAAGGATAACTGCGGATCTGATTATAAAGGCGTGCTGGAAGTTCCCATTAATCCTCCAACGCATAAATTAACCCTTCCCCAATCATAAATATCCCCAAATACCTTCAAAATGGCGATGGCCCAGGCAGCAAACCTGGTGGAAAAGATTCTCGGCCACGGTGATAATGCAACAGTCACCACCGATGTGTCCAGCTACGACAATGAACATGGGGTGGAGACCGGAGAGATGATCAAGGCTACTACCTGGCAAGGGAAGAACCGAATCAAAGTTGGTAAGCGAGAGAGCCAATTGTCAGTTCAAGCCTTTTGTACACTGTTGATCAATGTGATCAGTGGAAATGCCGAAGCCGCGGGTGATCGACCCCGGAGATGTGATTGTCAAGGTGACAGGGAGCACCATTTGCGGTAGCGATCTTCACCTGTATCACGGTATGAAGATAATCCCACAATCCGAGTGAGCAAACAGACTGACACGATTGTGCCGGTCAAAGGGGCCATTCCTCAGATGGAAAAAGGAGACGTGCTTGGCCATGAGTGCTGTGGAGTTGTGGACAGTGTAGGGCCCGAGTCAAAGAAGGTCAAAGTCGGAGAACGAGTTGTTGTCTCTTTTCCGATTGCTTGTGGAGATTGCAGGAATTGTCGGAGAGAGTACTATTCCCAATGTGACAGGACAAACGAGAACACTCTGACCAATGCCTTGTATGGAAAACGAACTGCAGGTAGGTTGAGCAGAGTGACCAATAGGCACTTCACCTTGCCCCGAGCGAAATTGATACTAAATTGGAGACAGGCATGTTTGGCTATTCCCATTTCACAGGTGGGTTCGCAGGTGGCCAGGCCGAGTACATTCGAGTTCCATACGGTGATGTCAATCTACTTTCCATTCCAGCCGAAGTACCAGATGAGAAGGCACTTTATGTCTCAGATGTCATAGCGACATCATGGCACTGCGTGGTCGACACCGGAGTGAAGAAAGGAGATGTTGTGGCGATCTGGGGAGCCGGACCGATCGGGCAGATGTGTGCACAGTTCAGCTTCTTCCATGGAGCTAGTCGCGTCATCCTTATCGACGGAGGTGACGGTGCATGGCGATTGGACTTCGTGAAGACTAAAGTGCCAATGGTTGAGACAATTAACTTCACTGACCTGCCCAGAGGCGAGTCGGTTACATCGCAGCTGCAAAAAATGGTCGAGGGCGGACCCGATGTTGCTTTGGAGTGTGCAGCAGGTGAATATGCCAAAGGCTGGGCACATTACTTCGAGCAGCTACTTGGAATGGAGACGGATACTTCAGAGTTGCTGAATGAGATGATCACAGCCGTTCGCCCATTTGGCCATGTTGGGGTGACTGGTGTTTATGCCGGATTCGTGAGTTCACCTGTCCTTAGAAGAGTGAATTATCTAACAAATCATGCCCAGACGAATCACTTTAATATTGGGGCTTTGATGCAGACAGGTGTTCATCTTATGGGCAATGGCCAGGCCCCTGTGCACAAATATTGGAAGCACCTCATGGATCTCATTCAGCATAACGATATCAACCCGCTGGATATGGTGACACATCGGGTTCGTTTGGAAGACATGGAGAAATTGTACGCGATTTTCAGTAAGCGAGAGATGGGCATGCAAAAGGTCTTCGTGCAGACCAAGTACTCTGCTCCTCCAGCGGATGGGGCTCCTCGATTAACGGAGTTGTGAGGCAGACTCGGTTCTTGGAAATCTTCAGTGCCGAGTGGCCAACTCGATCTCGTCAGTGTAGAGAAATACATTATCTTCTCGTTTTTTGCATATTGACATCGAATGTAGCTAAGCCCTAGAGCCATTCTAGGAGGTATTATTGGTTAAATTGCAATTCGGCCATCTTCTACAATCTACTTTGCTGATCGAATCAGCAGAAGGGGGAGGGGGGTTTCAATTGTGTCGAGAACTGCGGACTGCGTCATCTCGGTTTACACTACCCGATTTACTATACACCGAAAGAATATTACCGAGTATAGTGGATCACTGATTCGGATCGCCGAAGATGGACCTCTAAACGCTATGGAAAAAAGTGTGCCCAATGGCGGCGAGTTCTTTCCACACATTCCACTTTTTTTCACTGTCTATCCCTGCATACGCACGTCACAAACACCTCTGGCTGTGACTAACTGATGATTTTCTTTAAGCCGAGCAATGGTGTGAAACTTCCGCTGTTCGGCTCTCGCTAGGAGTGAGGTTGGGTCACTGATTGATAAGAATCTGCTGTGTGGGGGTCCCAACCACCAACTTCCAAAAAGTCGACCCAATCACCCAGATAGGAAACGAAAAACACACCCAGCAAGAAATTAGAGCGAGGCAAATTTGCCAGTCTCCAGTTCAAACCTTGGATTGCACGCAAAGAGGAGCGTTAGTGCCATCAGATAAGATCATAGACACCGAGAACGGCCGTACGGAACTCGATTCCCATGCCGATCCATATTCTCACCGCTGGGAATGAGTTCTGAAAAAGTTCTTTTGCGCATTGGCACGTTCTCATTGGCTCAATTGCCGTTTCTGCTAGGTAATAGCTGCTGACCGGGAGTAGGGGAGTCTTGCTCATCCATGGTCAATGGATTGGCAAGACACTCCACTCAAGCAAATTTTACTTTCACTGGAGAATTCTGATCCGTGTCGCATGCTTTTGAGTCATCGACGATCAGGCGGGTCAACGGTGAGCTGCATAAGGAGTTCTCAGCATGTTATGCAATTGGGAATTGTGATGAGTTTATTCGCTATTGCAATCCTCTCTATGCCATTCCAAGCAATGGGGCTAACTCAAGCTGTGCCTAAGGAACAATAATGCAGTTAGTGAAGAAAATCAGAAGACATATCAGAAAAGAATGTTGCGTCAGTCCACCAACGCTTTCTCGGAACCATCTCCACTAGGGGATTCTCGGATCAGATAAAAATTTCGAAGAGGATCCTTTCGGGATTAGGTTTAGCAAAACAGTAAATGAGCCAATGGCAAATTAGCAGAAAAAGAAAAAAAGAAGAGCAAAGAACACTTACTGGTAAAACTACATATGCAGCCGAAAAGCTCAATGTCCGAAACCGGAATCATGTGAGCACATAATCTAATCTGATCATCACTTTTTCTCGGATTTCCCCCTCCCTTCACATTCTAATTCTCTCTTCTCTGTATCCCTTCTACAAGATTTTTGTCCATCTCCTGTCGGATTATTTGGTATAGGACAAAGTTTGAAAGAAAGCCTACTCTGTCTTCCTCTCCAACTAGTCTTTCTCGCTTATCGGCTCATATGAGCACACTTCCGCTCTTCCGACCGAGAAACGGCTCGTGCGTGTGCCCCGACCACGTCCGACTACTTGTTCCCAACTGACCTCCAACACAGTACTTGAACATCAATTTGGTGTCAAAATGGCCAGTGGGGTGTCCATGACACCTGCTCCAGCCGGAGTTCCTACATTAGCCCTCGCACCAGCGCCCACGCTGGCCGCCAGGCCCTCTGTAGCCCCATCTCCAGGACCGGGTACACCCGGCTCCATCACCTCAAGAGAATGGGTTATCCCACCACGTCCCAAACCTGGTCGTAAGCCAGCTACGGATACACCGCCAACCAAACGCAAGGCGCAGAACCGAGCAGCTCAACGAGCATTCCGTGAGCGCCGGGCCGCTCGAGTTAGTGAACTGGAAGAGCAAATGAAGGAATTGGAAGACAGTCACGATGTTCAGGTCGCCTCACTCCAGCAGCAAATAGAGAACCTCTCCGGCGAAGTTGATCAGTGCCGCGAGGAGATGGGTTGGTGGCGTGACCGATGCCACGCCTTGGAGAAGGAAGTATCGATTGAGCGCAGCGCAAAGGAAGCCATTGTAAAGGAATTCCGGTCATCTTTTGCTGGCCCGAACGTTAGCAGGGCCGCGCCCATTCCGGACTCTGTGCCCTTGCCACCCCGCAAGACCAAAAGCTCCCGAATGGAGGATGTCCAGCCCACTATTACTGAACGTAACAAGGACGATGGACACATGAGTTTACCTCTGGGGTGCAACAACTGCTCCAACGCCCACTGCCAGTGCATTGAAGATGCGTTCGGCATGCCAATGGATACCCATGAGTCTTCTCGTGCCAGGCACCCGCCTCATGGCGTAGGCAGCCCGGAACGCGACCATAGAGACCCTCACATCAAACCCGACCCAGAAGAGATGGAAATAGATTTCACAGCTCAGTTCTCCAGCGTTCCAACCCAGTCTCACGACCAGGATGTCTCCTCACCACCCGTTGATCCCTGCGGGTTCTGCCAGGACGGCACTCCCTGTATCTGCGCCGAGATGGCCGCACAGGAGCAGCAGCGTGTACGCAACGCCAACACATTTGAGACCAACCGTCTCGCACCAATTCAGTCCATCTCTCAGTTCACCCCGCCCCCATCCGAGGGAGACGTCCGCTCCGAAGTGGTCCTCCCACCCATTAGCCAAGCGACCAACCCCTGTGCCAATGGGCCAGGCACCTGCGCCCAGTGTCTTGCCGACCCCCGAAGCACTCTTTTTTGCAAGACGTTGGCAGCCTCCCGGTCAGCGAGCGGAACTCCATCGGGAGGAGGCTGCTGCGGAGGCGCAGGAAGGGACGGCGGATGCTGCATGTCAAAAGATGCCCCCGCCACCGCGTCCAACCCGCGTAAGAACGCCTCCGTGCCTTCGAAACCTCCCGCACCCAAGCCCGCTCCGCCCTCCGAACTAACACTGAGCTGTGCGGATGCCTTCACTACGCTGTCCCGCCACCCGAACTTTTCCCGCGCCAGCGATGACATCTCAGCCTGGCTGCCGAAGCTTCACACACTCCCCAATCCCCGTGACCTCGCCCCGCCAGACAGCCGTGCTGCCATGGAAGTTGAGGCCGCAAGTGTCATGGGTGTGCTGCGATACTTTGACCGTCGCTTCGCCGAGAAATAAACAATCCTCATTATGGATCTCACGCGTCCGGGTTCCCTTCTGCGTTTTTCCTGGTCCTTCACCGCAAGGACACCTTTGATACCCATACCCGCTCCTCTCCCGGGCGCTCCATGTACCATCATACGGACTTGTTTGATATCCTTCCTGTCCACTTCGAACTTCCTTCCTACAGGGAATCGATCTGGGCTTCATCAATATTCAGATGGCTCGATTTATTCTCTGTTTCTGAACCCAAAAGCATGACATGTTGATTCTCATTTGATCTCACTGGGTTCGCCTGGTGCAGAGTCTGCTGGCCGCTATGAACATGGTCAGTTGTTGATCTGGTGGTCATTTTAGTTTCGATCTCGATTCTCTCGTTTCATTAGACGGACGGATTTTAGGGGCGTTTGTTTTGGAGGGTTATGTGTACAACGTGATTTTTTTATGACTGAAACGATAGTACCACCTTGCAATTCGCCTTTGTCCGTAATTCGAGATGTAGACTGAGAAGGAGATATGATTCCTTTTTCAGGATGGTATGTGTGATGGTGATAGGCTCATTACCAAATTTGTTCTCGTGTACAGGGGTTGCACATAAAGTGAAGAGCAAGAAAACGCCAAACACCAGCCCAGATGCTAAGTTGATGAGCCAGCAGATTGAATACGGAAAGTACAAAAAGGCAGGAAAGGGACAAGAAGATGATCAAAGGCCGAGTTTAACGTCCTCTTCCACGTCCACCACCACCTCCCATTCCACCCATCAACCCACCCATTTGGCTCATTAGGCTCTGCATATCAGGCATGCCGCCACCACCACCTCCCATCATCTGCATCATCTTGGCCATGTCAGGCATACCAGGCATACCCCCACCGCCGGCAGCGCCACCCATGGAGGCCATACGCTTCTGCATGGCAGCCATCTGCTGATTCTTGTTCCCGCCCTTCATCATGTTCTGAGCTTGCTGCATCTGCTTCTTCTGGCCGCCAACACGCTTGGCCATGCCGGCCATCATGCGATGCTGGGAGAGCAGGTCCTCAACCTCACGGACGGTGGTTCCACTACCGTGCGCAATGCGGACCATGCGGCTAGGCTGCTCGACGAAGTTCTTGCCATCGCCATCTAGCTCGGCTACAGTCATACTGTCGAAGATGTAGACCATGCGGCGCAGCTTCAGTGAGCCATCCTCGTCATCCAGACCCTGGGTCATGTTGGAGAGGCCTGGGATCATACCGGACAACTTAGACAGTGGGCCCATCTTCATAATCGATGTGATGTTCTCGCGGAAATCGCGCAGAGTGTAGATACCTTCCGCAATGTGCTTGTATGTTTCCTTGGCACCTGCGGAATCCTTCGTCATGGCCTGAACATGCTCGACCAGCCCGGCGACATCGCCCATGCCTAGTAGCTTTTGAACGAACGCACGGGGCTCAAACCGCTCCAGGTCCATCATGTGCTCACCGGTACCAAGGAAGATAATGGGAGTATGCGTAGCGGCGACGGCAGAAATGGCACCACCACCGGCGGCATGACCGTCGGTCTTGGTGATAATAATAGCTCCAAAGTCTGCTGTTGCCTTGAACGCCGCGGACTGAGCCTCGGCAGATTGACCAATTGTACTGTCAAGCACGAGAATGGTCTGGTCTGGCGTCACGGCTTCTTGAATTTGTGTCATTTCCGTAAAAAGCTCCTCCTCCTGTCGATGGCGACCACTGGTATCGACGATGATGATATCGAAACGCTCCTTCTTAAACTTGGCCACACCCTCTGCGGCCACGACAGCAGGATCAGTCTGTGTTAGACTACCATAGTATGGGATCTTGGCCTTGGTAGCGTTCTGCTTCAGCTGATCAAAAGCACCAGCACGGAAGGTATCCGCGCAGACCAGTGCTGTCTTGAATCCTCGCGTTTGGTAGTGCCGGGCTAGCTTCGTACACGTTGTTGTCTTACCCGCACCCTGCAAACCGACGAACATGATCACATTGGAGCGGCCCTTCTTCGGCCGGAATGAGTCTGCACGAGGATCCACCAGCTTGACGAGCTCGTCGAAGACAGTCTTCTGGATCAGTCGCTTCTTGTTCACTGCGGCTGGGAGCGAGGCGAAGTTCACGCTGGTCTTAATCGATTTGCGTAGTGTTCCTACGAGGCGGACGTTGACATCGGCGGAGAGGAGAGCGGCGCAAATTTCCTTGAGCATGTCATCGAAGGCCTGTTATAGTATTAGCGGGCTGGCTTGTGGGCCACACTGGAGAACACATTGCATACCTTCTCATCGAGGTTATTGGACCTCGTCAGGTCATTGACGGCGGAATTGATTCGCCGCCCAAGGTCTTGGAGAACCATGGTGAGTATGTGCGTAGAAGTAAACAATTAGAAAAAAAAGTCCAAATTAGACTGTAGTCTATGAGTCCACGATGGAGGAGGGGTGAGGTGAAGCCCATTGGAAGACCAGAGAGGCGATGTGGAGGGGCCAATCGGAGAGCCGATGGTTTCTCACCGCCCCAAAAAAAAGTTGTGATATGCTTTTGGATCAGTATCGCGACTTTCTTCTTTACTTGCATTATTACATTATTTTTTTGTGACAATGCCTCCTACTTTTTCAAAGAAACGCAAGGTCCTTGATGGCCTCAAGGGTAACACAGGCCGCAAGAAGAAGTTCGTCAAGCAGCGCTTCTATCACAGCAGCTCCGAAGATGAAGAAGAAGATGGGGACTTCAACCCTGTCAGCCTTGAAGACTCAGACGCCGAAGAAGGAGGTGTCAAAGTGGCCAAGCCATCGGCTCTCGATCTTCGTATGAAGAAGGCAAAGACCCAAAAAGAAGTACCTGCACCGGAATCGAAAAAATCAGACACTAGCGACTCAGACTCCAATGTCGCCGAGGAGATTGAGATGGAAGATGCAGACTCCGATGTTGACGAGGAGATCGAGCTGGATGATGCAGACCTCGAGAACGATGACGACGAAAGCGACGCCTCTGGATCGGACGGATCCGACGAAGATGATCTTTCCGACTCCCCGGCTGGCAAGCCCACAGGTGCCAATCGCGGCCGAGCCATCCCCAAGCGCAACGACCCTGCCGCATTCTCAACCTCCATCTCAAAAATTCTGTCCACAAAACTTCCTACCTCCGCACGGGCTGATCCCGTTCTCTCGCGAAGCTCATATGCCGCAAAGCTGGTGAACGAGGCTGCAGATGAGAAGCTTGACAACGCCGCTCGGGCTAAGATGCGCGCTGAGAAGAAAGAGGAATTGGATCGCGGCCGCATTCGTGATGTGATGGGTATCAAGCGAGGAATTGCCGGTCCCGTCGCCGAGGAGGAGAAGCGTGTGCGCAAGATGGCGCAGCGTGGTGTCGTGAAGCTGTTCAATGCTGTTCGCGCGGCCCAAGTTCGGGGAGAGGAGGCGGCTAAGGATGAGCGCAAGAAGGGTACAATTGGTATGGGAGAGCGGGAGAAAGCTGCCAACGAGGTCAGCAAGCAAGGATTCCTTGAATTGATCAATGGAAAGAAGGGAAAGCCTTTAAACATCGAAGAGGCATGAGCTGGATCTACGATTACCCATGGCATGTTTTCTGGCGTTGGGAGACCTTTTATTGTTATATATTCTTTTCTGCATTGTAATAGAATTGCTCATGTGGAGAGTCTTGTTTGATTAAAAGTATAGGAGATTTTCATTTTGCGATACTACGCAAGTCTACTAGATGAATATACAGTACAAAATCCTATTTGGTGTCGAAATAAGACCCTAAACCCCCGCTGTGTCCAGCTGTGTCCAGATAGTTTGAGAGGGTATTCAAGATTCAGACAGCCCGTCATGGGGTTTCCGCTCGTGTCTTTATTTCGACTCGAAGTCGCTTGCTTGGAGATTCCGTGTCATGGAGGGCAATCGCACAACCAATCCGTCAAGATCCTTGGTCATGATTACCTGGCAGCCCAACCGAGATGTCTCTGTAAGCCCGAAAGCCAGATCCAACATGTCGTTCTCGTCATCCGATGGCTCTTCCATTTTATCGAAGGTGTCCGGGTCATCCACAATCACATGGCACGTTGAACAGGCACAGGATCCTCCACATGCACCTATGAATGGAGTTAGAGATTGGGGATTGAAGCAGCATGATATCGGCTCAACTCACCTTCCATTTCAAGGTCATTTGCCTGTGCGATGTCGAGGAGGTTATCGCCTTCGGCAACCTGGAGCTTTACTTCGGTACCATCCTTGTCGATGAAGGTCACATTGATTCTACAGAGTCATTTAGCATGCGGCGTAGTAGCGCGCGAGCGCAAAGAGGCATGCAACCTGGAGGGCTTACTCTTCCCCGGCCTTTGGGGGCGTGATATGACCATGCGCAGCTTGTGCAGTCACGGAGAAAGCCCGCCGAGCTGTATTATATCCGTGCCAAGGTGATTGAAGGCTTTTCCGTGCATTGATCTCGGACCGAGGGTGTGTTGTGATTCCAGTGTTTCTCCATGATCTTGAATAGCTCAGGCATCTCCGCGATTGAGTCAAACAGATATCCCCAGCCTTAGGTACATGGCGCAATTGCTGGCCAACTTCTCGCCAGAAAACCATGTTGGAAAGAAATGTAAATGAATTAAACGGACTTTGAAAGCCAACAGAAAAAGAAAAACAGATTCCGGGGGAAGATGGGAAGAGTGAGCAATGATCGTCCAATGGCCGCGGAGGAAAAAAAAAGACTGACAAAGCTTGGGCGTTCGGACATTCCACTCCTCCCGTTCTTCTTTCCCCGACTCTTTAACTCCGACCAACATCACATTATGTCGTCTCGTGAAGGGATCAATCCCTTGCGGCCTTACTATATCCCCCCGTCTGGCTTATCGCCCGCTTCAAATGCACCCCCCGAAGTGGCGTCGCCGTCATCGGCCCAGGTGTTCGGCAGCACAGCGCGTGATCTCATGCCGGACTTGGACTATGCCGATTACCTGGAAGCTTCGCCCTCTGTGTCTGACTGGGTCCGTGATGCCTTGAACCGGGCACTTGTTCGCTACACCAAGGTTCTTACCGCACAGCCGTTCGACGTCGCCAAAACCATCTTGCAAGTGTATGTCGTATCAGACGCCACTGACGAGCAGCGGGAGCGGAACACAACACCGGCTGCTGAGGGAAGCTCTTATGATTCGGTAAGACTGATTTCTACAGCTGACATAAATTTGTATTGAAATCCACGACAAAAGGACTAACGGCATTCTGTGTAGGAATCAGAATCATCCGATGATGAAACCAGTTACTTCACCTCAACGGCCCCTCCAACGCCGACGCCGAATACACCTCGATCTCGGAAATCACGCCGCCACGTCACCGACCGTAGTGGCTATATTCGACCAGAGTCTGCTATACAGCCCAAACATGTCTTGACTCTCAAGGATTCGAACTCCCTGACCGAAGTTCTATCTCAGCTGTGGTCCTCCAGCGGCCCAACCTCACTATGGAAGTCCTCTAACGCTACATTCATCCACTCACTTCTCCTGCCGACGTTGAACACTTTCATCCGTAGTCTTCTTTCGGCGATTGTTGGCTTGCCAGAGGAAGACCTTTCTTCGTCGATGACAGCGGACATTTTGACGGCCTCGTCCCCTCTAGCAACGCTGGTCCTGTCGTTCATTTCATCATCGCTATCGGCCCTGATTCTAGCTCCTATCGATACCGCTCGTACATTCCTGATGCTCACACCAGCAACCCATGGGCCAGGGTCACTCGTCCGAGCTATCCGCCAGCTTCCTACACCCAATTGCACGATCCCTTCGCATCTCGTCCCAATCACCATACTTCATTCAAGTCTTCCCAACCTCATTATGACCTCGACACCACTCTTCCTCAAATCCTACCTGTCCATTGACCCTCTTCTAAACCCCAACGCATGGAACCTCTGTGCCTTCCTTAGTTCGGGACTTGAACTCGCTGTTCGATTCCCACTCGAGACCGTGCTCCGCCGCGCCCAGATCGCCACATACACATCCTTGAGTCTGCGACAGAAGTCCTCAGGAGGTAGCATCAGTGCAGCATCTATTGATGCGTCCGATGTGGAAACTATCGTCCCTACACCGCGCACATACCGCGGTATCATTGGCACAATGTGGCATGTCGTTTATGAGGAGGGTGTCAGCCCGACACCGTCCGACACAGAGCGTGCCAAGCAACTCCTCGGCCAGCGTACATCACGACAGCAGCTTCGGAAGCGACAGCAAGGCCAGGGTATTCAGGGCCTGTATCGCGGCTGGCGAATTGGCATGTGGGGTATCGCCGGCATCTGGGGAGCCAATCTGTTGGGTGGATTTGCTGGCGGTAGCGAAGACGAGGTTACAACAAGAGGTGGCCATGGTCGTTCCAGCGGTGGGCGCTTTTAGTTGACGCCCTCGAGGTAGGAGGCCTTCATCTTCGGCTGCGTCTTTTTTTTTTGGAGGCCACCCAACAACCACTCAAATGACTCCATTAATCAATTTGCGAAGAGACACCTCTGAAATTGAGTGTCGTATGCGACTTTTTTTTATTTCTCATTCCACGTCTCTTGCTTTACTGGCCGAGACAGTCCAAAAACTGGAATTTTCCAGATTGACTATCAGATGCATTTCTTCCGTGCGTCATTCTACAGTCTCCACTCTCATCTTCGTCTCCATCATATTTACATCTTATACCCCAGTGAATGGATCCAGGGGCAAAGGCGATCGGCGTCATGTTTTTGCTTTAGCAGTCCCTGCAGCGCAACCCGTGTATAAAATCCCTCTTCCCCTCTACATAGCTATGTAACGAGATACCACTCATAGCCTAATCTTGTTTCGGGCTTTCTGGGCATTTAATTCATTGGATGATTGATCATAGCAACCGAAAAATATTATATTGTGCGATTCAAGGCCGCACTGATCTCACTCGTGTATTGTCCAAGATATCACACCTGGGGGCCTGCTTGGGACGATCGAAGTAATACATATGGCCTTCCAGCCTGTCTGACAGGTTCGAATCAACAAGAAGCGATCCCTTTGAGAAACGGCCAAATGCAGCTAATCAAGTCTCTCAATCTTCCACAGCTGATTGGCAAGTTGAAAGTAGAGATCATTGGCCATCTTAACAGTCCTCTTCGTCAACACCGGCACCCGTCCCACAACATTCCCAAGCACCACACTCCAACTACGATCCGGGATATCATCCTCGAGCACACGACCGGGCGGCAGAGATGGGGTATGAACACTCGCATCGCGGTCCAATGGAACGCTGAGGCGATACTTCCAAACAACTTCCCCATCCACGTACAACGAGTAAGTTAGAACAGAGCTACGAGCTCGAACAGGCGCCGCAGCGGTAGTTGACCCAACTTCTTCGACCTCGTCCGAAATATCAATATGCCCAAACTTACTATTTCCATTCGGCGCATACTTCACCATAACATCCTCAGAGTCTGTCTGGTGGTATGTACGGATGGGCAGGTAAAACATACTCAACGGACCCACGCTGAACTCATGCACTCCCAGCCCAGCCGTATTTGGCAAAAGCTCATCGCGACCCAGGTTAAGTTCCGGGTCTGGGAACCTAGTGGCCCCGAATTCATGTCTGTCACCGCTAAGCAGGACGATGCGGATTCCTAGTTCACGCTCTGCGCGCCACATTGCCTCGAAGACGATACGGCGCTCGTCCAGGAATCCACCCCAGGTGTCTGTCGTGCCGACGTGCCAGTTCTTGGTGAATGGCACGCTGGAGGATATGATTTTCCAGTGTGTGCCTGCTGGTTCTGGGGTGGAGATGTACGTGAGGAGGGACTGGAGCTGGGGGCCACCGAGGATGGTTGAATTCTTGTGCGAGGGCTCGGTGCGGTAGGTGCGTGTGTCCAGCATGAAGAATGAAGCTGGACCGCGCGTGAAGGCGAAGTAAGTTACGTTGTCTGGATGGGCAAAGGGTGCCGTGGGAATTGGTGGATTTGCCCGCACATGGTAGTGGATGAAGGGGTCTGCTGCTGCCGGGTACGGGGCGGTTTTGTTACCCTGCGACCAGTCGTTCTCGATCTCGTGGTCGTCGAGGGTGTGCAGCCAAGGGAGGTCGATAGCGCGGTTGCCTTCTGGTCCGTATGTCCACGATGGGGACGAGTAGATACGTCTGTACTCGCTGCGGTAGTGTGACATTGCTGAGCCGAAGCGCCAAGGGACGTCTATGTAGATGAAGTCGCCTAGGAAGAGCATGAATGCTGGGCGAAGTAGCTTGGGCAGTTTGGCGAGGGCATCGGTCATTTGTTCGATGCCTGGGACCCGTAATGGGTGCGATAGTAGGTTGTACGGGAAGTTTGGCTTTAGACAACTGGATGTTACAAAAGATAGCCGGCTTGCTTGTGGACTTTCGGGCGATGGTGCAGTGATAAATGTGCCTGACTTGTTGTTGGAAAGCGAGTAGCGGTAGCGTGTCGCCGGCTTCAGGTCGGTTAGGGTAACTGTCGTGGTGAAGTCGGTGGAGTTATCCAGCTTGTAAACGATGCCTTCTTCGTGCCAGTCTTGACTCAATGGAGAGATTTCCTGGAACATGACTGCCACTGGTAGGCGAGTCGTGTCTGGCTCGCGAAAGACCAAGTTGGCAGTGGTCGGGGAGACATATCCAATGCGTGAGAATGCAACATCTGTGGTAGGATAAAGTAGAATGCCACGGGTCAAGAAGTCAAGTGTTAACAACGCCAGGACGACATTGATGAATATTGTGATCCTGGTCCACAGGGGCCACTTTGCCGAGGGCAGCCCTGTCAACAGGGTTTTAAGCACAGAATCGTCGGCTTTGGCACGACTAGACGGTGACTTATATCCTATGATAGGTAATTAGAATCTCACATCGTGATTATTTGTAAGTGGAGTCTGACTGTTCAAATTTCGGGCTTTAGCTGTTTGGCTTTGGTAAGGCTGGATGTCCTTGAGCAGGGAGAATATTGACGACAGGTACACCACCAAAGAGGTGACCACAAGAGGCACGAAGTGATGGCCAGGGATCTATCAATATGTGAGTTTTCTGACACGTGAGATTGACTGTCGACGGAGGCTTACCCATCGCAGAAACAGGAAGGTCGCCAGTCGAATAGTTGCTGAGCTCGTAGCTACTGCAATGCGCCGTATGGAGACCATCATTCAAACCAATGCTAATTATGAAGGGCAAAAATCACTGCATGCTAAATAATACTCATGGGGACGGTGAAAAGAGTGGTCTGTGTCTTGTAGTGGTGATTCATGATGCGATGACGTATCTATATAGGAAAAAGATCGACAACACAACCTCGATCGGATTCCTTATGCCACTAGCCAGGGGATTTGAAAATCAACCGAGCAAATTATATAGATAGTACGACTACATCCACGTTGGATATCTTGTATATATCTGGGAATTAAACTTGCTTCTTCAATGATAGCTATAATTGAGGTACCAAAAGCTGTGGCTCCAGCAACACCCTCACCTGGAGATAGATTATGCAAAGGCACATTGAAAAAGCCATTTACTATATCTGATGAACATATTTGAAGCTCAGGTATGGTTTGTCCGAGGCACCAGATATTCTCTTTGTGTCATCGACCTCCCTGATTTAGCATATCCTGGAAAAGATTATTGAGACTGCTCGCCATCGGCCCTGCCGACATTAACTGACGAGCTGCCACGAGAACCTCCTTCATACCCATGCTCAATGTCATCTGAGCAGCCCATTGCCACGGGTGAACTGTACCTCCAGGTAGAGCATTGTAATATTCCCAACCCATTACACCACCAAAGTTGGGAAACTGCTCGCGCAACATTGCCAAAACAGGTCCAATCTTTTCCTGAGACACATAACCCTGTGACCCATTACCCGGATTTGTCAACAGGCCATACACAATCCGTCGCGGAGACCACCCCTGGGCAACCATAGCAGAATACATCCGTGGATCCTCAGCAGGACCCCAGCCATTGTAGAACTGGGTATTGTACCAGCTTATCTTGGAAGCCCGAGCCTGCTCGAGTTCACGGTAATCAAAGCCTGACAAGTTCCCAATACCAAGTAGTGCAGCTGCCACAGGGGCTAAAGTAATGATGAATGTGTCGCCCAGGTCAGCCTTGAGTCGGTCGATGAGTCGAATGACGCCTTGCAAGGACATGGTCTCCTCTACATCGAGATCAATCCCATCAAGGCCATGACGACGAATCATGGTCAAAAGAGGATAATAAAACTGTTCAAATTCCGCCCGGCTGCCGTCAAGCCGCGTGAACGAGCCCGGGGCGGCCCCACCTAGCATGCCCATCACTTTCACGCCTTGTCGCTGCACGAGGGGCACTTCGGCCCACAGGGGGTCGAATTTGGCGTTGTCGGGAGGGTCATCGTTGAGAGTGATGTCTCCTGGCTCACCATTCAGATGGATGGCAGCGAGAATAATATGCGTTATTCCAGTGTTGTTTTCGAGAAGCGGGAGCATGGAGACATACTGGCCCCCGCCAGGGATGAGTGTTTGGTGGTACAAGATCACCCGCGGGCGCTCGCTGAGTCCACCCCGGATAGGTGGCATTTTGTAAAGAGCGAGATAATCAAGGCCGCAGGTATCCAACACTTGTAACAACTTGATTCCACGGGCTTTGTTTTGTGAGAAGTGATCCTCAAGGTTTGGCGGCTGACAGCTCAGTGGGGATTCGGGATCCTTGAAGCTGCTAGCGTCTGGGAGAATAGACCACAGAAAACTTTGGAGGTAATTGAACCTCCAGATTTATGCAATGAGAAACCTGAGCAAGACTTGGAACCCGGTGAATATTCCTGCAACACAAAGTAGTAGATCGGACTGAACCCGTGGACTACGCGATAAACCCAAATGCTCACTGACTAAGCTGAATGATATATCCATTTCTGAGCAAAGCTATCAGCTCCTTACAAGGGAATTAGGGTTATTGCTTGATCGAGACTAAGTGTATTTTCAATTGGATGCTCTCTACGGCATCTTCTGATGACCCCACGCGGGCCTGGACCGCCTCGATACTGAAACCATGGACGCTGATCCCTACTTCCATGGCGTGGATTCGGTCCGTTGGGGTAAGACCTGAAGATGACATCAAACTCGAATATCGGATCAGTGCTCCAGCAAATCGAAATAACTAACCAGGAACACGAGCGTATGTCGGTGTGGACTTCATCCAGACATCCACGAATGACAGGTATATATCTCACGAGAAGACAGAAAGCAGACCAGCGGATTTCGAACAGAATGGCATATAGAGACAAGCCACCATCGCCTCCGATGAGCTGATGGAGGCAAAATAGCCGTTTTGGAAGACTATATAAGTTGCTGGCCAAGCCCATCAATCCAGTCTTGTGGCTGAGCAACATCCTCTTGCACAGCAGCGTATACTCTCAGCATCGACTTCCACACTCGATACAATAATGGCCTTGATTAGAGGTAGTCGGATCATGTCACGCCCACTTCTTGGATTGCTTCCATCCGCACAGCGGTCTGTGAATGTTGGATTGTGGCATCGCTGTAGCGTCGCCACAGCACCACCACCCAGTCGTCCCCACCCTAACCCTGGGAATTTTGCAAATCGTTCACATGAAGAGCTTTCAGAAATAGGCCACAAGGGCGGAAAGAAGGGCGGGAAAGCTACAGGCGTCGGTGGGTTTCGTGATATGGACCCAGAGAAACAGGTGAGAGTGCCGCAACACCAACCAGCTAACAGGCCTTGTCGTTAATTGTATGAATATGAGTCAATAGCATGCTATAGCCGCGAAAGGGGGTCGTGCTGGTACGCGGAAAAAGCCACCAGGGAAAAAACCACCAGGGAACGGGGAAACTGAGTTAGAAGCTGAACAACGCGGCCGGTCGCATGAACCCTCGGTGGTTCCACCTGGATTTGAGGAATGGAAGACAATGGCTTGAATTTCGATAGAACTGTGATTGGGATTCATAAAAGTAACAAAATAATAAATTTGAAACATGCGAAACAGAGACAAGTGAGAAGAAGTACAACATAAGCATGTCAGAAATGCCCGCTAGACTTGAAAAGGCAGTGGATAAACATTAATGCCTCAGGCGCCCAACACAACCCGTCGCGAGATTCTTCAATCTTTCTTTTTCTCCCCGCAATTTGGTTATTGTTATTTCTCTATTTACCTTAATATCTGTTCATTTGGTAGATTTTGAGAGCGACTGTCGTTGTGTTCGACCTCTGCTTTGGTAGTTTTAGCCTTATCGTGCCCTCCTTTGCGCATCCGCACGCGTGCGCAACCATGGCGAACACAGGCTATACCTCGCCGTTTCCAACCTCACATGACACCATCGGACAATCAACATTGGTGACGCCTCTCTTTATGCCATCTTCTCCTCCACAACACCCTTCCAGCCCATTGGGGTCTCCGTCAACCGCCCAGACTCCTGCAACTGCTCGGACTCCTGCAACCGAGCGCGTCGCAGCGCAACGTAGCAACCAACACCACGAGCACGCTGCTGATGATGAATACCATTCCGAAAATGAAATACAACATGTTTCTCGACCTCCTTCTCCTGGAAGCCCAACAGGTTCAGATCTCGATGCGCGTCTTGCCGATTACACCTTGGATTTCAGTAATTTCCCGAGCGGAAATTTTGCATTGGATGGGCACGAAGAAACTCTGCCCCCTTTCCATCAAGACGTAGACAAGTTATCCGATGTCGGGGGGCCGGATGATTTTACTGTGAATATGGAAAAATACCTGATGGGCGATCTGGAAGATGGTGAAAACCACGAGGATGAAGCTGAAGCAGACTATGGATCAGTACGACGATCTTTCCGGAAGTCAAAACAACCCGCGATCGAAGAAGAAGCCGACTCTGGCGAATACAGTGAATTCGGACCGCCAGTGGATATGTCTACCCCCTCACACCTTTTGCACCGGACTAGTGCTCTCCGCAAGGATTCAACTCACCTGGAGGGTATCGAAGAATACCCCGATGACGACGAGGCCCAAGATCCCGCATCTCCTTCCGTCCGGAAATTGTCGGACGCCTCCAGTCATGCACCAGAGGAACAAAATGAGGATCTTCACCAGCAGATTGCACAACTGCAGCAATCCTTGAAGGAACGCGATGACCAATTACAGAAAAACCGCAATCGTGTGCTCGAGGCTGTTTCCGCTGGTGAACAGATCCGTCATCTCCAAACAGAATTGCAGCGGAAAAATGCTCTCCTGGATGAAGTACATGCCAAAGACAGCGATGAGGCAATGCTGCGCGAGCAAGTCCAGTCACTACAAAAGAAAAACGAAGAGTATGAGAAATTATTACAGCAGTCGAGCATGAATACAACGGATCTCAATCCTCTTCTGAATCAGATTCGTGAGATGCAACAACAGCTCCAAGACAGAGATTCGCAGACCTCCTTGGACAAGGAGCGATTGGAGACAATTGCTCACCTACGCCAGCAACTCAATCATTCCCAAGAGCAGGTGCGAAAGCGCGATGAAACTTTGGATGAGACATTGACCAAGCTTAAGGAAGTCACACGGGTCAAGGATGCACAGATACAGGAGAGGAACTCAGAGATTGATCAACTGCAAGGACAGATCGACGACTATGGGCTGGAGAATGAGAAACTCGAGGCGGAATTAGAGCGTGCGCACAATGACTATCAGGTCCTCGAAGAACGCTTTATCGACCTAGAGGCTAGGAATCGTCCTCTGGAGGAGAAGAACACTACACTGGAAGCAAATCTCACCCGTGTTCAATCCCACATGGAAGCCCAGGAGAGTGCTCTCAAGGCTGCCGCTGCAGATCTGCCTATTAGTGGCCATAGTACCTACAGCGAAATACTCGATCTGATCAAGGATTTGGGCCCAGGGAATCCCGCATCTCCACTCCACTCGCCTTTGAAGGAAAAGTTTGTGGACGTCCAAGGTGTGCAGCAACTGCAACAACCAGACACGCCAAGCATTGCAAGCCTCCAACAAGAACTCCAGGAGTTATCCGCCGCACAGAAAGCTGCAGATACCGAAGCAGCACGTCTGCGTGATCAAGCAACTGAAGCTCAGACGCTCATCAAAACCATCGAAACAGAGAACTCGCGACTCTCAACCCGGGTTGCCGAGCTCACAACCGCCTTGAGCAAGTCTCAGAACGACCTAATTCAATCGCAAGAAGAACACGCCGAGTCCCTTGAGACCATTGCCCGCTTGCGAGAAGACAAGATCGCCGAACCTCCCAGTCCACCCCCCTCACCCCCAACAGCGCGTGGAGCTCATGACTCAGAGCCAAGAGGACCGGATACAGCAGCCCTGGAGGCGAACCATCAAAGCCAGCTCCGCAGCCTGAACACGGCACACTCAACAGCAGTCTCAACGCTCCGCGCCTCGCACGCCGAGTCAATGCGCAAAATCCGCAACCTCCTCTCAGCCGCCGAGCAACGCGAAGCTGATCTACGCTCGGACCTTGAAAACCTCCGCGCCTCATCCACTACCTCAGCAACCCACCTACGCAAGAGTTTCAAATCAGAACTCAGACGCCTGGAAGCCGTGATCGCCGCAAAGGACGACGTGATCGCTGCAAAGGACGAAACCGCCGCTGCGATTGACCAGCGTATTGCCTTGTCTGTGGACAAGCGCGAGCGAGAATGGGAGCGGCGCATCGACTTGCTTCTTAAGGAGCGTGATCGCATGGCCAAGGCTTTGATGATGAGCTGGGGCGAGAAAGAGTTGGGTCGGGGGCCCGGACCTCTGGCTGAGGGCAAGGAGAACCGTCGTCGTGATCGAGACCGTGACGTGGATGCTAAAAGTGGGCAAGCTTATCGCTACAAGTATGCCCAGAAGCCGAAATCTAGAAGCACGGAGGCTAGGGCTTAGATTGGCCGGTTTGCTCGATCTTTCGTTTCTCTGGGATTGATGTACTATAGGTTGTGGATTGGATTGTGCTTTTTTGATTCGTCTTTTAGCGACCCGGTGTAGTTCCTGGAATGGAATTTGGGGAACCGAACTTGCATATCTTCGTGAAGTTGTTCTGTTCTCGCCTCAAGACGGATTTTGCATCTTGTTCCTTGAGAGTGCTACCAATTGGAGTTTTGTACTGATCTTTTGACCTTCTATGTTTACTGTTTAATTACTTGTGTTGATAATGTACATGATTTTAGGGTACCATAGTGATCAGGGTGACGGCGCAAAGCAGCAGATGAGGTCAATTCCGTTGATCGGGAATATCTTCCATAATGAGCATCTGTGCAGAACGGGCATTTTATTCTTCTTCCAACCCATATTTCTCCTTCAGACTAAGCTTCCAATCACTGCTTGTCATCCACTCTCCACAAACATACATCATCTCTTGATGCTCTGTACTACGCTCTTTGACAGATTGAGGTCGCTTGGGAATAGTCATAAACTCGTGGGTTGGGTCACAAATATCAACAGACAGCGAACCATCTTTCAAACGTGGAAAGCAATCCTCACAGAAAAGAACGATAAACGGCATGTCACGGCGCCAGCAATGAACTATTCCGTCAATTGCGCAAAGCATTCCACACCCATCACAGAAAGGTCTGGGGGCATCCGAATCGCCAATCTTGTCATTGAGGAAAGCTATTTGGTACCAAACTGACACCCAGTTGTCGACGTCTCGCATGGCGGCAAAGATGCCGCCCAACTGAAGGTAGCAGTTTCGGTCATCATCGTCATCAGACGAACCAAGCGTACTAAGGGGGCGTTGTAAAAGGGATTTGAAAAACTGCAGGGCATCATCGTCACGGCCACACATTTTGTAGTAAGTACCGAGTGTGGCACGTGCTTCGGGTCGTGGTAGGTATGCATACTCTGTGATGCCTTTCGGGGCTCTTTCATGTCTGGCCAAGTGGAGAGGTCGTCCCATAACAAGACGTTCGAGTAGTTGGCCATATCTCGAACGCTCTGCTTCAGAGCAATCGACTCGACAGCATTGTTTGAAGTAGTAACAGCACAGGGAAGATGATGCAGTGAATATTACATGACTCAGATTGCCTTTCGCTTGACTTGGTTTGTAAGTCTCCAATATGCGTTCACAAATGCGAGCTCCCCCTTCAGGGTCAACTCCAAGTGAGCAAAGTAAAGAAGAGAGACTTAATTCCAGCGTAGCAGTGAGAAGGGCCTTTCTCTGTCGACGAGCGGTGACAATGGCGGCTGTGAAAGCTTCTTTGAATAATGAGAAACATCCTCTCCGGATGATCTTGGCGCCAAATTCAAACATCATTAATTCCATCTCTGGATTTTCGAGTACGAATTCCGTCAGGTGGCTCAATCCATCACTTGGTGATTTCTCGTTCATCATTTGGAAGAAGTCCAAGATCTCATCAACCTTGCCAGCGCCATGGTAGTGCTCCAGAATTAACCGAGCACAATCTGCACAACGATTGTAAGTGCTGTAGGCTCTTTGTCGCACGGAAAAGGCATTTTCCTTATCATTAAGATCCTGGTAGCAATCTGCGACTCTTTCGTACTCTTGGTGAAGAATCTTCTGAATTTCGGAGGACTGCTCCTTTTCATTGAGCTGGGTGATGTTGGTTTGATGAAGCTCGAGAGCCTTGGCAAGTTCGCCAATGTTGCGATACAAACAAGCCATATGAGAACGGAACTCCCACAATTCTGAGTCAATTTGTAAAGCTTTTTGCAGATATTCAATAGCTTCATCGTAGACCAAAAAACTCTCCAATGCCTGCCCAACTCTACCATACCAATTGGCGTCATGCTCAGGCTGACCCCAGTTTGCGATCTGCAGGATGTCCTCCGGGGTATTGATGTCGAGAGAAAGACCAGAGTCCTGAAGCAGGATATAATCGCGCATGGTCAGTAGGCAAAGAGCTGGGCTCCATGACTTGTTTTGAGTCCACCGAGAAGCTATATAGCTCATGATTGGGCGCAGAATTGCGGCTGGGCTTTGGGCCATGGCATTGCTATACCAGATCTTGGTCTCGTCCGGAAAGGCCTCTTGAACGTCAGGGTCACCAAGCCATTTAGTGAAAATATCCAGAGCGTCCTGGGTGAAGAAATTAAGTTTATCAGGCGAAACAAATGCTTCAAACCCTGACTCATCAGACAACAGCTTAGCTAACTGAAGGCCAATGGCTTTCTTGGAGTCTTTGGCAATCTGGCTCATATCAACGGCGGCGAGGAATTCAACAAAAGAGCCACAGGCGTGCGACCTCAAGGCAAGGGCAATCTCCTCTCTCAGTGAATCCTTATTCTGAATGATCTCGAAGCATCTATTCAACACCAATACCCGAGCCTCGTGGTGGTTGACTCCAATATACGGGGAATTAGGTCCAGCCGATACTTTGTCCTCCTGGCTTCTGAAAAAGTCTCCGAGGGATGCGTGACAGAAAGAGACTGTAGTGGTCTTATGATCAGAATCGAAATCGTCATTCAAATCAAAGTCTTCATTCTCCTCGGAGTCCCACTCGGATGGTTGTTCAAAATCGTCGTAATCTGTGCAAATCATTCTTCGCTTGAGGTCGGCAGTAGAAAGGCCATCCTCACGGGTCAAAAGGAATATAGAGGCAAATTGTACCCGAAGAGAGCCCTCTAGCCAAATCCAACTTTCTCCTTCAGGTGACCTCCATTTCAACAAAGCATCAATCTCAAACAGAGAGAGAGGACTCGGTGTGCACATCGTCCATGCCAGGAGCTCGTTCAAATCGGCAGCATATTCTGGGTTATCCGTGAAGCTCTCTGAAAACCCCCTCAGGACATGGGAGATCATCTTTGTTAGTCCCTTTGGAGCTTCGTCAAGCGTTCTTTGTAATTCACCCTTGTTTCTGATTTGTGATAAATCATGTAACATGAGCCCAACCCAGAGAAACATCCCTTGGGAGCCAGTAGACAGTCTCTGAATGATTGTTCGCTGGGTAGAGGGCGGGAGCTTCCGCAAATAAATGGACTTTGCAATGCTAGTTTTGATGTAGTGCACGATGTCTTCAAAATTGTTCACCTCAGAAACGTCTATCGTCTGAATTTGAAGCGTTTCCATCAGATCATTCATTTCCTCGGCGATTTGTGGTCTGCCTAGCATCAGAAGCTGAATGCGACCACCAGTCCGGATATCCTTCGCCAATTCAAAAAGCTCCAGTCGTTCATTTGTGAATGCTTCGTCGAGTGCATCAAGAACCAGATAAACGGGGCCTTCTGCGGAGTTCTTCTTGCCGCCTGCACTGTCCCCGTTATCAATGAAGACATTCAGAAATAGATTCGTCCATAAACTCTCAAGCGTCCCTATATCCTCGGCACAATCTAAATAATCAACGATGTAATCAGCGTATAGATGATCGTTTAGCGCGATCTGAAATGCGATATCGCGGAGGGCTTGGTGTGTGGACCGGGTTCTGGGGTCGTTGTCCTTGAAAAAGAAGAAACCCAGAGCAGCATGTGGCTTCTGCTTTAGGTGATCGATCAAGTTGGTAGCGATGTATGACTTTCCAGCCCCTGGATTTCCGGAAATCCACAGGACTGGTTTAGTTCCGGTGATCCAATCAATGAACTCTGTTTCCTCCCGTATCCAGTCCCCAGTCTGCGGTACACGGTTACGGTTCATTGTCCTATATCGATCTTCGGAGCTCCTGGAAGGCTGTAGTAAGCGCCTTAGATCCGCGGTCATACGTTCTTTCCGAGGCATCTCAGTCAGTCTGGATCCTTCCAGTTGCCGAGCGATTCTCTTCATATCGGAATTCACGCGCGCAAATCCCCCCTTCACTTCTGTCAGCGTCTCGGCCGCAACCAAAGCACTTTCTGCCTCGACCAACTTGGCAAATTTGGCCATTGCCGCTTTTCCGTCACTACCAGACAGTAGGCTTTTGCCGTAGCTAAGCATCCGTCCATGCTTGACCTCTTTTCGGGCAAAGGCAAGTACCTCCAAAAGCGAGGTCAAAATTTGCGTCAATTTGTTGCTCAGGTTCTCGGAAATCGTCTGCTGCGAGTATACTTCCAGTCGAATAGTCAGATCCTATGTCAGGGTCAGGATCTGAATCCTCGCAGGCTCCCCCATGGACTTACTTTCAAAGTTGACATCGTCTCTATGATAGCATCATACTTGTCCGAAACGCCCTTTGCGGCTCCCAGCAGATATGCTACCGCACTAAACACAAGGGTAGTAGGTGGATAAGCCGCAGAGACAGCTCCCACCACCATTCCTGTCAGTTCAATCGGGGTCATGGCATGCTTAATCACATCTCGAATCCGATTCCCCCGGTCTCGAAATGCGTTGAATTGCTTGTTTTCTTCATCGATCAATCTGAGTAAATCGTCAACTGTAGTCACCCGCGATACAGTATCGAAGTTTTGCTTCGTGATAGTTTCGTAATGCTTGATAGCTTCAGTCCACAATGAAGCCACCTGCTGAGGCATTCTGGCAATCTATAGAGTACGTCGATGTACCCAAATTGCTTGAGGGCTGACGCTGCGAAGAAAAATCATCGGCCCCAATGCGGGGTAGATTGAGACTCTGAGCTGCACCTGTGCTTAACATTTCATACATCTCTGAAGGATCTAGGGACAATATAGATGTTGAATTAGAAGATAAATATATCGAAGTCTTTTTTTCAATAAATGTCCGACCAGCAGACAAAACAGCTATTAATACTCTCTCATTCCCTTATCTTCTCCCAATCCTACTCTCAATGGAAGCTCAAACTCGTCCGATTCGCACCCCGATATTTTGTCTGATCAATACAATTAGACGGCAACTCTAAGCAAGCAGTCGAGAGTGATCTCGGCCCATCCACAGCATGCGCGTCACCTGTTGTCTCTAAAATGCAGCTGAGCGGGCCGTTAGCGGCGCCAGGTGTACTGCTTCGTGGGCGACGCGTGCTGGGGTAGATTATCTCGACGTCGTTACGACGTGGGATGGGTGGTAGGGAGCGAGCTGAGCCGTAGCGGCGCTGGTTTGCCCAACGTGATGATTGGTGCGCATACTGGCTACCGGGATGAGCATTTGGATGGAGGTTGTACTGGCTCTGGGAGTAACTTGGGAGGCGGTTTGGGTCGAAGTTGTAAGAGGAACTGCGGACAGGGTAGTGTTTTATGCTTTTCTGTTGTTGCATGGTCTTCCGCATGGAGTCCGGGTGCATTTTGGGACCTGGAGATTGGCGGCGGGTCTGGGAGTAGGCTCGTGGCCGTGGTGGTGCAGGGGGGCGTGGAATGAAGTTTGGGTGGTGTGGATGGTGGATTGAGAGGGATGTGGGCATGGCGTAGGCTGTTTGGGAGCGGCCGACTTTTGTTGGGGAAGATGGGGCTGGGACTACTTCCGGGGCATCGGCGGAGTTCATTGTCAGTGTGCGGCTGTGGTGGCCGCCCGGGTGTGCAGTGATTGGTTTGGGCTGGGTGTTGGCAGGGCTTTGGGGGAGGGATGCGGAAGAGGCATTTGGGGTGTTGCCATTTGCAACGAGTTGGTAGCTTGTGGATTCGGGGATCCCCTTGGGCATGCTGTTTGGCGTGACGACTTGTTTTTCCACATCGGATGCAGTGTTGGGGTCTGCCAGGGCCTGTATTTGAGGGTCCGCTGATAATGGAAGCGACAATGGGAAAGACTTTGGAAGAAGACGTCTAAGAGAAGACAGTGATGACTTTCCTCTCTTATGGTGAGAGTACGCTTGAGGGATGGCTGGAAGTTTGGGGGCAGTCTCATCAGAGAGAAGCGCGCGTAACTCGTTGGCTGTTTGTGAACTCATGGTCGTAGAGGTACATGACAGGGGATAGAATTCGCTAGCCAGGCTTTGTGATCCAGGAGAGATACGGTGTAGAGTGTCGGGCGAAATCGTCGTCCCAGACATAATCTCCCCATATGTCGAACCGGGATCAGTGTTGACTCGGAGTTGGGGCCGTAAACGCACAGGAGCAGGGTGTCGGATGCTAGGATGGCAGTTGACTCTGTTGGCGATTGGGTCTGCAGACCAGGATTCCCCGGTTCCATTCCCATCATGTTGGCGGCAAAGGTAGAGAATCTCGTTTTTGAGGGTTTCGTCGCTATCCCAGCTATTACCAGAGAAGATACTGCCATCCCTATTGACTCTCTGGCACTTGTAAATACCGAGAAGCGATACATCATACGGTCGATCGCAGAGTTGCCTCGCGCAGTACATTGTGCACACGGTGACCCTGTAGGACAATTGTCAGTTGAAGCAAAAATGCACGGAACGAATATGCAGCATACATGGAAACAATAGACACAATCACAGATGCTCGGTGGAAGGCACAGCTTGTACCAACTCTCCAGAAACTTGCATCTATCCCCCCGGGGAGACAATACACCTGCTGTGCGGCGACCACCAAGCCTGCTACACTTGTAGCTAGCCAGAGTGCAAGATCCAGGCGCAGAACATATGTGCATACATTATGCAACACAGTCTTCTGGGTTCCAAATCCACCAATGTTGTTATATTGCCAGGCTACCAGACTTTGGAGGCTGACAAGTGGCACTGAGAGAAAAGACTAAATCAAAGTCAGCGGAACGGTATAGTGGCCAAAGATTTAGATTGAACATACTGCGACCAATGCAAGAACAACACTCAGAGTCATCTTTGAGTCAACCTGGCCGTTACCGTAAAGGTAGAGAACGAGCACCCATTCCAAGATAGACTCGAGGATTAGCATGTATAGCGCAACAAATATCACAAGCTTCGTCCATGTGCCCTCCTTTCGAGGCGTAGCCGAAAGTTCAGACGCCATTATCGCGATGGCCCAAGTACCGAGAGATCAAGCCCCCTCTGTGGCCGTCTTCAAGCAATCTGGGACTTGAAGTGATGGGTAGGGAAGAATGCCAGTGTATTGTAGGTCAAGGACGGGCGTACTGAATGCGCCAGGTCCAAATCGAACCCAGTTTTAGACACACTCAAAGTTCATCGATGGAGCGCAAAGAAGAGCATACATAAGGCTGATACCAAGAGTCGTGTTGAAGGACTAAAGAGGGATTCAATGAAGGGTGCTCAGCCCTGGAGCGCGTCGACGCGAATATGGCGTGGAGGGGTGGAATGTAGCGGCCGAGGGGCGTGCACCAGAAGAATTCAACACCTTGAGGTGTCCTCTTTGGAGAGGAGAACCCATTTTAGCTTGCTTGGAATGCTAAAGACCTGCCAGTGCCAGGGATGTATTGAGGGTTTGACTGTTGTTGGCCTTATCCCTGTGGATCAGTCTGTACAGACCTTCAATTCGTGTCAGTCCTTGAGAATGGAAAATTCGAAGCAAAGGCTCTTGTCAAAAAATTCAATGTGATTATTTCTCCGTGCATCTAAGGGTTGCCCTTAGAGGTGCAGATAGGAGGACGGAGGCGATCATGCCCTATATCCCTCGATGACGTGGTCAACAACCACTCCGACCACAAATAATCGCAGCAAGTACTTTGAGTACAGTAACCCAGCTTGTAAACTTCCAAAGGCCTTTCCTCTTTCTAAAAAGAAAAGTGTACTCATTGCTTATGCTCTCGTGTAGTTTCTACTGATTCTGTACACAACACGTGATTGGAGGGGTCGATCATGTCAGCAAGGACGAGAAATGAGCCACGATCCTGGATCACAACCTAGATTCATAGACATTCTGACGCATTTGACAGGGACATGAATGAAGTGTCTCTGATATATTGGCACTGTGGAATGTGCTTCTTATCTAACTATGAACTGCACATATTCGCCATAACTACAAGCCGCGAAGATTTCTTGTAAATGAGATTTTAACTATAAGGTGCATATTCCCGAGCCCTTCATTGACACGGATGATGTGTTCGTCGACGATTCGGGTCGATGGTCTATTTGTCGCCTAAAGGTTGGGTTGACTGTAACTGACATGGTGAGCTTGGTTATATATAATACCACCAACCTTCACAGAAATGTATGATGAGGTTATCAAACATCAATTATCAAACACTCAGAACTCTCTGGTAACATATAGTATGCCCTACGAAGTCCTAGGGACCCATCTCAACTGACAGGCTTCTAATCTATCATGGCTTGAGTTTAGATCGTGTACGTTCCAAGTATCCTAGGAAATCCAATAGGCGATTCTTTATTACAACCCTACCTAAACTTAGATACGCCGAGAAGCTGTATGAGTTGAAGAATTGCTGTAATGACAATCCACATAGAACCAAGCACCCTAAGAGATCTGAATGTCAAGAATTGACGTTTGAAAGCATGTCGGTCTTGATTACTCTAGACTAGCATGTTCTTTCTGCTACACTGGGTGCAAATTATGGACTGCTTCACTCATGGTTTTCTCGGTAAGCCTGTCATCCCCTCCTCTCCCCAATTGTAAAAATCAAAACGAAAGAGTGGGTATGTATTCAAATAAGCTGGAATGTACGGAATAAAGAGTGGTGAGTGCCTAGGCGGTTTTCCTGTAGGGGGAAGGGGGGTGCGAGGACATACGTGAGTAATCAGAACCTCTCCTTGAGCCCGGGGCCCAAACCCCCTTGAACAATTTTATTGCCTTCGTGCCATTTCAAATGCTCCCTTAACATCCCTCTGGGGTTTTTACTTCAAAGTGTAGAGCCTTACACAGTCAGATATCCTTTTTATTACCTATAAAACGTCCCAATGAACTGACGCAGTATCGAGACCCTCTCTCTAGACAGTCTACCTATTGCAGTAGCTGTCATGTTGTCATTCTTGGAATTTGTCTATAGACTTCTAGGGAAACAAGAGGTAATTCACAGCACAGCAATGCACTCAATCTCAACATCAGTGTTGAGAGGGAGGGTCTTGACCGCAACACACCTACACAGTATCCTCGTTAGCAACAATTCAAATATTATATGCAGATTCACAGAAACCAGTGCCTAGGCGCAAGCATCACACCGTACATAAAAGATTGGAGGCGGGACAACATGACTCCAAATGACCCCAACGATAAGAAATCAAGTGGGGTAAGAACTCACGTCCGGCAAGGCTTCACATCACCCCAGTACTGCATGTAGACTGAGTTCATCTCGGCGAAATCATCCATGTTGGACAGGAACACATTGACTTTGACGACCTTGGTGATATCGCTACCAGCCTCCTCAAGGACGTGGGTCAGGTTCTTGATGCATTGGTGCTATTGAAGGGAGGTAGTTAGCAGGTTGAAGTCAATTGGGATGCTTTAATATCTCACAGTGTGGGCCTTGACATCACCGTCAATCAATTTTCCAGTGGCATCCATTGCGACTGCACCGGAGCAATAGACGACCCCATTGGCGACGATGGCCTGCGAATAAATGCCTGGGAGAGGCTTGGGAGCCTTATCGGTGAGGATGGGGGTCTTGGAGGACATTGCGAGAGCTTTTGGGAGGTGGAAAGGGAATTCACTAGGGGGTTTTGAGGGTGATAAAGTAGGAAGCTGTCTCCCCTGGGGGAAATGGTCTTTATCAACCGAACCCGCATCCCACGTCGGCCCGCATCAAAACGTAACGAGTTGCTCCATATTGGCTGATAACAAAGGACCGAGGAATAATGAAATGGCGTATGAGTGGCTTTGTGAGTTGTGGACATCAACTGGAGACTTGGAGATTGGACGATGTAAGGGAGATGGGGTTGTCGATCATTACCCCCAAACGGCAACGGATCTATCAGCTTATCGGTCACTCTCCCCGCATTGAATATCACGGCGTGGGGGTGAAGTTGAACATATAGCAACCTGAGACCCTGAAAGCTGCACATTCGATCATTCTTTTCTCTCTAACTTCAAAATGACTGCTGGCATTACTCAACCCCCGTATCCGCTTCACGAGTCCGTTAAAGATCTATTGGACCCGGAGTATGTGGCATTCTATAATGAGCATGTCATCAATAACCAACAGGTGCACCTCCGGCCTGTGGAAGCGTCACGGACGAGTGGTGTCTTGATTCCTGGTGCGGGTCCTATGCTGGACGTGGGCAAGACTCAAGATATTACTGTCCAGCGACGAGCTACCGAGGGCCCAGCAGTGCCTATCCGCTGCTTTACTCCTAAGGGTGAGGCCCCTCCTGGTGGATGGCCAGTAATGCTGTACTTCCATGGTGGTGGCTGGGTGCTAGGTAACATTGACACGGAAAACGTGGTGTGCTCTAACCTCTGTGTACGAGGTAACTGTGTTGTGGTTACAGTTGACTACCGGTAAGTCGGCAAACTTCACTACCTAATCACTCCATGCGTCCAAAATCTTGAGGAATTTCGAGCCTCATTTATATTACCTTCTCCTAGTCTTGCACCCGAAGACCGCTGGCCGGCCGCAGTACACGACTGCTGGGAAGCTCTCCTTTGGCTGATTGCAGATGGTCCCGCTGCACTCTCAGTGGATGTATCCAAACTCGCAACCGGCGGCTCATCCGCCGGCGGCAACCTTGCCGCGATTATGACACATAAGGCGTTGACTCTGTCGCCCCCTGTTCAATTCCAAGCCCAGCTCCTCTCTGTACCTGTGACAGACAACACCGCAACAGTAGAGAACAGCGAGTCATATCGCCGATATGAGCATACCCCCCGCACTCCCCGCACTCAAGATGTACTGGTACCGCGACCACTATGTTCCAAACGAGGCAGACCGAGCCGATCCAGAGTCGAGCCCACTGTTCTGGCAGGGTGATTACTCGAAATTGCCGCCTGCACTGGTGATGGTTGGCGAGTTGGATGTGCTGCGTTCGGAGGGCGAGCAGTATGCGGAGAAGTTGCGGAAGGCTGGTGTTGCTGTTGATTTGCAGGTTATGAAGGGAATGCCGCATCCGTTTTTGGCTATGGATGGGGCGTTGTCTGAGGGCAAAAGGTGTATCACTCTGATGTGTGATGCGCTCCAAACAGCGTTTTGGGCCTGATTGAATGTTTCTTTTCAACATATACCATACCCGATATATCCACGTTGGAAAATCCACTTTTATGGAGAATTTAAGAAGAAAACAAGTAGAGGATCACCATTTGTGTACCATTATCTCCTTCTTTGGATAGCCGAGAGCGTCCTGTCACGTACATGTGCCTCGGGCACCCATTGTGGTCTGAGGCTGGTTGTTCCTTTCCCTTGATGTTCCAAATATAGTCTAGCTCTCCTTATTCCGCTTCGCTTACTTTCCCTTCTACCTTCTCGTCACGGCTTGCCGTGGGTATTTGTGGGTCAATGGAAACTAATATTCGCACTAAGAGCCTGCCTTTGATGCTCCTTGGACGAATACTGATATGCGCTCTGTGGGCTTTGCGGAGCTCTCCGGATACCATAGGTAGTACTCTGACACGAAAATGTGAGAGCGACACTTTGAACATTGAAAGTCTGAGTGCACTCCGAGCTATCTCTTCGTTACTGTATGGCCAACGCGTGTGTATATCTTTGTGGGCAATCAAGCGAAGTATATTTCCTACGCGTAGGTCTGCAACTGAGCACCATCAAAAGTAAGGATTTATACAAGTCGGGCTGATTTGACCCTCCTCATACTGTAAGCTAAGCAAACCACTAAGTAGGTGGACCGGTAGGGCTTTCCAGTGCTTCTAAATCGGCACATCGATGCCTTTTACCTGAACCTGAATATCAACTGCCGACTCGGCCGGCGATTCAATGAGCCGGCCAGCCGTGTCATGCGTCATGTCCCATTCTGCGACTTCGGCGTTAGGGACCTTTTTGAGGCGGTTGCTTTGAACACCGCCACCTAGGTTGACAACTTCCTGTCGCAGTTTGTAGCCCCTCCATTTAGGAATAAGGATTGCCCAAAGATAGTAATAGATGGCGCAGGCAAGAAGACTGGGGACTTTTGTTAGTGGGAATACTCTGCTAGCAGGTTAGAGGGGTTGGTAAAGTTTTATTCACTTACATCCCAATTCCCGTCACAGCATATGTTGCATACCAAAAGCTGACATCACCAGCATACTGACCACCAATAGGCGGATACCAGGGCATGACAAGGAGGTAAAGCTGGACAAGAATGTTAAAGAGAATCACGAAGTTCCACGCCTTGAACTCGGGTTCAGGAAGATTGGCTTTACTTCGGCGCCAGCGAACAACGTAGATCCCAAGCGCCATTGCAAGGTTGAAGACAGCGGAAGGGATAATGGTTAAATCGTTGACTATTTAGCATTAGCATTGCAACGATAGCCGCCCCATTTCTGACGGGGAAAAAGAAGTGGAATCATACTGAAAGTGAAAGCATCTCCAGCAGGAACGGCTAGGATCATCAACGAGGTCAGAAACCAAATGACGGCGTACGGGCCTAGCGTTGTGCCAAAAGGCTTAGTCGAGACCCAAAATGTTGTCCAAGGTAGAACTCCCTGCCGCCCGCATTCTCTAATCCGTCGAGATAAACCAATTATCACGGCGATCATGTTACCGAAGGAAGCCAAAGCTATAAGAAAATTGAGGCCACGGACGGCACCGCTGTTGCCGAAGACCTTCTCAAAGAACAGACTTGCAGTCGTTAGATCAGAGGACTCTATCTCGCTCTTGGGAACTGTGAAACCATTTGCAATTAGCGTGAGACTCTAGCCTGTGGCGTGCTATCGGCAACTAACCGGCAGCAAAGAATGCAATGTTTGCGAACATGTATAATACATAAACTGTGGTAAGAGCAGCAGTGGCGTAAATCTTAAGTGACCTGACGGGATTCTATCAAAACAAGTATCAGTTTCAGCCGCGCATATTGGAATCTTCGAGTCACCATACCTTGACCTCGTTCGCGACATTGAAAGCGTTATTATAACCGCCATATGAGAAAATAATTCGGTATAAGGCAGTAGTAAATCCGTATGCAGAAGCTGTAGAACTACCTGACCACGCGTCGTGAAAATTGGCAGTGGGGTTCTCAACCTTGGTATTGCCCCCTAAAACAACAAAGCCAGTGACGATAACAAAGAGAAGAGTGCAAATCTTGACAATCCCAACAGCGTTTGAGAACCAATATGCGAATTTCGTGTTGAACACCAGCGCTGCGGGTTGTCAGCGTCATGCACATTTCATTTGACAGAGAGCTCAAGAAGCGAGAACAACTTACTCAAGGTAGCAAGGCTATAACAGGCTAGAGCAGTGCCTTTGACTTGCCAGTCAGTGCCTTCGTGTCCGGAGATAGCAATAAGATACTTGGCCATGACTGTTGTGGTTTGTTAGTTAAGCACTAAGGACAGATTGGATGCGGAACATCCTCACCTGTAGCATTGGCACTTCCAAACGAAAGAATGACACTCTGGACCGCAAAAGTGGTTGCAAAAAGCCATTTTGGCCTAGGGTACGCTTGTTCGAGGAAAACGACTTCTGAACCAGATCGACTCGGGAAGTATGCCGTAAACTCCAGATACACGGCTCCAGACGTGAGACACATCTAAGATGAGCAAGATGATTAGTGATTGTTGTTTTCTGGTCATCGAGAAGACATACCAAGTAGCCCAGAGTCCAAAAGACAAGACTGGCGCCGACCGAGCCTGTACCGGATAGGATCGATGATGCTTCGTCATATTAGCTGGCATGTCGAGCTATGCTATATTGCACTCACGTGTGGAGTATATACCCGCGCCGATCATCATTGTGATGTTCAGCAAGGTAATTGTGACCGGGCCGACAGAGTATCCCAACGGCGAGTTGCTCTCAACCGGAGCGCCAGACGCGTCTTGGTACGTTGGTGCCGCATTATTTCCTCCTGTCTCGCCGACATACTTCCCGCCAACAGTTGAGACTTGCTCCCCATGGCTTTCGACCGCAGCGCTGAACGCGGCAGGACGCTTGCTCAAAGATCGGCGCCAACCCATTGGGAGTAATTGCCAAGACCTCTAACAAGGTAGGTCGGTTTCAAGAGATTCTTCAGTAAAGAAAAAAGGGAAAGTGAATAGTGTCAACGCTCCTGTTCTTTGATAATGATTTTTATGGGTTCTTGCTGAAGAGATAGGTTACAACGTGCGCCGCATGGGCTATCTATATAACGGCACCGAACTTTTGACCTTCCTTGTCTCCTTTCCGCATGTTTTGTCCAATCCAATGATTAGAATTGGGTTGACATACGAGAGACTTTCGTTTGTGGAGAAGAACGATTTCAACATCGGAGCGGCGAATGTTACCACCTAGCAGGGGGTCGAATGGAAGGCTGACCAGATGAATTCTGACCTTAACGAGAAAACTCAAAGAGAATTCGTCATCCGGCGTCCAGATTCCCATATAATATCCTAGACAAGAGCACATAAGCTGCGACTGTTATGCATTGCAAGTGGGGAAAGTATCGCTCAATGATCAGGTCTTCCAGGGTATCTGGTATGAAGTGTCCCATTGCCAATATATTCAATCCAAGATGCATCAATACATCTGTATCAGTAGATAGTTCTTCAAGCGATTATCTGCATAAGAAGACAAATTAAGTAGGGATGCTTATGGCGGGATTATTTGTTGTGGGTAGAGTATATGCAGCACGTTATAGCTAGCTAAATGGCGAAAGGAAAAAGGCTCGCTGCAGCTGATGGCAGACGTACTTGTATATGCGCCAGGTTGGTTTCGCCGAAATTATACCATTTCGCGCGATTATGGTGTTGTATTGGAGATTTTGGGTGCTTAGTCTGCTATCTATCACGTCATGTGTTGCGATGAGTGTTAGCGACGTCTTCAACATATTACTAGACCTAACCGCGCTCCGTTCGGACATGTGTGGAGCGGAACGCGGCACAATATACGGAGCACCCCCAAAGGATTCTGAATGCACCAATCAGAGGGCTAGAATGAATCTAGATAGATTTCGGGATTTGGCTGACCCTTACACGGCCCCCAATTGGAGTTCGCGTACGGAGCACTTGGCAATCAATTCTCATTCGTGTACTCCGTATAATTGTGCGGAAGGTCCCTTTCTGGGTATCAGCACAGGAAGTCTCAGAGTATCCCACGGAGTGCACGGGGTGAATATGGGGAAAGGAAGGGAGGGAAGGAAAGGAAGAGAAGGTAGGAGAGAAAACCGCGGCTGCTATCGCCAGCCCTAGAGGGACCTTGCATACCTCAGGACAGCAAATTTTTCGGTTCTATTGTAGAATCGTGTGCCTTGAGGAAGATAACTAGGGAATATTGAGTTGGGCTCTTAAGAACAATTGTGATGGTGCAGTTCGAGAGGAGAGAAGAAGGGAGATACGCTATCTATCCCAAGTATGGCGTGATGGCCTATAACGCCAAAACAATATAAAATAACTTACTTGATCAATTTGTGCTTTCTGAGAATTCATTCAAGACTTGAGTCGACGCTACGCGCCTCTTTCAAGCGACAGGCTATAGCTGCTAGCACGTATGGATTTGGCCTACAAGGCCGAGCCTACGGGCACGGAGATTCCATCACCTAAGAATGAGAAAGCCATTGATACCAAATACGCCGATGAAACTCTGCGCATTCTCGAGCTCCATGGTGACTCGGTTGGTCCATTGACAATCGAGAAGGAGAACAAGCTGAGACGCAAACTATACTGGCATGTCTTCGGGCTACTCTCCGCTATTAACCTACTACTATTTGTGAGCTCGCAATCCGGACGTTTTGTACGCAAATTCTAATCTCTCTAGATTGATAAATCCACTCTGGGATACGCCGCTATCCTTGGTCTGTTTGAAGAGACTGGCATTAGCAAGGCTGAATACAACAATCTTGGAACTTTCTTTTATGTCGGTACGTGGCAGTATCATTGCGTCGGTTATCCCTTCACTAACATTCCCATAGGGTATATTGTTGCACAATGGCCGGGACATTATGCTATGCAAAAGCTCCCATTTGGCAAATTTGTCGCCGCTCTGGTCTTCATGTGGGGTGTCGTCCTACTACTTCATTGCGTTGCCACAACCTATGCCGCTCTTGTGGTTCTGCGACTAGCACTCGGTGCGGCTGAATCTGTCGTTGTACCTGCAATGGAAGTCACAATCGGAATGTTCTTTAATCGCTACGAACAGTCCTTTCTCCAACCCTTCCTCTGGTTAACGTCGGCAGCCGCCCCCATATGTGCTGCCTTTATCTCCTACGGTTTGCTTTGGAGTCATAGTGCCGTCTTACCTTGGAAACTTTTCATGATTATTACGGGCGGTGTCTCTGTACTTCTCTCTGTTCTTGTTTGGTTTCGGTATCCGAACAACCCTGCCGAGGCTAAGTTCCTCTCACTGGAGGAGAAAATCCACACGATCAGACGAGTACACGAGTCGAGTCAAAGCTCTATTGAGCAGAAGCAGTTTAAAAAGAGCCAATTTACAGAGACATTACGTGACCCCGTTTCATGGTTATTTGCTCTACAGGCATTCACTCTAATGATGTCAAACAATCTCACCTACGGGCAGCAAAATCTCATCACCAAGGCTCTTGGAGTGGACAGTTTGGGTTCGACCCTTGTGGCAGCGGCCGGCGGTGGGTTCGGTGTCCTCGTGTGTATTGCCGGGGCTTATGCCCTGCGGTGGTGGCCTTCGAATCTTGCACTCCACGGACTCTTCTGGTGTATTCCAGCAGTTGCAGGTGGGATTGGAATGGTTGCGATTGACTGGGATCAAAAGTTAGGGATGCTTGCTTGTCTGCTGCTGGCTGGTCACACTTTCGGCAATACCTACATTATCGCGTTGGGCTGGGCCACATCATCTGCAGCCGGTTACACCAAGAAGCTGACCCGAAACGTCATGTTCATGGCTGGTTATTCCATTGCGAATATTTGTTCGCCACAGATATGGGTGCCTAAGGATGGACCTCGATATTACGGTGCCTGGATATCTATGATAGTGGTCAGCTGGGTGGGGACACCATTGATCCTTTTCATTATACAGTTCCTGTTGAAACGCAGGAACTCTGAAAGAAAGGCCTGGGCTGCGTCCTTGACCTCTGAAGAGAGAAAGGCACACGAATTGGGAGTGGTCGAGGAGCTTGATGAAAATGGAACTATGATACGCAGGCACGTTGAAATCGCCATGTTGGATATGACTGATATGGAGAACAAATTCTTCATATATCCTATTTGAATGACACGGGGTATGAGGAAATTGGCGTCATCGAACACCGGGTCTCCAAATAAATTAGGGCCAGTGAAATAGATACAAACAAAAGTTACCCTCAGAATGTCGAAGTGCACGCTTCACCGCGGAAATTAATCGATTCTAGATAAATACCCTGATGAGCTAAGGCGATAACACCCAAGCAGTGAGCCACGCGTAGTATCAGTCTTGTGTTTGGCGGCAAGTAACCCGCCCACAGCCCATCGGCAGATTAACTAACCATTCATCTGCTTCTTTCAGATTCCGCTTGTCAGAGATAAAGTTCAGCTTCACATCTCCCGTGGGGTATTGAAGCCCTTGTGCCCACTCTTTTGTCCGCTTGTCAAGTCAGAACTTCGGCTTGAATCTAAACAAGACGTCCTCAGCCATCCGTGTATCGAGTATAAGCTCAGCTTTCATGATGGCTGTTTCCAGGAGCACTGCATATCTAGGCTCGTGGAGCTCATGAGGAGTCGGCTCGGAGAGAACAGCATTGATCATAAGCCTTTGGAATATTTCGTAAAAGCGCCAACATATCATGAAGAAAAAACGCTTCCCCGACTGAGATGATGATTGTATCACCATATCATAGAGATTGCCCATGCGAAGTCCCCCGGAACCTTCTAACAAAAAATGCCACCGGCGCAGGCGGACATCATCATTACACGAAGTTCCACGGTCCACTCAAGCGAATGATATTGCCGATCGCTGCTGTACTTGCATTCGTCACCAAGTAGCGTTAGGCCGCATGTACACTTCGCTGCGGTCTAGAAATTTTCGCATGCCGTCGGCCCCAAAAAACGTCCTACAGGATTCAAGATTATCGGTGGGAAACCAGTATGCAAAATTGGCTATTAGGAATGGATTCTGCCGTGGGATAAGTGTACCCCCCGATGGATTTGCACCCATCGGTTGACAAAATAGGGCTTGTTGGATTGCGAGAGAATTCTGAATACAATGACACCACTGCCGAGAGACCCGCTGTGCTAGGAAAAGCGTCTGCTCATCTAACAGCAACACTATACCTTCAAAAGCTCCGTTGGGAAGTTTTCAAGGCCCATTGTGGAACAATTCGCTGTTAATTTCGATGAGGTATTACAAAAGATTGGTTCGAGTATTGAGTAATGCTGTGGACAAAGGTGAGCTTTGTCGTGTCCGATGCGCGTATCAAGGCGCTAGACCTAACATGCCAAGGCTAACTTGAAAAGGCACTCACAGGCCCTTCACAATTCAGCTGCCCAGGTGGTAAAGCCTGCTGAGGTGATGGGATTATTTTATCCTACTATTGTGGCCTTCAAGGCTGAGCGAATAAAACACTCGAGGGCCGTTAGACTAGATACCCAGGGAGCTACAGAAAAACAAAGCTATAGACCTAGAGCAATGTATGAACTGAATAATTTATTGTGGATTATGCAATGCTTAGAGAAGAAGCATCAACCAATCAGGATATAGAAATATAGTAACAGACCAATTGGCTACATGGCTATTCATAGATGGAGGGAGGCTTCATCGTTTGAGGCAAGGTGAATACGATCCAGTTCCACCGTGATCTCGAGTATATCATTTGACAATTGGTGGGTGACCAAAACTATTGTACTGTCAGAAAATGTGGTCTGTCACACAAGACTGTGAAGAGCTTGGAGTTTGGATCTTACTGAAAGAGTGGAGTAGCACGTAGTCAACATCGTCAGTTGAATGAGATATTATTCGTTCTTGGCGGAAGTGATAGATTTGTCCCAGAAGCTCATCTTCTATAGTGTCTATATTTGTTAAAATTCCTCTACAGGGCATCTCCTGCCCCATTGATGAAGTAATTACTGGTTTCAGAGTCAGCAATTAGAAAATCTTAACTTGGTTTGAATTCTTTGGACTTACCAGCTAGCAGATGGGAGATATAAGTAGAAAGCTGCTGCCTCACAGCAGCAGTGTACCCGAGAAGAGAACATTGACTTTCCGATAGCCCCGGAGTGTTGACTAGAATCAGATCCAAAGAATAGAAATTGTCTACAATGCTCCTTGTCCGACGGATGATATTACCGTATGCAGCATCTGGGAAAGGCCTTTTGAACTCGAATTCAGATCGCGCTGACATCCGGAGACGCTCGAGTTGAGAAAAAAGGCGCTCAATCTCAACTTTGTCCTGGGAATTCATGAAGCGACCAGCTGTGTTTGCTTCTGCTAGCGCTGTAGTGCTCAAGGGATCCGATTCCCAAACAAACTGCAGCCTGAGCCATAGCAGATGCAATGTATTATTCAGCTTTGTCCACGCACGAATAGGCCATATGCCCCGTGTGATGATGATACCCCAGATACAACCCGAGGTGACAGAGATGACTCTATGAAGCACGATTTCGGTAATATTGAGATGCTCTCCATTGCGATCTTGGCTGTCGCTCTCGGTTTGTGAGAAAGAGTAAGCATACAGCACGGAGAGGTTGTAGGTCAGTAAGATGAAACGGCCCATGGGGCCCTGGCCTTTCACGGTGATCATATAAAACGGACCGAGGGCCATGATAAAGCCCAAGAGTGCGAGACCGAACGCATTTTCACCGACAAGGTACCACGCAGCTATCGAACAAAGGGCCCCAAGACATGTACCGATAAAGCGAGCAAAGCCCGTAGTGTTCGATGCACCAATAGTCATTGAACATACTAGCATGTACGAGAGAAGGCCCCATTCTCCTCTCCAAAATAGATAAGAGGGTCTCGTCAAGGATATAAAAGCGGGTAAAGCATAAATCGCTGCTCCTATTCCAACCTTGAGGGCGAATTTGACCTCGTCCGCACGGAAGAAACCAAGATATCTCCAACGGTAAGAGCGGGCTCTGCTATACGGAGGTTCCTCTGGATGTTGAAGCCGATAGTGATCGGAATGAACCACACCCGTCAAAATGGTACTGCTGGATTCGCTGTGGGCATAGTTTGATGTAGATGCTGGCGGAAGGCATATCAGCTTTATGACGACCATATGCCTTTTGGGGATGTAAACTCACTTTCATTCAACTGAAACGTTTCGTCCCTGTGTTCGTGTCCAGCTTGCCGCCAGGATTCCAAAATCCAAGCCCAGGACCTGTTATTCGGTCTTTCATTATTCGCGACTTGCATTTCCTCCAGGGCTAATAGAAAACGCTGCATCTGTTCAGCGAGTTCGAGAAGAGATGCCGAATAGTAATTGCAACTAGCGAATATCTCTTCAAAGCAAGCGTTGTTCTCCTCGCCCAGGGAACTCATGATTTCTTTGCGGGAAAACGAATGCAAGGCGGAGATTCTAGCTTCTCGGTATGACTTGATTGCCTCGTCAATCCGAGAGCGCGCTCCGCCATCCACGAATATCATGTAATCGGGGGCATGTCCAAAGGAAACTTCTTGGGAGATAACTCTCAGAGTAGAAACCAGTTGATTCTTTCAAGTATTAGAATCCACGACTCCAAGAATTTGCTGTGGCTTATTGGCTCTTACCATAGATGCCTCAAGTTGAAACTTGAACTTTTCAAAAACTTTGGCCTCCGAATTGCTCAAACGAGTATCTCTTCCCAATAATTTGGACTCCAAAGCTACCGCGCCGCGCAGAGCGCCTAGGCGACGAGTGATTTCCTGCATGAGATGTACAAGGCGTTTTGCAACTGAATACTCTCGCTGAGTCCCTGCGACATAATGCTCAAACTTCGACTCGGCCAGTTGAGTTTTCATTTCGCCAAATGCTTTGTCGTGCTGCGCAGATAGCTTAGCAAATGGTGCTTGCTGCAGCTCCTGGATAGACCCGCTCAAAAAGTTCTCAGTGATAGTCATTAGTATTAACATCGCAGTATTTGTTAAATTTGACAAATTTCCTCGGAATTTCTTGCGCGCAGACGAAGGTAGTATCGAGAGCGATACAGCCGCCGCTATCCCGACGCCCAAAAGAACCATCCTCAGGACCTGAGATATCATGTCGAAAGAAAGAGCACCTTGCTGCACTGCACCTTCTTTCATAATGACAAGGATTGAAGCCAGCGAAGCCAAAGAGCAGGCAATATTGACTAGGGGATCATCCATCTTTTGCTTGAACCATCCAATGCACCCAAACCCACCGGCAACAAAGACTACCAGCACCACCGCATGACCCAATTTAATCATATCGTACTTCTCATGGAAGAGAATGGTAATCCACATGCTCGATAGTGATAAGAGCGCCGCAAAGATAAACGCGACCAGTGCACATATTAGTGCTTTGTACATGCTGCCTTGCGATCTCGCTGGATGAAAGTAGACTGTGATCGTAGCCACCATGTGTTTCCCATTTTGGTGACCTAAGATATTCCCAATAATGGGTGTGAAGACTGCTAGAGAGGCGAGGAGATATGCGAGGCTGCACTTGAAGATTCCTACCCCTTGCTCCGAACGAATGAAATCTCGTGTGTCACTCCATATTTTGAGCAATTTCCGAATAATCCACGTTGTAAGCGGCTCCTGATCGAAGACTGCCGGGTGTACTATGAAAGGCTCTTGTTCCTCTCCGTGATCGGCGCTAGAGCGCACAGTGACGTCTTCCTGTGGTTGGGGGCCTGCTATGGTGTTTGTCACACGGGGCTATAGAAGTCAGTACCACCTCGGGTCAAGTAGGATGAATAGATAAATAGGTTAGTACCAACCCAAAAATTTAACAAGGCCCTGGTGGTCATCACTGAAAGTCTGTACAGAGTACATCCTAATACCAAGAGAGTGGAACCTCCATCTGGGCTCTCCACATTTGATAGGGATATAGGCTACCGCCTTATTATTGCCGGTGACGTCACTACTGTTTTTTTTTTGTCTCTCAACTCAACCGGGGCATTTGCGCACTCTGAACCACTACATCAAACAAGATATTCAAGAATCAATAGGACTATGTACTGTTAGTCCAGTCGTTTAGGCTATAGCTCGTTCCCCTGACATCTTCTCAACATTGACATTTCAATCGCCAGACCAGGACCAAACGAGGTAGCAACAACATGCCCCTTTTTGCTTTGTGAACGAAGCCGATCCAAAACAATCAAGACAGAAGCGCTGGACGAGTTTCCCCGTGTACGATATATCTCTCGACTGACCTGCAGTTGATCTTCAGATAATTGCAAGACTTGAGCTACGCCATCTATGATTGCCCGTCCTCCAGGATGCAAAGCCCAGTCGAAATCGTGAATCCCTAGCGGTCTCGGTAGTTTCCTGCCTACTCTGGATTGGGACGCTATCTGTTCCTCATACGAGGAAAGAAGTTTGTCAAACATTGGTCCGATCGCATGTTTGGTATATTTGGGAATATCTCGATCAAGTGTAGCTTGATACCCTAAATACATATGCAACCGAAGGTCGGTGCAGCTAATTAGTCTGGGGTATTTTCTGTAAGAGTGTATGAAGAAAGACAGACCATCTATATCCGCGTAAAATGTCATATGCTCAGCGGTCTCTGGGATCAAGTCATGACCCCATTGCAGAAGCTCATACTTAGGAGTAACTTGCTTGTCCTGGGCCACAGCGTACTCATTGCAAAGGACAAAAGCGGCCGCAGCATCAGAGAACAAGGCCGCTGCAACATTGACTTGATCAGAATTTGGAGAAATATCTGCCGAAGACAGATATCGTCGCACATTGGGCGTACACAGCTCACAGGCGAAGGCCAAAATGCGGGCCGGTTTCCGTCTAAGACTGGCCCCGCCGGCTATCTGCGCTGCGGCCCGCATTATGGACAGTCCACCCGCGCACCCGACGCCGTGAAGAAGCATACGATCGACATTGGGTTGAAGATTCAGTTTTTGCGCTACTAGAAAATCATACCCCGGGTTACCTTGGTTGGTACAGGTAACCCCGATTGTATGGGTGATCTGTTGAGGAGTTATATGTGCATCATCGAGAGCCTTCTCACACGCTTCAACGGCGAGGTCAACCCCGGCTTGGCGGAAAAACTGATCAATTTCACTGATTGAGGGTGCATGCACCTGCGTTGCAAATCCTACTTCGTACGGTCGGATCGCAGATCTGGTCTCGATACCCGTTGAGCGGTTGACCTGGAGCAGCTTTCTCATTCTGAATACAAAAATTAGACGATTTTGCGGAGCAGTCCAAGTGGAACAGCTTACCCTGGACGGCTGACATCGTGAAAGCGCGCTGCTAATTTCTCGAGGTCATCGGGCCCCAGCAAATAGGGAGGATATTGTGATCCTAGTCCGGTAATGTACAAGGCTGGGGCTAGTGGATTGGAGTGCATGGTAGTCCCCTACTTGACCTCGGATAGTCGCCCGTACGCGGTGAAGAGTTTGCTTCTCAAAGGATAGGGCAACTGAAGGACAAGAGCAAAATGTGAAAGTGAAGGGCAAATTAGATCCACGCTAGCATGAGCCGGTTTCTGTGGGATTTTGCTGTTTTAGTGAAAGTGTATAACTTATTTCTCCGATCTCACTCCGACCAGCACACTCGCAAATAACCGTAAATAATAGCAGGCCTCAATGTCCTGCAGAGCCTAAGAACATCAAACAGATCGCTCGGAAACCAGGTAACGGAGCTATAGGATAGTCAAAAGCGATCATTTGAGTGTCAATATTGCCGATCGTCATGATTTGTATGTAAACTTGTACGGCTCGCAGAAAGAATTTCAGACGGGGAGTGATCAAGTCAATGTTCATTGTGTTAAACCAGTACCCCAGACTGGATAGCTATAGAAGAGGAACGGATTTACCGAGTTCCATAATCGAAAAACCACTTCTCTTCGCATCATTCAAACTCTGGAGTGCCACGTCAGGAATTGTCGGGACCGAATCCATACGCACAAAAAGGCTCAGTTTGTCCAAACGGGGCAGCGTTGTGACCCGAGCATCTGAAATACCGTCAATTAAATGAGTGATACACTTCAGATGATCATCGCTGAATGTGTTGAGATACAAGCTGACCGCTTCAATAGATGTCGGCAACATATCCGTCAGTTTGGGCCAGGCTGGACTGCCACCAACTGACTCAAATTCACCCCATTCCACGTCTATCATTGACGGATCATATGGGGGACTGCACAACATGTCGATGTCCAATTCAAGCTCAGCCAATTTCTGAAAATGAGTCATATCAACCAATGTGGCTCCTTTGTTGCCCCAACAAGTGGATATCGTCACAGACAATTTCTTGAGAGTCTTCGCACAGACATTCTGCACAACATCCAAAAATGCAGCGACATTCCAGTTGTGGCCGCAGCCATGCCACTTTGTTTCGTGAGAAAATTCAAATATCTCGAGGTTTGGAATTCGCGAGAGTAGTTGTGATAACTCATGCGGGCCGGCAATACTCGCGTCTATGCTCAATTTCCGCAACTTTGTGCTATAGCATTCGACTAATGGGTCAAAGGCCATTCCAGTATACCCATCATCATTAAAAATGCAGCTGCACAAGGAAACATCGGATACGGAATTGATAGCTAGAAATGGCACAAAGGGGGTCAATGGAGACCTCTCTTCATAGCCGTAGTCACGAGCCGGTTCTACAACGGAGAGCATTGACAAAGGCGCATCAGGAAATTCCTCAACGTGATTCGCCCGATGCATAATCTGCTCGAGGACTGGCCACAGACGTTCGTTGGTCAAATTGCTATGATCAAAAGGATGTAGTTCATCCCAACGTGGGTGTAATGCCACCTTTCGCACTTGAGATAGCAATGTCAAGAGAAAGACATCTGCATAGACTGTGGACCATCGTATTCCTTCGATCCAATCAACATGATTCCCTTTGAAGGCTTCGAGGAAGGGCGACATGAGCACCAAGTTCTTCAGAGTCTCAGGCACCTCGGCCTCCAGAGAGTTTGATACCTCTTCATCTTCCTCCTCATCTCCAGGCTCCCTGAGGTCAATGGATTGTATGTATTGTGCCACGGAGTGATCCCGAGCGATTTCTTCTAATAACCCTCGCGTGGTCATGATGCGGATGCCTGTTTTTTGGGTCATTTCATCCCAAGATTCGCCTGAGTCAGATCCCATTGCCCCTTCTGAGCTTTCCTCACTCTTTCGCGAAAATTTAAAGTGACGAAAACGTTTCCTTCGTGTAGTATACTGCGCTCGGAAAGGGGTGCTTGCTGCCAACATATCTTTACAAGATAAGGCTGTGGCTTCGAAATCCGCTGGAATCGTTTCTTCTATGATTTGCCCCAGAAGCTCCAAGGGCAGATTCAATAGCGACGGCATCGTATCGATCCTGCTGAACCTGTTGAAGATGATGATTGTGTATATGGTTCAGATGAACACCGGAAGGAAAGTCGAGTTGGTCGCTGGGATAGTGTTTAACATGGAAGATACAGAAAAATACCACTAGGCCACAATAACCTTGGTTGTAGCCTAGACGGGCCCCAGTTTGACAAACGTTGAAATATGATTGGCTCTGACAGCTCCATCTAGGTCCATCCCCAATACAGCCCAATACATTGTAAAAGAAAAATAACCTGCCCTCACTGCTAGGCAGCAATTAGAGAACGAATCCAGAATCCGAGATATCAAAAATTCCATTGGTTCAGACTACTCCTGATCTTCTTCCTATTGAAATATCTCACGAATCCAATGTTCTGAACCCTGCGATAGAGAATGTCATGCACAGTTTCAATTCATGCTCAAGTTCAATCATAAAGTAAGCGTGTATGGGTAAATGTTGAATAGTGACATCTCAGATCAATCCCATCATGAACACCCTACATGGCAAGAGCAAAGCGGGAGAAGCCGATCGATCCGACAACGCCCATCGATACACTAGCAGTTGTAACAGTGGGACCACCAGTTGTGCAGAGACAAAGAGGAAATTGACTTGGAGCTGACTGGGAGAAGTACCCAATGTACTATAGGGATGAGTTAGGAACTATGTCCTGGTGGAAGCAAGGTACTAGTGGAAGCAAAGTGGAAGCACAGTCAGATACACCGGCAGTAGTAGCTCCCGAGGTTTCAGAAGAGGAAGTAGTGCCCATGGCAACGGTCACCAAAGAACCAAGGTCGAGATACTCTTCTTCGGCCCACCAGCCTCAGTAACAAATGACAAATGCATTCTTAGTATAAAGAATGATGGTGAAGAGGTATAGGTGGCGATGGCGCCTGCCCTTGCTGGCGATTTGTATCGAATGTAGTAGAGTGGGCAATTTTCAAGTGAAACATGTGAGACTACGAACTTTTGTATTGAACACTAGAGTCGTCCCGCAGCCTACCTAGACATAATATGTATCTAGAATCAGGGGCATTTTGTCGTTGGATATCGTGTGGGGTCAGTATAGATGGGATCAACCATATTTACGACTACATCTACCTCCAGGGAGAGTTCGGTAGTTTGACTGAACGCAGTACTAGCCTTTCGAAATGTTTTACGCAACAAACGCAAACATCACTCCACTCTGTTGTATACCTTTTACTCAACCTCTTGGTTATGGATCCTTCATACTATTTAATCATGGCCGACCACAACACATATCTGAAGTACAAACGGGATGAGAGACAACTCGTCTACTGGATCATTCATGCATCTGCTCATATCACCAAGAGTTTTCCGTCAAGCCTCACAGAGGGTTCAACCCCTACCGGAGCGATCTCCCTGTCAACCCTCAAGTCACTCTCGGGACTCATCGCGAAGCATATCGACCCGATCCCGACAGTCATTTTTCGTCTATTTGCGTCAGTAATCGACGCTCGAAGAAAGACACAATGATTTTATCTTCAAAGCACGGCTTCCGATCCAGATCCAGAGATTCAAAAGAGCAACGTCTCACATCAAAACTGGATAGAAGGACTATCGGAGGTGAACTGGCGCCGAGCCTTTACCATTAATTGGCTCTACGACCTGGTTAATGTTTCTACATCGATTGTTGTTCAACGTCGCACGCGGGGACAGAGAATTCAGCTCGAGACGGTTGACTGGTCCAGACTCGGCCCCTGGAATGAACATCGATGGTTGTTCGGCCTTCATGATTTTGCTGGTGGCATCACACACCTCGCAGTACAAAAGCCTGGGACCGAAATTAAGTCAAAGATCCTTCCACACCATGTATTCGAACTGCAGTGTATCGTGGAGTCTCTCACAGTCTCTCGTGGTTGGTCAATCAGTGTTTTTACCGGCCGTGTCTTAACGCCAGCTGCTAGGGGCTTTCGAGTCCGAAGAGATGTTGATATTTTCATGGATCGCTATAATAAAAGATTCGGGAAGGGGTTCTGCAGCTCTGTGGACGTTCTTTCTCAATTGTTGGACGGTGATGCTTTGCTCCACAGAGACCCTACTTGGAACAAGACACTCAAAGACTTTATGATTGAATTTCGTACGGACTTGAACAACTGGCTTGGAGGGACCAAATATATGCATGACTTGACGGGTATCCCGCCATCACGTTTCTCAAACACCAATAGCAAGGTCTGTGAGAATACTGTCCATTACTTTGTGGCGCCGGGCTTGTAAAAGCACTGCAGCTGACATATGGCATGGCTATGCGTGTTTGGGATTCCGTCCCTGAGCCTATGTGCGTCCTTCATCTACACAACATGCTGGTGCAGAAAGGCCTTCTCTCATAGCCTGTAGGACTGTAGTGTTCAGTTGCGGCATTATTTCAGAATACCTTCTTTGTGGGCGGAAAGGTGCCAACCTCTCATTTTGTGGAGGCTCTCGAGGGTCTAGTTGGTGGACAGCGCTCTCGTCACGAGATCTTTCGACGACGAGTAATCTCTCAGAGAGGAGAACAGAGAAGGCAATTCATCCGAGACACAACGGAGCTGCATAATCTGTTAGATCCGAGTTTCAATCGATCTTACACGGGGAGATCGTTATTGCAGGTCTTTCACCGCGCAAACTGGAACTCAGCTCTAATCTCCGATGAAGAGATCCCCATCCACACAGGATTAGCGTTTATGCAAATTGCTGAGACCAAGTGAACCGGGGACCGCGCGACCGAAAAGGTTATTTTGGCCGAGACTGATCTCGTTAAACGTGCAAGATCTCATGGATCGAGTGATGAAGCGATAATTGCAATCATATTTAAGTTGTCCTCTATGTCAAATCACCCTCATGTTGCCGAATTGATAAAGAATACTCAGCCATCTGTACCAGAAGGCTACACAGTTGGAAGTCTAGGCAATGGTCATGCCGGAGGCATGTTTGATATTACAGCATACTTCAACTTACCCGTGGATTCAGGCTCGGCTTCATAAGCGACATTTGTGGTGAGCACGGGGTGCCGTTATCCAGTCTGAATTACATAATTGTACTGGCACGCTGCTATATGTTTTTCACTCAGATCGAAACCAATTTCAGGAAGTGCAGAAATCCAACGTGGGTGCGAGCTACGGAGGAAACTCCAAATTGACGGAACAAAAACGGTTAGCACTCACTGTGCTTGCGCTAGCAGATTCGGATCCCGAATGTCTCCAGATTATGGCGGATGCGTTTCAGGAGACAAAAGGCGGCTTCCTACACCATATCTATTGGGACGACCTGATAAATCCTGATGAGGCAACGAAGACTTTCCAGTCTGGCGACAACGGCCCATTTGCCCCAGACTCTTGCGTGGTCATGTAAGATATGGGTGACAGTGGAGGGCGAATTAAGTAGGAGAATCAGTTCAAAGAACAAATGGAAAATTTGACCGCGCTGATATCTCTCAGTGGCCATCTCACTCCCTCACTCTCACATATTTTTCACATCCCATACAATATCAGCACATTGTCGTATCTTCATGGTATATTTAATATGAGTGCCTATAGAGTCGAATGGACAGAATCCCTATATACTCTATAAATTGCGGACAGAACAGAGAGTTGCAAATCTGCAGTGGCACTCCGACAACTGAACTAAGAGTCCCGTCTTTCTGACGGAGTCAAGCGTCATCTCAGGAGCTATTGACGTCCTGTGCAGCGGCATTCAAACATGGCTCACTCGGCAATGTCCTTTTGCTGAACTATAGCAGCCTCCGTAGCCTGTGTATTTCATATTGTGTGCTCCCTCTTTCTTCCTCTTTTCTAACCCCACGGTGTAGCTTTCTAGTAACGAGAGCCGGGAGATGACGAAGAAACCATAGATTGTATTGGCCTGGTCAGCCTCGGGGGGGAGGGAGGAGGAGGGAGGAGGAGGAGGGAGATGGAGTGATAAGAAATATAAACGGCTGAGAAGCTCATATCATATATCATATCCACCTCAGGCAGTAAGGCGGTTTTCTTGTTTGGCCTGTCAAGCTAAATACGTACTTCATTTCGGGGGTGAAGCCTTCTCCTTCCTCCTTCACTTCCTCTCCAGTAGTGTCAGTTTGCACTCGCAGATCGATCGTTCTCTCTGTTCCCCATCTCTTTGCCACTGACAGAAGGCCATCTCAACAACTACCCTTAGAATCTTACAAGAATCAATCATTAGTTTGAGCCAATTCTCGCACGACCCCAGCCAACACGATGCCTCCAGTCGATCATCCAAAGAGGGACAATATGGGCACAGGTTCAGACTTGGGGCTAGGCGCAAATTCAACAGCGCATCCTCAGGGATCCAAGCCCACTGTGCCTCCTGCAGCTCCAAGGACATCCTCATCCACGGCCCCCAAAGCCACGGCCTCCAACCGAACCTCCTCCTCTCCGAGGGACACAGTCAACGCGATGCTCGTCCGATGCAAGGGTGACTACGGCCCCCTATGGCGGACAGTCACCATCCCTTCGAACCACGCTATCTTCAACAATCCTGTCCCGCCAGTGCCAGCTTTGCTCGACTTCCCCATCGTCGTCCACCAGCTCGGCCTCTTTAACACCGGGGTTCCTGGTTGTCTCGATAACCAGTCCATCACATACATTCATATCGACCCGAAGACTGGCTTTGCGCCCCCAGAGTGGCAGAGTAGGGTTGGTTCTGTGATAGTCGCACGCAAAGACAAGAAAGATCTCCCGCTAGAACACTATGAGGCAATCTGGATGTACTGCGATCGCATCCTCGATTACTTTGGAAACGGATGGGGAGCACCCGAGCATTGGTACAACCGACAAGAATTTGAACGGTGGTTCGCGATGTACCGACACAATGAAGTGATAAATGGACGTCGGGAGTGGATCTCAGTACCACCGTTGTACGATGAGTAAACCGACACTCAATTTGTTTGCATGAGAGCGACCGATTGCGGAGGATAGCGGTTGGGGGTAGGATCGAACTATTTTCGGGGTTGCTGCTTTGATATGCCTGGATATGCCTGGTTTAAAGCCGGCAGAGAATTGCTGACAGAGACCTTGACAAGTCGATTTCCCAAGTTTTTAAATTCTTTTTGGGAATTAGTTGCAAACACAAAGCTCTTCGTAGTCATCAGGTGCAAATTAGAAAACCTGTGGGCAAGCCATAGTGATTAGTCCGGTGAACTAGCAACCCAATCTCGAGCCCCAAAGTCATGTCTTCAACATTACGAGCATAATCAGCATATCGCCTCAGAACTTGAAACATCGTCCCTAGTTGGATAATTTCATTTTCCTCAGAGGTCCACCAAACACATTGTGAATCCTGGTTGCTTGGATTGGCGCGATTGGACCTGGATTGAACGAGACTGGCAATATATATATCAGCAGGCTCGGCCAGAATGAAACAAGTTTGACATCACATTGGAGTAGGCCGAGCAAATAGGTAAATGATGGCTGTCTTATGTTGTGCCAAGCTCATCAATTGCAACAGATTTTGAAGAAGGTTCCCGCTTGTTTTAACCTGCTCTGATGTGGGTGGGTTCTGTGTCATTGCTGCACTGGCAATGGATCAGCCCAGGGGGTATATATCCATGTTGAGATGCTTAAGTCTAATAATACTGTATAGCCGCACAATCTAGACAGAGGTATCGTATAGTGTGTATCTTGTTACCGGGAAGAACCTTCCATAGAAGATCTTGCCGATGAGTTCGGCAATTGAGTTCCCACTTGGGTAGGAATTAAGTTCCCACATGAGTACTGATACTGTGTTTCGTGGCTTATGGCTTTTTGTTTTCAAGGTGGAGAGACTCTACGAGAATCCTCTTGAATCAACATGGAAAAGGAACTGGCGAGGTTGTTGCTGTTGCTTTCTTTTTTACTAAACTACTGGGAGTCGAAATTTGGCAGACCGGGAGACCGGCAATAGAGCCGGAAATTGATTTTTTCCAACGCAAATATGAAAGGTTCCTAGCACACACAAATAATCATACTTTTCAATTAAGTTTCAAAAGCGGACGTTCTTGAATTTTATACGCTATGTTCATTGAGATAGGGCTGGACTACGAAGTATTTCGTATAGAGAGGATCTTTTGGATGATCCACATGGATCCGCCAAAATTCCCGCCTATAGAACATGATTAATATACGGCTCTTACACTGGAGGATATTATTAGTGCTGAGGTTTGCCCCTATAGCTATGGCTTCGTAATTTTCTTATTGTCTCGGCTACAGAGTAATCTGTACTTTACAGCAGGGAGACGGTGGCGACTTTTGGAAAATATGGAGTGTGCACTTCCAAGATTTCCTAGTGCGTCAATAATCCTAATAATCAAAACAATAATGATAGGTGAATAATTAGGCAGGATGATGAGTGGCGTCATTGTCGCCTAAAAGCCCCCTATAATGGATATATCTCCGAATGATGTGTACCTTGCAGAAACCGGGAAACCAGGAAAATGCAACGTGGGAGGTTTTGGGGGCCATCGGCTAGAACATATACCCTGCCCAGAGTAACATGGATCTCCATTGGAGTTCGTTCGGGTCCCCAAAAGGGACTAGAGCGCCACTCAATACGAACTAACAGTTGAAGAGGCGATGAAGTGAGACACCAATCTTAAGCTCCGTAAGCGAATATGACATGGATCCGGCCATCTCCGGATCGACAACTGTGATTGGTGTACCTGAGAGATTTTAACTCCACCCTATGGCCCCCGACGGCTTAGCGGAGGTTTATTGTGGTTTAGCTCCGTCGGTTCTGATCGCCCTGATTTCCATTCGATTCTCACACCTCAGACCATATGTTTGGCCCTCTACGCTTCTACTATTTTCTACATCTTATAATGAACTTTTCTTTGCAGTTTGATTCCTATCTGTATTGACGCATCTGACGCTCGGATGAAATGTTGAATCCGTACTCCATACGTGCATCCGACATACAACGGCCGGTGGGCCCCGAGGACGTCCGTGCTCTTGTGCATCAACCACGAGTGGTGATTGGAGCTTGTATATCGAGCTAATTATTTCTGCTCCAGTCATGACCCTGATGCCAATCCGACTAGACTCCATTAGGATCTTTTAGCCTCTTTCATGCGGCTCTTGCAATTTTACTGTGCCAAGATAGGTCGGAATAGACACGGGGCCAACACACACACCCCTCCTCAAAGGCCTGGATGGCTTATGGCTGGGCTGTTTCCTTTTCGGATGTGACTCTTCCACGCCACTGGCTGTATGCCCCGTATTACAAGCCATGCGTTTGGCTTGTGAGTCTGCGGTGGGAAGATCCGTTCATATCGCTTTTACGCCGGGGTTCCGATGAGGTTAGTCTTATGGCCGTTGTGAATAGATGCTGTTTAGATGCTGTTGGCCTCCGGGCCTAGTGAGCAGACTATCAAGCTCCGAATCCACTTGGGGACTCTACGTTGGGTAACCTGCACCGGTGGAGTGATTTTCAAAGTGGCACTGACCTATGAATCGTCGAATCACCCGGATATCACGCAGCTCATTTCCACGCTTTGATAGCTCCATTCTGCATTCTGATTAGTGTGCTCTATGTCGGAGGTCGGCATCTTCCCCAGGGGGCGGCGATGAATGGGCGCTCGATGTATTTCAGTCTCTTTTCCCCCAGGAATTACATTTCCCTTTGACCATCAACACTCTCTCGTTTTGAGCACATTGGGAAACCTCCCAAGCAGATTTTTGTCTGCGTCCTCTCGTTGTTCGCGAGCTAGCCTGTCATTCCTTTTATCGGGTTAATAAGCGAATTTTATATAATTACCACATTCATTTTAAGCCATGATGTTCAAGTCTCTTGCCGCCTTGTCGGCCCTCTCACTCTTTGCATCATCCGCCGTTGCCGTTGATCCCAGCCTGAAGAATAATGTTGCTGTCTACTACGGACAAGGCTACGATCAACCCCGTCTCCAGCATTTCTGTGAACAGACTACGGCGGATATTATCAACATTGGGTTCATCCATGAGTTCCCCAAAAAGGTGGGCGACTACCCTGGTTCCAACTTTGCCAATCAGTGTGATGGTACCTTTTTCGACGGCACAGGACTACTGAAGGGCTGCCACCAAATCTGGCAAGATATCCCCGGCTGCAAGGCTGCCGGCAAGACAGTCCTGCTGTCGATCGGTGGTGGTTCTGCCACAGCCCAGTCTCTCCCTGATGTGGCTACCGCAGAATGGTTTGCGGATTTCCTGTGGTACTCCTTCGGTCCTTATGATCCGTCAGTCTCTTCCTTGGGTTGGACCGCAAATATGAAGGGCAAGCAATACCCTCGCCCGTTCCTTAATGTCGCTGTTGATGGATTCGATTTCGATATCGAGTACAACGGTGGAGTCGGTATGTTTCCCTAATGCTCTACACTCCTAACTGTACCCTCTCTAACACCCACCCCAGGATATGCTGCTATGATCAATCGTCTGCGCCAGCATTACGCCGCCAGCACCCAGCAGAAGTACTACATCTCCGGTGCTCCCCAGTGCCCCATTCCCGATGCTCAGCTCGGCGATGCTATCTCCAAATCGTGGTTTGATTTCATCTGGGTTCAGTGGTACAACACCCAGGGTTGCTCTGCTGCCGACTGGGTCAACAAGACTCCAAAGACCAAATTCAACTTTGATGAATGGGTCGGCGTCATCGAGAAAAGCGCCAACCCCAATGCTAAGCTCTTCATCGGTCTTCCCGCATCGAAGGCTGCGGCTAACCCTGGATTCTACCTGACTCCCGCTGAGGTGAAGCCCCTTGTTCAGACTTACGTGAAGAACAAGCACTTCGGCGGTATCATGCTCTGGGAGGCCACCGCCGGTGACAACAACCTCATCGATGGATCAACATACACTGAGCACATCAAGGATATCTTGTACGATTGCGCTCCTGCTCCTCCCAAGCCCACAACCACTGTCAAGCCTACAACCACTGTCAAGCCCACAACCACTGTCAAGCCCACAACCACTGTCAAGCCTACAACCACCGCCGTCGCCACCACCACGGCCAAATCCTCGACCACGACTGTAGCCACAACCACTGCTTCCAGCTCGACCGCTGCTTCCAGCTCGACCGCTGCTTCCAGCTCGACCGCTGCTTCCAGCTCGACCGCTGCTTCCAGCTCGACCGCTGCTTCCAGCTCAACCGCTGCTTCTAGCTCAACCGCTGCTTCCAGTTCAACCGCTGCCTCTAGCTCGGTGACTTCTAGCCACTCTGTGACCCCCTCATCCGGACACCCCATTCCCCACCCTACCCCTAGCCACAGCCGGAGCTCGCACGGTGGCCATGGCCATGGACACCACACCCACACCCACCACCACTCCCACCACCACTCCCACAGTGTCTCAAGGTCCACTCCTCTAGTCTCGGGCTCTTCCAGCACTCCCGTCCCTTCTGCAACTGAGTCTGGCGCCTCCTCCACTGGCGTCTCCTCCACTGGCGCCTCCTCCACTGGCGCCTCTTCCACCGGAGAAGGTGCTATCCCGACCGGTGTCCCCAGCGATAAGACAACTACTGGAGGCGCCAAGCCTACTGGTATTGAGACCACCACTGGAGGTTCCAAGCCTACCGGCGACGAGACTACTGGAGGCTCCAAGCCCACTGGGGGTGAGACTACTACTGGAGGCTCCAAGCCTACTGGTAGCGACACCACCACTGGAGGCGCTAAGCCCACCGGCGGCGAAACTACCGGAGGTTCCAAGCCCACTGGCACTGACTCTACCACAGCCCCTGCTGGTATCACTGCCAGTCCCTCCGTGCCTGCCTCGTCATCCTCTTTGGCCCCGGGTACCACCACAACTATCATTGTGACCTCCTACATTGATATTTGCCCAACTGGCTTCACCACCATCACTACCACTATCACCAAGACCTATTGCCCTGGTGACGCCACTGCTACTACTACCCCTACTGGCACCGCCGAGATCACCGCCCCTACTTCTGGCCCTGCTACTTCCACTGTCCCCATCCCCGAAGGCTGGACTACGACTGTGACTGTCTGCACCGTGTGCGCCGCTACCCCTACTACCGTGACCCTCACCAAGCCGGCTGCCCCTACTACCACCGGGGTGGTGTCGCAGACCACCGCTCCTTCGGTGCCTGAGGGCTTCACCACTACTGTGACCTACTGCAAGCACTGTGGTCCTACCGGTAGCAGCGTCACCCTTGTGATTCCAGCTCCCTCTGCTACTGCCATTATCCCCGGATCCAGCTCCGCGGTGCCATCTTCTTCCTTCAAGGCCATCCCCAGCGGAGGATTCCACGCTGGCAGACCCTCGTCAAGCCTAGTCTTCCACCCTGTGCCCGCAGCCACCACCACTACCGCCGCCGCAAACGCACCCGCAGAGCCCACCAGCAACCCTGAGGGCGTGTCTCCGGTTTACACCGGTGCCGCCTCGCGGGCCAACGTGGTTGGTCTTGGTGGCGTCCTCGCCGTCGCTCTTTCCATGTTCATGATGCTGTGAAGCTGCCCACTTGTCTGAATAGCATGATCTCATCATCTATGCGATATGATTGATCTCACGATGCTGTTCTCAAGAAGAACTTGTAATTACTAGCGACTGGTTGCCTTTTTCTTTACGATATTGTCTTTATTATATTCTCCTTTATCCGATCTTCAGCCTCTGGAGTGATTCAATACCTCTTGGCCTTTTTTTGTGATTTACTCTGGCCAGTAGTGGTTAGATCCTCGCATCTTCGAATTGAAGTCTTGCGAGCGGTCGAGCCCGTTTGTTCTCAAGTTCCTAATGATATCCATTTCAAGGTGTCGCCTGTCGAGTCTGACTTATTTCATTTTACGTTTTTGGTTTGCATTAAAGATGCTCTTTGTATAAAATACCATATTCCTTTATACTTGTGTTCAGTCTCACAAAATACTATTCCCTTATATTTCGACCAACGGACCTTCCCCCCTACGAAACGACCCTTAAGCATTACCTCAACGCGTCTCAACTTCCAACCTTCAACTTACCCTTACCTCAACTTCAAACGGTCAGACCCCAATATCCCTTCGCTATCCAAGTCTTGGCCTTCTTCTCTGCACTTGAGAACTGTGCCTTGATGAGGTCCATATCCCCATAATTTCCCCGCATTGTGATATCCACGGACCTCGGCAGAAAAACAACCCTACAGGGCCGAGACTTCTTTCCCTTCTTTCCCTTCTTTCCCTCTTCTCATATCAATAAACCAAAATGTTACCATTGAAAGGAATTAAGGTCATAGAGCTAGCTGGTCTAGCTCCAGGTACGCAATGAATCCACGAAGCATTACCATAACTAACAGCAACCCTAGGCCCATTCGCAGGCCTTCTCCTAGCCGATTATGGAGCTTCAGTCCTCCGTATAGACCGACCCAACTCTATAAGCAGTGATCAATTAACTCGCAACAAAACCTCCATAACTCTCGACCTCCGCGACAAAACATCCCTAAGCATCCTACTCCGCCTGCTCACAACTGCCGACATCCTAATCGACCCATTCCGCCCAGGTGTTCTCGAACGTCTCGGTCTTTCCCCAACAGAAGTCCTCCAAAAACACAATCCCCGTCTCATAGTTGCCCGCATGACCGGCTTTCGCCGCGACGGGAAATACAAAGACATGGCCGGCCACGACATAAACTACATCGCCGTCTCAGGCGTGCTGTCCATGCTCGGCCGCGCAAATGAAAAGCCCTATGCCCCAGGTAACATCCTCGGCGACTTCGCCGGCGGCGGCGCAGTCTGTTTCCAGGGAATCCTACTTGCCCTTATCTCCCGCTCCCATACAGGTCGTGGCCAGGTCGTTGAGGCAAATATGGTGGATGGTTCCGCTTATCTTGCTACTTTCCCGCGGCTAGCGAGAACTACACCGGCGTGGACGCAGCCACGTGGTGAGAATCTGCTCGATAGTGGGTGTCCGTATTATGACACGTACGAAACTAAGGATTCCGGGCGGTATTTTGCCGTCGGGGCTTTGGAGCCGCAGTTCTATGCGGCGTTCGTACGGGGATTGGGATTCGAGATTGGGGAACTTCCGAAAAGAGAGGACCCGGAGCAGTGGCCGAAATTGAGGGAGATCTTTACCAGGAGGTTTAAGGAGCAGACGCGGGTGGAGTGGGAGGCTGTTTTTGATGGCACGGATGCTTGTGCGACGCCGGTCTTGGAGCAGGCGGAGCTTGAGGGGGATGGGTATGAGCAGCGGCCTATGGTACATTTGGTGAGTACACCTGCAGCCCCGATTCCGGCGGATCAGGGGGCTGGTCCGGTGGGGGGCTTTTGCCTGGGGAAGGGGGTGTTGATACGCTTAGGGAGTGGATGGGGTGGGAACAAGGCAAGGACTTTGATGTTAGGAAGGATGGGGCTCTGGTGGGGATGAATGGGAAGTCAAAGATTTGAAGCGATATCTGAGATACTGTTATATTCTGTCTATACTAGTTAAGCGTCTATGTTTGACATGATTTTGACCATATGACTGCGCTCTAGTGACGCAGATATCTATGGTGACTTTGAAATATTTCAAGCTCATTTCCGCCCCGGATTGCCACCACATCACAAACATTGAACTTCATAAATGCCAAGGCGGACTTAAGCTAGCATGGATTATCATTACCATTACCACCGAAAGCTGACACCAGCTTATCAGCTTATGCAAACACACCGTAACCAATAACATGTACAAAAGGAAGAAGAAGAGAACTCCACACGAGCGACAAAGCAGCACCGCCATAACCAGCAGCACTCCCATTGCTCTCCGGAGTACCACTCTTCTTCACGGCAATAGGGCTGCTGACTGGTGTGGAACCGGACGAGCTAGAAGAACTGAAAGCCGGCTTGGGCTCGGATGCCGCGTTGTGGTATTCGCGAATGATGTCGCTCGCTAGTTCGGCTACACCGTATGTCGAGGACATCAGGTGCGTAGACAATGAGATGGGGATGACACTAGCATCCGCAACACGCACATTTGCAAGTCCGTATACGCGCAGTTTGGCATCGACCACGCCGCCCTGCTTCTCTGGCAGCATTGCGCACGACGAGGAAGGGTGGAACTCCGTGCCGGCGTTCTTGCGTAGCCATTCTATCCAGTCTTCGTCGCTCTGGACAGTTGTACCCGGGGATGTTTCGTTTGTGAGGCTTTTGCTCATCGGGCTAGTTTCGCCTACTTTGCGGGCCATTTTTATACCTTCCAGGAGGATCTCATAATCTGGAGTGTTGTCAGTATTAGAAAGACTTGATTGGGGGTTGATGAGAGGTGTAGGTACCGGCTGGATTGTTCAGATAGTTTGGGTCGATGACAGGGTAGTCCATTGGGTCTGAGGAGTTGATGTAGATACGGCCATGACTGAATGGATGCTGGAGGGCAGCTGTGATGCCGATATCGCCATTTCCATCACTGTTCATGAACAGGAGCTCGATTTGGCCTGTCGGGCCACTGAAGATTTTCGATGCTGTCGTGTTACAGATGGCTTTGTAGCCGGAGATCACACCGTCGTCGTAAGTCGTGTTTGGTGCATATCGGTCGATCGAAGCGAGGAATTTTGACTCGAATTCGTCAACTTTGGCGCCATAGATAGCGGTAGAATTGACGTAGGCAACGGCGGAATCGATGTATGTGAGGAATTTGGGATTGTTCTGTGGGAATGAGTATATGACATTCTGCGATGGAGGATAGACAAGAACACACCTTATCTTTGCCACCGTCGTAAAAGATGGAACCTGCCGTGTCCACATTTGTGCTCCATTTCACCGTGGCGCTCTGTACAACCAGGTCAGCTACGTCTTCATTTTATGAATGTTGAGATCACTCACAAAATGGTCTTGAAGGTGTTGGCCGACACCAGGAAGTTCAGATACAAGGTCAACACCAGCCGCGGAGAGGACATCCTTAGGACCGACACCGCTGTAGAGTAATACAGCCGGGCTACCGATAGAGCCACTCGCAAGAATGACTTCCTTGTTGACTTTCACCTTCAACTTCGTTGATCCCTTGTCGGTCGTGTATTCAACAGCACTTGCTGTTTTCTTATCTGATGACTTGGAATCTTCGAAAATAAGCCGGGTCACATGCGCATTCGCCAACACATCGTAGTTGTCGCGCTCTGGAAGCGGATCGAGATAACCGGAACGACTGTAGGACCGTGTCCAATTTGAAGGGTTTATGCAGGAGGTCGAGACGTCAGCGCCCCATGTTTCACCGCCGTACATCTTGTCGGAGATATCAATTCCAATGCTCTGTAGTGACTTTAACCAGTCGCCAACTTCGGGGAATGTGCTAGGAATGTGTTAGCTTTATTGGTGAATTCCAGAAGACAGGTTTAGGCGTACTAGTCCGGGTATGTTGTATGGATCGGCCCGTCAGTGCCATGATTTTTCGCATTCCAAACGATTCCAGCTTCGTCAACCACATCGTCAGTGGGAGGTGTGAAAGTCTCGCTTTTCTTCATAGCAGCGTAGAATGAGTCCCACGACCAGTTATCGGCACCATCCATGTCTTTGACCATGTCTTTCCAGGCATTGATCTCATCTTCGCCGGGACGGGTCATATACAACCCATTGATGGCGGAACTGCCTATATCTCTGTGTTAAATTCCCATTTTTTTTTTAAATTAGGATTTGAAGCTTGCACGAACCTCCAAGTACCTTTCCTCGCGGCCAATTAATCTCGCGGTCGTCTGCATTGGGCTGCGCAACAGTGTAAAAGTCCCAATTCAAAGGCGTTGTCCATAAGGAATCAAAGTAAGAATATGCCGGTGTGTCTGTACGGGCGTTAGAAATGTCGCAAATCTCCCAGGATCGAAGAATCGAACACACTAATGCGCTTCCGAAATTCATCTCCATCCCCGCCCGACTCAAGAACTAGTACAGTATGGTTTTTATCCTCCGAAAGACGGGCGCCCAACACAAGACCAGCTTGGCCTCCTCCCACAATCACAAAGTCATAGGAATCGTCGATTTTCGTGCGCGGCGATAATGCACTCGCCAAGTGGGTTGCGACTAGGCTTGCGCCCACGATCTGGATAGTAGATAGACCAGGTCGCATTGTCAGAAAGCGTGACGCAGAGTACCGAGAGAGTTGGAAGGGCAAATCTCAGATATAAAATCCCATCGGAGTCAACAGGCGTAAGCCTGTGGAGCCAAATCTTTGCAAACCTTGCTATGGCTTTGCGGATTCTCATTTTTACGCATTTCTAGCGATGATCCCTGATAAGCACATTCTCGCGACGCAATCGCGTTAGATGAGTGGGTTCAGATTGGCCTTTGACGAATCAGACATTGGTTCTTGCTGCTCCACATGGCCATTTCCAATAAATCAGCTTTGTTTTTTCGTGGAACTGCTCGTTCTACCCGTTCTGGTTCCATGTTTCTCTATTGCTTGGTCCCGAATTATATACAATCAGAGTTTTCTCGAATACCTACCAATGTATAGCACTTGGTTCCATATCGACTCTTCGTTGCCGGCCCAATATCAATACCTATCCCGTCGGCACAGACAACACATCAATCCTGCGATATGCCTCCAATGACCGCATGGTTGCTATCCATCAACCAAGGGCTTGGGGCCAATGGTTGACTGGTATTATCTCCACCATCGAAATTCCCGTCCGAGGTGGGTCTCAGGATTATTCTGGTTGGCTCTTAGTTAGATGATCGCAATTAGAATCCTCCAGACAGTAGCCAGCCATGATGAAGGCATGTTCAAATCTAAGACAAAAGCCCCATAATTGTGCCTGGATCTCCATGGACTTGAAGTGAAACATGGATCTGACGAAACAGGGTCCGATCGATTCTGATCGCCAATTGCTTGTTTTCGATTGTGATCATTGAATTTAATATATATGAATCGAAATTGACCTCATATTCTGTCAGAGTGGAGGTGTTAGGGTTAACCTTGTCAGCTGTTACTTTTTGCAAACCCGTCAATCTAGTCTCCCCCTATGATTAGCCAGCTCGGCAAAATTGTACAGTTTTACAAAGAGCTTGTTTTTTTTTTTAATCCATTTTGAGGAGACTATTGATTTTTATGATGATGAAACTATTGAAAGTCATACATTGGTCACACGAAAATTTCAGTCCTCTTGATATCCTAATCAAGTTAGATCACACAGGTAGAGTACCAGGGGTCGTTGCAAATGCCTCTTCCAAGATTTCCAAGCCACGAAGCAGCTCGTCCTTGGTAATCGTGATTGGTGGAGCTATGCGAAAGGCGCCTCCGAAGCTAGGATGACTACTAAGATTAGCCCACAAGCCTAAATCATAGGCCCGATCCCCAATCGCCTTGCCTAAAGCTAGCGCAGGGGTCTTGGTCTCGCGATCCTCAACAATCTCAACTCCTGCCATAAGTCCGCGCCCGCGGACATCTCCAATACACCCATATTTTTCCTTCAGTGCATTGAGCCGGTCATGAAGTACCTGACCCAGAGCACGAGAGTGTTCAACCAGCCCATCACGCACCACAATCTCAAGCACCTTGTCACCCACAGCAGCAGGTAGTGGGTCATTCACATGAGTTGTGTAGAAACAGAAGTCGCGCTCGACACACACGCGCTCGATCTCGGTGCTCGTAACAACAGCGCTAAGCGGCAGACCATTTCCTAGAGTCTTGCTGAGGGTAAGGATATCAGGAACGACGTTTTCGTGGTTGATAGCCATTAGATCTCCGCACCGACCGACGCCTGTCTGTGCTTCATCGACGATCAACAGCATTCCGCGTTTCTCGCACTCCCGTTTTAGAGCAGCCAAGTATCCCGGTGGTAGGACGTGCATGCCAGCCGATGACTGGATACACTCCACGATGCAAGCCGCAAGCGATCCGCACGACTGCATATCGATCATCCGCCATCCATATTCCATCTCTGCTTCCCAGTCGTAGGATCCATCGGCGCGGCGGAAGACGGAGCGGTATGCATTCGGTGGTGGGAGCATCAGCATCCCTGGCATCAGGGGGCCTTGGCCCTTGCGACCGAAGTGGTATTGTGCGCCTAGTGCTTGCGCTGTCACGCCGTGCCAGCTACCACCTAGTCCGACGATTTCGAACTTCCCGGTGTATACCTTAGCCATTTTTATGGCTGCTTCGTTGCTCTCGCCACCGGTGGAGAGGAAGAAGGCTTTGTCGAGGCCGGTTGGGAGAAGATTACACAGACGTTCGCCTAGGCTGATCACGGGGGGTGACACCATGCCGGAGAAGAGGTGGTCTAGGGATGCTGCGTGGTCGGTGATTGTCTGCACAATTTCTGGGTGTCCGTGGCCGAGCAGGCAGGACATTTGTCCCGATGTGAAATCGAGCACTTTGTGTCCGGAGGCTGTATACACGTAGAGACCTCTGCTGCCACAGATTACGTCTTTGTTGAATTTGGTGCCATAGTTGAGGAGGTACTTCGATGTTTTGACCTGAAGCTCTTCTTGATTGACGTTGCTATACAAGATAGGATTGTCGTCGTTCTTTGGCATGATTGCGACTGATTCTTCTGTGGTGATTCCAGAAGCCATCTTCAAATTTACTGATGAGTAGGATGACTGCGGACTGCTTCTGATCTCTGGGCAGAACTCACGGCCTTCTTAAGTCTCTTATCTGGGTACCTTCCCCTCACTAAGCGCCCACCTTGCAGGGGATCGACTTTCTCTTCTTTGTCTTGTCCGCGGAGCCGCGGGCAACATCATCGCACATCACAGCTAAAGCCGCACCTCCAATAATCGTCACGGCGTTATCCTTTTAGAAGATACAGTCGAGCCAGCTTGCAGTGAACAGGGGTAGAGCAACCAACTGGCTTCTATGACTGGGCACCTACCCTTCATTAATCTGCCATCCTGAGAACAGAATTTGCCCCGTAGTATGAACGTCGCTTATTCACCACCCGTTCTATACAAACCTTACAATCTTTGCTATATCTGATTTCCATTTTTGCTCGAGAGCCATTTCCCATTCATCAAAATGACACATTAATAAATCCTATCTTCCTAGAAAGTGGGACCACAAGGGCAACGCCTCGATCACGCCGTACTCTTTAATTTTGCGACCTCAAGATGGGACCTAGAGGAAAAGTTGGATAAACGATGAATGCAGAGGATATAACCAAGATTTTATTCTAGAGGGATGTGAAGAAAGCAACACCTATTGCTCTGGCTGCTCGTCAGATATGAAGGTTGTTTGCACCGGGGCCCATGACCTAGACTACCACGGTCTGAAGTGACAAGCAGGAAAAGGTAGGAAGCTAGCCTGCTCTTCGGAGACCAAGACCATCGAGCCTGCCTCCTAGTTGGACCAGAGGCGAAGCTGGATTCCAAAACTGCGACCGGACAGACAGACAGCACTGTGCGGGAAGCCCTGACCCACAGGGAATGCTTCTATTCCCATCGGATTGTAAACGCAGGCACTTAGTACGTTGTACCATACTAAATCAGCCGTGATGGCTGAGGCGCCACTACGAACACGATAGCTTTCACTGCCTTCCAGGGCCAACAGACGTCTCCTCCAAGGTCAAGTGGTCAACCAACAACCAATCGGCAACGCAATAAAACTTGTCATCGAAGGCCCCAGGAACCACCTCGCTTGATTTCCAAGGTCCTGTAAAGTACCGGTTTGTCCCGGCTCAAAGAGGAATCGTCTCCAATTTTTGTGTAATTCGCACAACGATGATGCGAGCAGATCTGCAAGCTTTCGGCCGAGAAAGGCACCTTCATGTGCACGTTATCAAATTTACCATTCTCATGGAGGACAGTCAAAAATCGCTCGACTCGACCATAGTGCAGGACAAGTCTTGAGCAATTCTGTTGCCTTTCCCGTACTGACTTCGCGCGCAAGTCGCGAGGAGGTAATGTGCGTTGGACATGAAGTTCAGAGTCAGGCGACGGAACACACAAATTGTTTATGAGGCTTCCCCGCTCTATGACGAGGGCAAAAGGAATTCACTCCGTCTTGAAAAGGCTTTAGTCTGTAGGATAACTTCACGGTAGTGAGTAAACCGACTGGAAACATCAACAGCCCCGGTAAGTTGCATGGATACCTTCTTCATTCCATAATTTGTAATATGTCCCAAGTACTCGGAAACATATCATCAAGAAAAGCCATATCGGGCACGAACGGCTGACGCATCTCAACATTTGGCTCCCCCGATTTCTCAGCCGGTGGTTCTGACCTTAATAGCTTATCAATAACATCGGAATGCTGCGCCAGGCAGATATCACCTAGATCCCACCCAAAGTTCTTCCGGTGCATTCGCAACGATTCCAAAAGGTCACTTGCCATTCGCAGCGAACCACTTTGTGCAAGGCCTGCTGCCTGCTCCGTCTCTAGCGCACACCGAATTAAGAATGTCACCGTTGCGGAAAATGTGAACGCTACAACAGGTAGCCAGTAATCACCCAATTGCGGCTCTCCGAGTTCCTGGACCAGAACCACAATGTCTTCAGCGGTCCTGCGTGCCTCCATGACTCGGTTGGCCATGTGCTCTGCATTGGAGTTCGGTGCTTGCCGCTCGCGATCTAGGTCAATGCGCCGGAGGAGGAGTCTTGTCGCCAAATACGCGAGACGGAGATTTGAAGCACCAGGGATATCCAGGTTTGAACCGCGGATTATGATCTTGCGGATGTCTCCTGTGAGTGAGTCGACCCATTTGTTCAACTCCAATTCTAAGTTCTTGCTTGGTCCTTGGCTCTCAATTCGAATGCTGTACACTTGCTCCAGGCAATGGTCCAGCACGTCGGTTAAGTTCATGAGCTCGATGAAAACTGCGTTTGCTTCGTGATCTCGTTCCCAATCTGATAGATACTCGGGTATTGGTAGTGGTACGTCGTATTGTGACCTTCTGACATGAGGAGGTGTCCCATATGCGAGGCTTGACCTGTTCAAAAGATGAGTACTTAAGATGTCCTGTCTGTTGGAAAGTCTACTCCAGAAAACATACCATCGATCGTGGAGTAAAATAGACCACCATATCTTCATTCTTAAGTGTTTCTCGGCTTGCGGGATATCCCACGGAAGTGGATTTCGATTTAAACCAAGGGAATGGCACAACGCAACAGCCGAGCCAAGTCTTACCCCGTTACCCGTCATAGATGTGGTTGGACGGCCGCCAACATCAAGCAGAATAGCTTTGATCGTGGATATTCCTGCTGAAGCATGCAACTCGGAGTATGAGGCTTCGATGGCGAGATTCCAGACGAAGCGAACGTCTGGGCACCTTTCTCGTGATAGAAGGGGGTCATGTTGCCATTGGGTAAGAACATGGGCGTATATGCACGCCAAAAGTGCGGGAGAGATGCGATGTCTGGCATTTGTGTATTGCACCCGAAAGGAGCTTTCTTCAAGTAACGGGAGGCAAGGATTGATTTTTTTCAGATAACTAGTCGCCACAGTTAGTAGCAGAAGGTTCTGTGCCAATATAATCAAGTATAACTTACATCTCTATCAGATGTGGCCCCCATGGCTCTACAAGCTTTTCAATAGTCTGCAGCTTATGCAATGCCGGACTAGAGTTGACCATGAGCCCCAGTGGCTTTTTCTGCACTTTTGTGAATATGACCGGCGATGAGGATGTACCCGGCTCGACGGGACGAATTTCACGAATTCCCTGGCCACCAGAAATGTTGGACAGATAGTCAGCCAGGACGTGGTTATCGCCGGTTACAGCTGGACCGAGGATATGGGGATTATCATCTTCGGCCTCGAGAGACAGCGGTGTATCCTGGTCGCCCTGGACCTGGGTCACGACCGAGAACTGCGGCGAAGCGGCGACTAGAGGTGGCCCGCTCAATGGCTGGATAGCTGCGGTTGGAGTTCGTAAACTCGGGTGTGGTAGTAGTGGGCCTGCCTCGGTGGAATATCGCTTCTGCGGAGTTGACTTTGTTTTCCCGTTTGGGAATGTACACTCTGTGCCATGCGCCCGACACATCAGACATGCCGCTGTGTGGGGCTCCAATTTGCATCGCGATTTTCTCCGCCGGCATGGTACGCATGCTGGCTTCGTATGAGATCGGTACGGTCGCTCGTCTCCACTTTCCATGTTGTTTGTCAATGCTTATGGGATGGAGGGAAATCCCGCGGCAGGTTCTCCTCGGCGAAATCTGGCAGACGTCTAACAAAGTCGAGTAAGATCTGTGCCCAGGTGAGCGTGATGAGCTTTCTGTAAGGCAAGCTGTTTCTAGCTAGGTAGGTTCCTTGTTTGATGTGATCCGTCACCCTGCGATTCGCCTTGGATGGTCTGATCAGTCGTTACTAGGGAAATTCCGCGGGGAAGAGTGTGGGTCCAGATGTAGCATGGGAACAAATTTATGAGCCGCCATTGGTCGGTTTCGTACCTGCGACATGGGAGCGTGGGACTGTCCACGTGACTTCCTAAAAGCGTAAGACCAATTGAACACAGCAAAAGGCATCTCATCCTATCGCCATAATGAAGGACCTGTAAAGAAAAAAAAATAGGTAGCTTCTCTTTGATTGAGCGTGTCATCCTTAGTGCAGGGGCCATGCTAATCTTCTCTGTATATTTTCAAATTGACCATATGCCCCGAAGGGCAATATAGCATTCCTCGACTTTGTTATAACCTCAGATTCGATGAGGACTGTATAGTTACCATTATAGAGGTGGTTGGTAGATTAACTGCAGACCCGCTTTTTCGCGCAACGTGGGCCTCGTACTCACGACGTGATTGGTTGGTTGCTCACGTGACTGCCTAATCCAGTAGGGCCAATCATATCTTGTAATCAGACCCGCTTTTGTATACCCTCGATATAGGACCTGTAAAGAAAAAAAAAATAGGTAGCTTCTCTTTGATTGAGCGTGTCATCCTTAGTGCAGGGGCCATGCTAATCTTCTCTGTATATTTTCAGTTGACCATATGCCCCGAAGGGCGAAATAAGTATTCGTGGACTTCATTATAACCTCACTTTCTGGCAGAAACTGACCGCCTACTATATTTGTCGTATTTGCCATCCACATCCATTGATGGAAGGTGGAAGAAAAAAGCAACAAGGATACAAACACCCCATGATCTGTGTGAGAGCGATTTAGATAGCTGAAATACTCAGGTAGCGGAAGAACTTACACTTGCCTCATATTACATTGACATCTTACGGCTAGGCACTTGCGCTATTGTGAATTGATACTATGTCTACATCATTAGATTTATCTACCTAAGTGAGCATTATGAACTTATATGGATTTTCACAGCTTATTCTAATCTCGCCTTCCATGGGAAGTTGTTCCCTCATCATATCAGTCATGTTTACTGTCCACAACATCCATTGTATTCTTACTTCGATATCTGTAAGGCCAGACATTTACAAAGCATCCTCCATGGTGATCTTGCTTACTAGAGTGGTCAGGGATTCCTGGATTGTTCGAGAGCACCTACTATGTATCTTGAAGTGCCTTGATCAAGAAGCTTACAATGAGTCAACGCCACTTATGGGTCAGTTTGATCCACTATTCCACCCTTGTGTCTCTAGAAAAATATTAAAAAGGTCAATAAAAAAATTAGATGTCTTGGTCATATCTTGGTTCAATATGTGGGTTCTAGTGAAAGAAGTGCAGCCAAGAGGGTTAGGTTTAGATTTGTGTTGGACATTCCGTCTATTCTCAATTGTTTTCTTACAGCAGGAACAACTGCCCGGGCCTGAAGCTTGCTTACTTGACAGCAGGATTTCAATGCCCTATCCTTTCAGCTGTGTATTGAAAAACAGAGACTCTCTATCACTTCCTTTTCTTCCTCAGTGGCTGCAACAGCTGCTTTTTCACTTGTCATTTTACGGTACTCAAACACGAAGCTCAGTTTTCTTTCCATGAGCGATGAATCCTTCGATAAACCGCCTACTGCAGATTCGTCACAATTTACACACCTCGACTAATCGCTGGTCCCAAAACTTAACATTAGGTCTCGTCCCTATCAAATGCACTTGATGTAGAGATACAGGGCTGTATACGTAAATCAAGTGTTTGTTTTCACACACTTCATTATCACCCAGGCTACTCAAAGTGTGAAGAATATATTCACTCCTTATAAATTCACCACTGATCATGTGACCCTGGTCTGTGTATCCATCCTTAGACTGCAGCAAACCACAGATTTATTAAGTATTGCGTGCGTATTCTCGCATATTTGCCAACTGTTCTGACAAAGCACCATATGCTAGAGATCATATAAAAACATGTAGATGATTGGACTCGAACAACACGACTAATGTATAGCGTGTTGCGCAATCGAAGCCAGGTATGAGCTCAACGGGATATAAAGCACGAAATAATTCTACTCCCAATTCATCCAGATTCCAATCTTTTTACCTATTTGCAGGAACTGTTACAGCTGAACTTACAGATATGGCTAACCTCGAAGCCCGCAAGCATATTTCCCCCGACTCGGGATTCCCCATTACAATCCATCCCCATTTCAATGAGAAAATCAAGAGCCATGTGCCCCCAGATCCACTCCGCGAGCCATTTACCCCGCCTAAAGATCGAGCATTTTTTGCAGATCCGGAGAAGAAGGCGTTGTTCTCCGTGGCCAAGCAGGTCGACTTGACTGAGTCCATTGGAACTGTTCTGGAGAATGTGCAATTGTCGCAGCTAAATGAGACTCAGTTGGATGAGCTTGCACTCCTCGTTTCTGAGCGAGGAGTTGTCTTTTTCGGGATCAGGATCTTACTACCGAAAAACAGGTTGAACTGTTTCAACATTATGGTAAGGCTATACGGGTCTTCTAGATGACGACATGTTAATCTGGTCCTGTAGGCATCTTGGATAAACATCCTGCTCAAAAGGTAAGATACAGCACCAGTGGTTCCGAATTTTAGGAATATTCAAGCAAGCTAACAGTTCGCAGGATCAGAAGGTACAGTATACCCTGACGAATTCAATCAACGAAATCTCTGAGGAACACTTTGAGTAAACCAATATCAATTTCACAATTACCCCATGATATTTCTTTCTTGCCATTTTTGCTAACTTGCTGTAAAGTTCGTGAGCATTAAAGGCAGTCGCGAGGATCACCGTGAAATCCTAAGCCACACACCCTGGGTATGATAAATTCGAGTTTATTGACAGCAAAAGGCTAACAGCATACTCTACTCCTATAGCCCAGTGGAGATTTCCATGCCGATACATCATTCGAGATCAATCGTATGTGCCAAGCCACACTCTCTGAGCTCAATCCCTAACACCTCATAGCACCTACCTACTCCCTCCTGAGAATGGAAGAGCATCCTGAAGTTGGTGGTGATACAGCTTGGGTATGTTACAGACGCAAGCCTCACTCCAAATCACCCTCTAATATTGTAGGTATCGCAATATGGCATATACGACGCCCTAAGCAACGCGTACAAAAGGTTCCTCGACGGCCTTCATGCCGTGCATACTTCAAGACTACAGTGTTTGTCTCCTTTTTCCTTACTCTAATGCAATTTCCTAATACGTTGGATCCACAGATGACACTATCATCGATCTATGGGGTGCAGCACCCAATCGCCCTCCAATCGATACACACCACCCAGCCGTGCGCACGCACCCAGTTACTAAATTGAAGGCATTGAACGTCAATCCTGGATTTGTGACTGGATTTGCTGAGCTCAAGAAGGTGGAATCAGGTACGTCAAGTTCTCAAGGTAACGGTTTGTGGCTTAGCGTTGACGTCTGTTTAGACAAAGTTCTCGATTTCTTGGCATATCATATCCACTCGGCTGATGATCACTATGTTCGTTGGAAATGGGCTGTCGGGAGCGTTGCTATGTGGGATAATCGGTGATTACACACTACCCTCTTTGGCTATTTTGGAGTCTCGAGCTGACGAACCCTCAGTTGTACTCTTCACCGGGTTATTCCTGGTACATACAAGGGAGCCAGACGGGGCATTCGGACTACTGTTTTCGGTGAAATCCGTGAGTGATCATATTACTACCTCTCAGCTCTCAATGATACATATTTTGCTGATATTATCTCAAAGCCTATTTCGATCCCACTAGTGAGAGCCGTGCGGAGCGGAAGTTACGCGAGGAAAGCCAGGATGATGAGGGTGTTCTGGTTGCTTGAAAGAGGAGTAACGAGCGTTGTATCAATCACGGTCTATATTCGTCTCATTGATTCATGAATTAAATGTTGCTCAAATGATGAGTAACTTTTGTGCAGAGTTCAAACCCCGATTGTAAATAGATTCTATAACTTTTGTTGCAAGTCGAGGAGTCATAATTCCGGCTTATTTCGAAGCCACTGCCTCGGTGACAACAAACGTCTCCTTGTCAGAGAGACTAACGTTGTTCTGCTCCTCATCTTGGGCTTGGGGTAACTCAGCGGTCTCTTTGCTGTGTTCGATGGGAACATGGCTCCTGACAACGAGCCAAGTAGGCCACACCGAAAGAACTGGAGAGAAAAGTTAGGACTACTATTTTTTCAATAACTTGTTAATTATGACTTACCAAGAAGGATAGTGTTAACAGCAAGTGGTACTCTGCCGCCATGCCATTTCTTCGAGTTGAGACCGTAAGAGACAGCCTGTGAAAAGCTTTCTTGGCCACGGAGGATACCAGACAATCGGGCTGATTGTATCAGTAATTTGTAGATAGGACAGTCGATTTGGATTGCACTTACAGAGTTCGGAGATGTTGTCGGTCATGGTGGAGAGAAGATAGTAGAGGAAGTTTTGCAGTGATTGCTGAGCGAATTCTGATAGAACAAACGTTAACACTTTGTCAGGATATCGGCTGATTCAGAAGACTCACCCCAGAGCAGGATAACGAAGAATCCCTCAACGAAGCCTTTGTCGGCCCAATCAAACGTTGGTGGGTTCTTGGTGTACTTTTCTTGGATAACCCAGCAGTAGACCCAAGTGACAATGTGGACAACAATCACGTAGAAAAAGCTATGGATTTTGTGAGTATTGGCTCTTGGTTTGATTGTGAATAGGGGAATCATGTACCTGTACTTGATTCTGTTTCTGATCGAAAGGCCACGGTAGTCCAGGAACCTACTAATGAGCGTCGAGGCAAGAAGCGTGGCGAAGTAGGCTTTGGATCATGTCAGTACCGATGTAAACTGTGTCCAAATAATCTGAACGGGTAAACGTACTGACGAATCCAATCAGAGCGCGGGCGCGCACGCCGAAGTAATAAGTTTTGAAGTCTAGATCACCTAGTCAGCAATTGCAAGCAGCGGAAAGGGAGCAGGCAATGCATACTTCCGGTGTACATATTGAAGTACGCGGCCCAGAAAACAGGCAGTAGCAAGAGAATCTATGAAGTTTAGTCAGATGTACCAGCTGGGCACGTTGGATAAACATGTCAAACATACCTCTCTGCGCTGGCAGACCTTCCAGAGCTCTTTCATTTCACCACGCCACGAGTCCTGCAGGATGATCCTGACCTTACTTCCGTCTGTGCGTTGAACCTTGTCGGGTGATGTGAGGAAGAAGGCAATAGGGACGGCAGTACACTGGAGCGCAACGAAGATGAGATACGTCTCTGTCGTGTGTTAACAACCATTCTAACTGTTTAAAAAAGCATCAATTAACTCACCAGATCCAACCTTCCCCTTCGCGTGGGCATCGGCAGCACTTTTCGTTCATCAGTACATTCTGTGGAGGATGTAGAGTTGAGATAAGACATACTGGTTGAGGCCAAGGACAATAGCACCTCCCACTAACGGGCCACCTGTACGGAACCAAAGCCAGATGCTTTTCAAGTCAGTCATTTGGTCACTGTCAGACATTTCAGAATATCTCACTTCATATATCGGCCTCGCTTAGTAGGCTCGGGATAACCCAGGGCCACCGCACCTTCAGAGGCCCAGAAGAGACCAGCGCTGTGAACATTAGTCGAAGGCCTTGTTTCATTAGACATGTGTGAGAGACTCACGATAAACCACAGAAAACTGATCCCACCAGCACAAACCATACATTTCCCTAAATGTAGATTAGTCTCTATCCCTGAGCTGTGGAGATAGTTCCAAGGTCGACAAAACTTACAAAACGGTTGTTCGTATATAAGGCAGCGCTGTATATTGGAGTCAGTTTCAGTTCGACACAATTTCCTAATCCGTTCGCAATACGCACGAATACAACGGATATCCCACAGCGCCAAGCATCAGAGTCCATCTCAGGCCAATCCGGTTAGCGATAGGGCCACCAAACAAACACAAAATGCCCACTAGCAAACAAGTTAGCGCGGACCAATTCCCAATTCCGAAGCGATTGATGCGATTTCCCACGTACTGAGACCGAAAACAAGTGCATTAGCCGCATTAATCAAGAACGGCTCCTGTGCGCCACCAGCACCCAGCGCATTCATGGCATTCCACAAGCCCGGGGCTGTGAAGCCAACAGCTCCAATGACACAGGCATTGAAAAGTGTTCCGCGATACCACACTCGCTTCTCAGGTTGGTTATCGGACGATGCCGAAATGGAAGCTTGTTCTGCCATAGCGTGTAGCTTAATAGTAAGCTTCAATCAAGCCGTACTGCAACTCTTCAATACTCTGCTATACGCTAAACGGGGGATGCGCCATATATATACATTTTTTTGTGAAGAAATCAGGTATTGATTTTTAAGGGTCTAGTGCTTGCTTTAGTCTAATTAGACAAGATTGCGTGCTTTTTGAGCTGTTGCTCTAATGCCCTTTTGGAACAAGCGTTGACAGTCCAGTCGAGATTGGTGGAATTTGGCCAATCAAGGTGAAGGACGGGATTGTTTGTGGGGAAGATAAAGTGGAGAGCCTCTTTTGACTCAAATGTCGCTTCAATTGCCGCGATATCGGATTGAGAAGGCGGGTAGAATTTAGGGATCTGGAAGTCTTGGCCTTGATAACGAAAAAGAGACTAAGGTAGACAGAAGTCGCCACAAATAGAAATAGAAAATTTTTTAGCATTACATGAGTCGTTACGTTTTAACATTCACGGATTTACTTTCCAGACACTTCCTTGACCGCAGCGATGATATCACTCGGTCCAAGGCCTTGGGCATTGACTTGCTCATACAGACCACCGCAGCCCTCCTTGATAGCACCCATGGACTTGAACTTGGGCGTGAACTTGCGCTCAAGGAGGTGGGTACCCAGGCGAGAGCCAAGACCAGTCTTCTGCGCAATTGACTCAACAACCAGGACGAATGGCGAGGATCCATACACCTTGATGGTCTCCTCGTCGACGATGTTGAGTGTGGGCTTGTTAATCAAACCAACATCGAGACCCTCCGCGCGCAGGTTCTCAACCGCATCAAGTGAGCGGTAGAGCATATCACCATACGAGACGATGTAACCAGCAGAGCCCTTGCGGATGATTTCTTCCTTGCCAGGAACGAACTTGTAGCCCTCACCGAAAAGCTTCTGGTCGGTGCCCTCCTTCAGGATGTAGGGGACCTTGGAACGAGTGGAGAAGATAAAGCGCATGCCCTTCTTCCAGAATACCTCACTGACTACGGCCTTCATCTGCTCGCCATCGGCGGGGAAGTAGAGCGTGGTACTCTCGGCATCCATCAGACCATTGTCGGCGAAGAAATGGTTCAGACCGAAATGGCAGGTATTGTCGGCCATCTCGTCGACACCGCTGTGAGAGAAGTGCGACAGGACGGTGCAGTCGTTCAGACGGGCCATGGTGATCTCAGAAATACACATCTCCAGGAAGGCGGAGAAGGTAGAGAAAACACCTTGGCGCTCTCCATTGCTGCCAAATCCGAAGCCAGCGGCAGCAGAGAAATTGCCTCGCTCCATAACACCAGATGGGACGAAGGCTTCGGGGTGCTTGGCGCCAATGGCCTTCAGGCCGGTGGAACCTGCCAAGTCAGAGTCGATGACCATGACGCGACGCTTAGCTTCCTCCTTGCTCAATTTGTCAAGAACACTATTCACGGCCTCGCCAAAGATGTTGCGGTTTGAACCCTTGTCCTTGGTGGAGCCCTTGTACGTGTGGGGATTCGTGCCAGGCTTGATGTCGTCATAGAATGCAAGCTGTTCCTTACTGTATCCGCGCTTAGTGAGGTATTGGCGAGCGATTTCAACGGGAATGACATCGTGCGCGTGGCATTCTCCCTCAATCTCCTCAATGCCAGAGGCCATCTTGCGGTTGATAACAACAGCGGCGGGACCGTTATGGTTTATGACTTCGCACATAGCGCCGTATAAGGAGTCGAGATTCTCGCCCTGGGCTCGGATAACCTTTAGGCCATGCCCCTCAAGAGTGCGGGCAACCTCATAGCCCTTGAGGTATTCCGAGGGGTGTCCGGCAATTGTGACATCGTTGTTATCGATGAAGAGCTTCACGTTCAGATTCCTGGCGACAGCAAGTCGCGCGGCCTCGGCGTCGTTTCCTTCTTGCTGGGATCCATCAGATCCCAAAAGAATCACGTTCTTGTCCTGGTTGGCCATTGCAATGCCATTGACCATACCCCACATATGACCCAGGCGACCGGAGCTGAACTTGATGCCGGGGGTGAAGCCGAGCTCGGGGTGGCCAGGAAGGTGGGAATCGGCGGCACGATAGTTCAGTAGGTGATCGGGCTCAATCTTGCCGTCCAATGCGGCTAGAAGATATTGTGTGGCGACACGGTGACCGGCCTCGTCGTACAGAGCATCAACCCATTTGCTGGGGTTGGCGTTGATGAAAGCAAGCAAAATGCAGACTTCGGGGGCTGTATCGAAGGGACCTCCAGTGTGGCCCGCAACACCGCGGGCGGCGCCTGTTGCTGTGAAGGCAATAATAGCATCTTTGAAAATATTAATGTTGTGTTGCAAATCGCTCTTCTGTTGAGCTGATAGCTGTGCGGTCTTCGGGTCAAGCTTGAGCTGCTTGAACTGCGTGAGATCGACGGGGAATTTGTAACCGCTCATCGTGAGAATAGTTTTTCTTTTTTTTTGCACGAGTGGTTTGAAAGAGCAAGTAGAGTCCACCGATGTAGGGGTTATAAAGTCGAGTAACACCTGTTCCCAATATGTTGACGTCATAGCATCTGAAGCTGACCTGTTTTCGAACTCCTTTACCTTCCTTGACATTCCCATTCAATGATCGCTAGTGATCTCATCAAGATTCAATTTCTTTTTCATGCAAGTTGTCTGGATTTTTTCAACGTCCGGCCCGACCCATCGGCATGCAGCTTTTCGCAGCCCTTGCGGGGGGAGAGGTAGTCTTCCCTAGCATCCCACCAAGCTTCTTAACTGAATAAACGGAGTTCCACTATAAATGGCACCTGGAGAATTGGATTCACTAAACGCAGTCTTATAAACATGTCCATTTTTCCCTTGGGGCATCGCACCCTCCCGCTCTTTTGTTAGATATTGAGCAGCAAGGGGTATCTTTCTCCCCAGTCTATGTGCTACTTGCTTTTGAGCTGATCTAAACTGCGCAGGCTGACTAGATGTGACTTTAACTCTCCCATTCCGGTGAATCACTGCCTCTACAACACCGTTTCCGGGAAACTCCACCCCGGGCCACTAGACGGTCTAGTCAAATCCTTAAATTGCCTGCCACCATCAGGCCAAGAATGCGGGGAAGAGTAAAGAGTATCGTCAACCCTCATTATTCTCAATTAGGCGATTTCTCCGAGACAGCAGACACAAGACAATCAAGCTATCGGGATCCGTCCGGCGATCCTTCAGGAAAATGTGGCGTGCATTAGTCGGTGATACTGTAGTATTCTTCGTCAGCTTATGGCTGAGATCAGGGGCCCGAGGCGTCTCGGTCCCCTTTCCCCTCTATGCATTGACAATGTTGTTTTTGGTGGAATGCATAAAAGACAGTGCATGCCCGGACTGATTATCTTCACCGTCTAAGCCTCCAAAATCATATCTTAGAAAGAGACAACATGCTTCTTCCCTCTCTTCTTCCTGTGCTCCTGCTTTCAGTGTTAGCAGAAGCCTCACCAGGAAAGCGAGCACCCACTGCATCAGCCTACTGTTCGAACTCAAATGGCAAGTACAAGCTCTCTTCAATTGCAGCACCAGTCCAGGGCAGCGGCAGTCCAGGCTCTGAATCGACTTGGAAGCTGAGCATTGATGATACATCCAGCGGGCACAAACAAACAATCGTGGGCTTTGGAGCCGCTGTCACCGATGCCACAGTCACATCATTCAATACGCTGTCAGGTTCTAACCTGCAAAAACTGCTTAATGAGCTGATGACCGGCGCTGGGGCTGGATTTGCTTTGATGCGCCATACGATCGGCGCTTCCGACCTGTCTGGTGACCCTTCATATACCTATGACGATAACGGGAATAATGCAGACCCATCCCTATCTGGTTTTAACTTGGGCGACCGTGGAAATGCCATGGCTACGATGCTGGCTAAGATGAAGTCCCTTCAGTCTAGTTTGAAGATTCTTGGTTCACCTTGGAGTGCCCCCGGATGGATGAAGCTGAACCATGTGATTGATGGTGCTACGAAAGATAATAATCTCAATGATGGCTACCTGACTAGTGGAGGCACTGGGAGTACTGGGTATGCCAGTGCCTTTGCCCAGTATTTTGTCAAGTACATTCAGGCCTACCAGAAACTCGGGGCCCACATTGATGCGATTACGATTCAAAACGAGCCTTTGAACAGCCAAGCTGGATATCCTACAATGTATGTGTTTGACTATGAGTCTACGCAGTTGATCCAGAACTATATCGGACCGGCTCTCGCTCAAGCCGGTCTGAACACCGATATCTGGGCATATGATCACAACACTGGTATGCACCCGAAAGCCCCGGATCTTTGAGGAGATATTCCATTTGTTAACAGATAGATATCAGACGTGCCATCTTACCCTCAAAACGTCATCAACGGGGCTGGCCAATATGTTCATGCAGTCGCATGGCACTGTTATGCCAGCAATGTAGACTGGACAGTCCTCACCAAATTCCACGAGACAAATCCTAACATCAAGCAATACATGACAGAATGCTGGACTCCCGCGTCGGCATCATGGAACCAAGCGGCCGATTTCACCATGGGACCTTTGCAAAATTGGGCATCGGGCGTAACGGCCTGGACGCTTGGCACAAACGATCAAGATGGCCCTCATCTATCAAGTGGCGGCTGTGCAAACTGTCGAGGTCTAGTGACGATTTCCAACGGCGGATACACTTTCAACCCGGCATACTATATGATGGCGCAATTCAGCAAATTCATGCCGCCCGGTGCGATTGTGCTTAGTGGTACTGGAAGTTACACATATTCCAATGGGGGAGGTGTGCAATCTGTTGCTTCATTGAATCCAGATGGAACTCGTTCGGTTGTCATTGAGAACACGTTCAATAATGATATCTATATCACTTTGTCTACTAATAGTGGCCAACAGTGGAGCGGCAGCATTCCAAGTCAGTCTGTGACAACTTGGGTGCTTCCTGCGGCATGAGTGAGGTAAATTATGTTGACTGAAAGTTGGAGCTTTTGGAAAGATTCAAGAATTACTTTTGCGCTTCGCCCTCGAGAATATACGAAATTGGATAAATCTCTTAGCATCTTCAGTTAGCATCAGTCACCGGCCCTTCTCGCTGAGCTATAGTACACCCAACATCATGGACTTGTCCCGACCGATGATAGGTCGCCCTATGTCGTAGTGGCACTTTGACCTCTGTCATGTACATTATGAGGGGGGGCCAAGGAGCTAAGATCAATCCCTAAGCCACCCCCGTTTCAATATACAAGATCGTGATAGGCTCACTATCCACCTTCACGTTGCCCAAAAGGCGGCTGTGTCCAACCTGTGATGTGGATACTTTTTTCTTATTATCAGCCGCAAGGTACAGATAGACTATCCTCACTCGATACCGCTTGGTAAATTCCATAGTGCTTTTCATCTCTCTCGAAATGGCCACTCAGTCCATACCTGAAGACTGCGCACAATCCACGATGTCAGAACAAGCCGAAGATCCTCCGGAATATCACACCATTCAGCGCCCGAGGGCTCTCATTGAATGCATACAGACCCCATCTGCCCCTCTCCGTAAGCCATTTTTACAATCTCTAAGGCCAGCTTTTTCTTTATCACTAATGCAATCTCCTTTAGCCCCGAGCGGCTCAGTAAGAGAGAATTCGTTCAGCCAGCCCTTGCCTTGCCCCTCTAACGCCTCGTTATAGTCTCAGGCATTCAAAGTCAACGGAATGATCTACGTGGCAGGCCAAATAGGGGCCTTGCCTAGTGGCGTCCTTGTTACCGGACAAACTGCAACCGTGGAACGAATTTTCCGCAATATCGAGGCGATCCTGAAGGCGGCTGGTTCGAGTTGGGACAGGGTCATTAAAACTACGGTAGGATCTGAGCAGGGCTCTTGATTCTTTGAAGCTAAGGTTTTCTTCAGGTTTATTTTAAAGAATATGTTCACGGAAAAGGGAAATTCGAGGCTCACTATCAACGGGTGCTCCCCTTTGCACCACCACGAACTACTATTGTGGTTCCAAGGATTGAATCAAAGGGGGTTATTACAAGCGCAGAGATACAAATGGAGGTTATAGCAGTGGAGTAGCCTTTTTTTGTTCTTGATTTGGTTTTGATTTCAGTACACTCTCACTCTTTGCTCAAATTACTTGCATGACTCTATCTCCACGTCTCTCTCCTGGCTATGGGATAGTGTGTTAGTGGTACAAATATACAAATACCGGTCGACTTTATGGTGACTGGTCATGATAATAATGGAAGTCGCATTGAAAGTACTTGCAAAGGTCGATGGAAGTTGGACAAGTATAGTAAGGCTCTGCAACGGCGCTTTAATGTCCAATTTACTCCTTCTGGGCTCTCCATCCATCCCATGGGGATAGATGGCAAAGTTCTCTGCATCATTTTCTCACTGAACCAGATGTGCAGGCATCTGTTCGTCGTGTTACTACCTCCACACAGCCAGTTTTGAGCAAGTCCCGTGTTCAACCGCTGCTATTTTATGCAATTCGGGGTATCGGGTCAGATCCTCAGCCTTAGAGGTCGCATTCCTTTGCTTTTTTTTATTTGCAGATCACTCGTAATTGTGGCTTTTTTTTCCAACAATCGGGGCCAACAACCGGTATTCATGGAAACGTCTAGAGATAGCTTTTTCAGTCCCGGGTCTGATCTACAGGCCCTGCTTCCGAACCCTTTGTTCTAGCTTTCTGGTGATTGGTATTGATTCATGGTATCATTTGCTCTCTATCAAGAGTCTACATGCTCAATAGTCCCAACTCCCTAACTATTGTAGGGCCCACATGTCAATCGTTCGAAGGGGTTCGAAGGGACTTACATCACAAAACCTAGCCCGATTGCAATTCGGACGAAGGCTCAGGATAAACTGAGATAATTTAGTCAAACATGACAAGAAACAGATAAAGTGCCAAGTAGAGCATGGCCTATGAGACACAAAGTATCCTACTCAGAAAAAGCAAAAGGCCTACCGATGACTGAGTTAGGTTTATAAGTTGATGATCCTAATGTACCCGTCCGCCCACTTTTAAATCCTGAGGCTCTTGTATCTACTGGTATCTACAAATGGCGATTTGACTCTATTGCCAAGGCAGGCATATACGTAATACATCAGAAGGAGTGCATTGCTTGTCGCCCAAGCTGAAGCATTGCATATCCCCTCTACCGATAGAGGGTAACAAACATGTTGTGGATTGATAATTTCAAGATATAAAAGCACTCAGGCTGCCGGCAATCTCGCTTGTACAAGTCTCATCCCAACTCCATTTTTCGCTGGGCAAGATCATCCTTTCAAATTCAATTTGAGACCATCAAACCTTTTGCAAAATGAAACTATTCCTCCAAGCCACAGCAGTCCTTTCCCTCCTTATTGCCAAGGCATCGGCTGCACAGAGTGGCATTTTCGCCGCAAATGGAGTCGAGCTCGAGGTTTATCAATTTGCTGAGGATACCATCATCGGGGAGCCAGTGAGTTATTGATCCTTTCGGACCCTGCGATACTCAGTAACTGACTCTATACAGCAAAGCATGGTCCAGGTACATAGCCGGATTATCACTTCGTGAGGAACAGTAATTATCTGACATGTTCAATTTAGGCGAGAGACCTTGAGGGCCGAGACACTAACGCGTGCACCAAGTGTGTGGGTCATCATGGAAGCTGTGTCGTAGGAGAGGGGAACTGCTATGCCCCTGATACATGTGGATTCTGTGGAGGTTGTTCTGTTAACCAGGCCCGTTGCCAGAACCCCCAGAAGGAGGGTTGCCAGTGCTATAAATGATGCTTGGGAATCAAAGAACGGATTTGACAGATTCATGATTTCCGCTGTTGCTCAGCGTAATGTTGTTCGAATTCTCTCGAGTCAGGAAAGGATTCATACAGTCCGTTCCGTCCCTCTCTTTTCAATGGTTCTTGGCTTCCAATGCACTCGTTTTGGACCGCTTCATACTTTGCAGTATATCTACTATCCTCCAATAGTATATTCAAACAAATGCAAAGAGATTCATTGTAAGACAAAGGAATAACCTCATCCAACATGCGTCATAGATTTACATTCGGCTATCAAAATAAGATCAGGGGATAAAACCTTTACCCAAATATGTATTCCCACCATCCCTTCTTCCACGTCCTCCCAAATCGATGATTGACACATGCATTAGGATGATTGAACCCACCTGCCTCGCTATGCCTCTGTCCATTCCCCCAAACACTAATTGGCAACACGCACAATCCACCCATGGGTTTACTCGGGACAGCCTCGTCAGCCTGGATGCAGATAGGATCACTGAGTCTATGGAACGGAGCCCACGTTACCCGTTTTTGCGACTCCCCAGTTTCAGGGTCAATGAGATCCCCAATCTCCTTGTCTGCATAGACAGATTGTTCGACGAGCGGATGTGTCTCTGGAAGCGAAGAGGAAAGCGTCTCGAGAATAGCATCCGTGAAGACATCAGGCCCCGTGATTCCTAATATAGCCTTCTCATCATACGCTAGACTGGGAAAAAGGCCAGCGCGTCCATTATTGTATTGTATCGTATGTGCCATGACCCGCACAATGACCTCCCGAAGAAGCGGGCTGAAACGTCGCGGCGCATACATGGTATACTGAATCAGTCCATAGCTCCTTGTCCAGTGCCAGTCACGCATGAACTGTGGTGAGGCATATGGCTCGTCGACTTCTATTCCAACAACGAGCGATACATTGGGATGGATGTATTCGGTGTACTCGTCAGGTGGGGGTGGGAAGAATAGCTGTAGTGCTGGACAGGTGTTGATAGTTCGAGCGGGGAAGACGTCGGTGTCTGCGTAGAAGCCCCCGTAGTACCAGAGAAGCAGATATCGGAGGAAGTCTGCTCGGAGGACATTGTGAGGGTAGGCTTTGTATATAGTTGTGATTTCGGAAATGGCGGATAGCTCGTTGGTGATAAACTCGAGAGCCCTGTTATCATTGACTAACTTTGTGGTCTTCAGTGGAAGTTGAATAAGTCGCGCAATATGCGAAGGAACTTACAGTGTATGCCCACTCCTTATTTTTATGTTGAAATATTATCGAGTCATCCCCCCGTTGATTTTCATCTTTCGCTATCTGCCAGATTCTATTTTCAGCTAAGTTGTTTTGGTGATTTTGTGCCAACACAGTGTTTTCGATTCTCTCTAGGGCCTGTGATAGCTTTTTCTCATATAGAATAGCGGGATTGTTTCGAAAAGGGGAGTGGTAGAGAAATCGGGCGGTATCTTCTACTTGATGCTCTGGGGGTGGTCGGTCTGCACGGGTATTGTTCTGGGTGGGTGGAGGAGCTGGAAGATGATAAAAGAGGAACCATATGAAGATGATGAATGTTATAAAAATTGCACGGCGAGTGAGTAGACGCTTAGATGCATGAATAATGATTCTGCTTGAGCTCATGGTGGTAGTAAAAGGGAAGCTGCAGGGAAGAAATGGCGAGTTGAAGGCTGATTCAAGAAGGATTGGCTCAGGTCACAGTCAACTCATTGAAAAATTTGACATGAAGGAAGCTCAAAAGCCATATGCTTGAAGTGATAGAAAGGTATAGCAAAGGAGAGAAACTAAAAACGGAACGGACTCAGAATGGCAAATAAATAAGACCAAGGATTGAGAATATGACCAGAGCCCCTGGTTTTCATGCAGCCTTGACATAGTCTTAAGATCAAAGCCTGGAGATTCCCTCCAATTATTCTTTAATCTCTACGAAATTACATTGCGGTCTGGTTCTTTGTTTCAGCGGGCCGCTTTAGGTCGATCCTATAACGCTAGACAAGGATAGCCCTGCTAAGATTCAATATTTCACATTTCATTTCTAAAATACTACAGGGGACTACGTACCTCTTCTTGGGAGGGTTGAGTAGCTTTACTTTGGTGATAAAAAAGCTGAAATTAGAGTGTTATTGAGATATTACTCTTTGGATGAGACTATGGCTATCAAAGTCGATCCATGGGAGTTGTGTTCTCAGACAAGATCTTCACCTTCTGGGACTTTGTGTGCTTTCCGGTATACTGTGCCCCTGGTTTTTCTGAGTTTGGCCTCTTCATCATGTCGAATAAGGGCCTGTCAATGTTCATATGAGGGTTATCATCTTGAATGCTGGTATGCTCGTTCAAAAGCTAGAAGACTATGCCGATCAAGACTTAAAGCCAGGAAAGGAAAGCTTTGAACACGCGGGCTTAAGTGGTCAACTATAGGTGTCAGAAAGAATTGTTCAAGATCATCGGAATGCCACCTTCATCTGTAAGTTCGTGATTCATCATGTTTGTCCCAGTATAGCCCAAGTTCAGAATGATTTGCTTGGTGATTGGCTGCAATGCTCGCAAGTGGGGCGACTGGCCCAAGCAGGAGTTTGCTCATGTTATTATGTCGTTCAGCTGAAGAGCCTCATCATCTCTAGAATTATCGGAGAGTGATGCTATATGGTACTGACTAAGCAAAAATGCGAAAAAGGAAAAGATCGTTTAGCTTTCATGTAGGCATTATGTACTGACCAGCCCGTATTGGTATACCTACTTCTTACTTGATCACACCGATCGCCATATCACCGTGGGCTTTCCAGACAGCCAAGTTGAGAAGACCATATAACATGTGCTTGTCATCGCCATCGGTACATCCACCACGTCGTCTCCATTAGGACTGAAAGATGACTCTGTGTCCCTGTGCACTACCTGGAATACTTTCACCGGTGCCAAAGACATTGTCGTTGCGGGCGGAGGCCCGACCGGTGTCGAGACAGCTAGTGAGCTAGGCGAACATCTTAACAGTTGGTATGGCTAGTCCATGTCTATATTAGAGAGCCAGCCGCCAATGCGCCACAACGAATTTGCCCGCAGGAATATTAGTCATGTGCATATTACCTGGAGGCACACAAGTTGATATTGCCCTTTATACTCTATAATCAATACACCTGTCCGAGTTGCTCAGTTTCACTATGAAGGCTACTGATCCTAAACACTACGTAAAGGTCTAAGTCTAACTTAGCTGTCGCATATAGGCACTATATGACAGGGAAGGGTATTTGGGGAGGGTAAATAAAGGAAATTGTACCCGTGTAATTGCTATACTAATTGCTGGGTGCTAATTGGTAGGTGTAATTAGACCTCCGTAAAGCCTATAGGTGGGCCCAGACCCAGGCCTAAAGCCTAGCCTGTTTAACCCTTAGTGAACTATCGGCTTAACCTTCCAAGCCTAACCTAAAACCCAGCCTCTTTGTGGGTAAGGGCGGGTTGAACTTTAGGCTTTGGGCTTTCTGAGCGCTGCAGAGTTTGAGGTGTAATTGCTAAGTGTTATATTGGAAAGGCTTATGTATAGGAAAGGGGGGGATATATGTAAGAAATATAAGGTTGCAAAACTTTTTACAACCCAATTGTCATATAATAAGCGGTGTTCCAGTCCAAATTCACTGAGGGAAAAATGGTTTTGGCGCAGTGGCGGTTGGACACTGCCGTAGCATACTCGTCTGGTGATGCACAATATCTTATATACGGCGCCCACCCTGTATCTGAACATTAAATGGGGTGTGAAGATGAAAGTGCCAGGACCGATTGTGTGTTCAACACACTGGGACTCCACTCGTGCCAATTAGAAAAAGTAAAGGTGTGGGTGCTGCCATAGGGTTCCAATTGAATTTCTTGTGGCTGATCAAAGGTCGAGATGATTGGACTGTGGGTAAATAGAAACGTCAGCTGATTGCCGATATTATAAATCGCGAAGAATCCTGTAAGATATCTATAGCCTCGGGATACCAGCACCCCGCAATATCGCCAAGGATTGTTATGGTGGATATTTAGTCGGCCCGAAAAACCCTGAGTCATAAAGGGTTTTTGTGGGGAATGATATGGCATTTGACATGGACAGAGTACAGAGTATAGTAAGATTACAATTCACAGTTAGTAAAGGAAATAAGGTGTTAAAGCAAAGAAAGCTGCATAAGTCTATGTCGATCATAAAGGAAGAAAACATCAAAGGAAAAAAAAAAAACCAAATTAAAAACGCGGAATGCACATCGGCCAATAGGGCCGAGATCGGGCCTCGACATCCTGGGGTAACATCCCTGCATCGGAGAACTGCGCTCGAAAAACCCCCAAAAGCCAATCTTCTCCTCTTTCCTTTTTTTTCCCCTTCATAGTCAAGCTGCGCAGTGTTCTGGTGTAATTTTGAATTTAGCTCATCATGGGAGTCCCAGGTATGTTTGACTATAAAGATTTACCCCGGATTTCTCTGTTTTTTAGGGTTTCCCGAGCTTACACCCTTACCACCCCATACTGACCATACTCTCCCGCAGAAACTCTTGATACTAAAGAGCCCATTGACCACGGTGAAAGTCAGGCCAGCTCCGTGGACTTGGAATTGCCTCCTCTCACAACTACCACTGCGCGCAAGCTGCAGGCCAAGGTTGACTGGCATATCCTGCCCTGTCTGTGTATATTGTATCTGCTTGCCTTTTTGGATCGGTAAGCATTTGTGTCCCATCAAGCATTGCTGGTATCTAACATTGTCCTACAGAGTTAATATTAGCAATGCCGCTATTCTCGGGTTAAAAAAGGATTTGGACATCACCGAAGGAACAAAGTACAACACCGCCCTCACGATTTTCTTCGTGCCGTATATTATCTGCGAGATTCCATCAAACATCTTGCTCAAGAAGTTGAAACCCCATGTATGGCGTAAGTGTTTTGAGTCCCTTTGCGACCCTTGCAGTTCTAGGTGCACTTTCGTAAGGGCAGCTTGCTAATACAAATATAGTAACGGGATGCATGTTCATGTTCGGCTTGGTCTTGCTCTTCCAAGGTCTGGTATCAAACTGGGGTGGACTGATGGCCACTCGGTTCTTCTTGGGTGTCTTTGAGACCGGCATGTTCCCTGGATGTAAGTGCAAATGCCAACAAGAACTCCTATCTCTGATACTAATTGCGATCGCCAGGTTTCTATTTGCTGGGCATGTGGTACACACGCTCTGAGGCTCAAAAGCGTTTCAGTTTCTTCTTTAGTTCCACTTCCTTGGCTGGCGCCTTTGGTGGTCTGCTTGCCAGCGGTATCGCAAAGATGGACGGCATGTGCGGCTACAGTGGCTGGCGCTGGGTGTTCATTCTGGAGGGCGTTTTGACCAGTGTGGTCGCCATCATCCTGTTCTTCTTCATTGCTGATTTCCCCGAGGATGTGAAGTGGCTGAACGATGAAGAGCGCGCATACATGCGTGCCAAGTTGGCTAAGGATGCTGGCAAGGCCGCTCGCCATATTCACATGGGCAAGCGTGAGGTTCTGAATGTCTTCAAGGACTGTAAGTATAACTCGGTGAGACCCTCTTGGAATTGCAACATGCTGACTTTCCCCAGACAAGGTCTTTATCGGAGGCTTCATGTACTTCGGTCTGATTGTCCCAGCTTACAGTACGTATATCACATCATTTCCTTCTTCCATTACCCACCGAGTTATCGCTCACTCTGATACAGGCTATGCATACTTCGCGCCGTCTATAATCCAGACATACGGCTATAGTCCCATCAAAACCCAGCTATACTCCATTCCTCCTTGGGCTGCGGCATTCGGTTTCTCAATGGTAGTCGCATTCTGCTCTGACCGAATGCGACACCGATACGCTTTCACCCTAATTCCAATGGCGATCGCCCTCGTCGGATTTATCATGCTTATGACAATCCATGACAATAACAGTGCACAATATGGCGCTCTTTTCCTGGTGACCAGTGGCTGTTATAGCGCCATGCCTGTCATTGTATGCTGGTTCTCCATGAATTTGGGTGGCCATCATCGACGCAGTGTGGGAACTGCATGGCAAATTGGTTTCGGCAATATCGGTGGAATCATCGCGACTTATTCTTTTGTAACAAAGAATGGCCACACTGATCTCCGAACCGGGTATATCATCTGCCTCTCGTTCATTTGTCTCGCTGTCCTGGCATGCTCGGTATACATGGTAGCCCTGTGGGTTCAGAACAAGCAGCGTGACCGCGCCGCTGTTGACGCTGTTGTGGTTCCCGAGGATGAAGAGGAATATCTCGGAGATTTGGCGCCCAACTATCGGTACACGTACTGAGAAGATTTGCAGGTTGGATAAATACTTTTGTAAGAGAAACCTTTTGTCATTTTACTTTTGTGGATCTCGTCTTGCGGATTTTGCAAAACTGTATGAGTGATGATGCTACCGATATATTTGTGTAATACTGAGCATACTGCTGTCTATAGCAGAAACAATAGCAGCATAGGCTCACTGGCTCTATTTTGGAGCTATATGATACATGATATGCTCTTTCAATAAAATATTAATGGCATTGCCCTTCTTGTGGATGTTCAATTGAACTAACATCGCTACCCTATCCCCACCCGTAGTTTATATGTGACATAAATTATTTTCAAACAGTTTGCAACAGCTCTATCGAGTGAAACCCTATCGAATTTCCTAATCTGGAATAGTCATTTGTCGTCACAGATGGAAGCTTGGGCTGTCACGTGTGGGGCCTAAGCGAGAGCGGCTGAGTCAGCCGCACCGTACCTAAATGCGTCTCGGACCCGCCCACTTCATCTTTCTTTCTACTATCTCTGTTTCATCCTCGAAATCGTGAGTAGCTTTCCGAAAGCAAAGAAAATTATCGAGAGGGCAATGCACTAACCAGTCCACAGTTTGAAGATGAGAGCTAAGTGGAGAAAGAAGCGCACTCGCCGTCTCAAGCGCAAGCGCAGAAAGATGCGTGCCAGATCGTAAGTTGCTCCATTGTGCGCCAGTGGTCTTGCGAAAGGCCATTGAGCTTCCAAGCGACCAATCGCAATACTAATTTCTATTTCAGCAAATAAACTACTCGCCCCCTCCATCTCAGCTCTCTTTGCCCGAGCTCATGTTTAAACGCTGAACACGACAATTGACGACGCGACGTTGCGACTTTCGTTTCTTCGTGACACGCCCTTCACTCAAACGAGTTACCTGTACGGACAAGATTTCCGACCTATTATCAGAAGAGATCACAGATCAAATGACGGAATCCGCTGTTTACAACAGTCTACCTACATTCCAACACCTCGGATTCATTTACGTCCACGGTCTGATGTCATGCATGGTTATTACTCGGAGGGGCTCCTGTGTTTAGGTGGATGTTGGAGGATCGGTGCAAACCATCGGTCTTTGAGCACGGCATTGGGGTGACTGGTCAATCTCATTACTTTACGGCCTTCCTTCGGGCTGGTCAAAAGTCGTGGAGAGGTCTTTTCCGGGAGTTTATCAAAAATCCATGGAATAACTCGGAGGTCTTGGTTTAGCTACTGCAGATGAATCGATGACTTGATGAGTGCAACATTTTTTCTCCATTGTAAACCTGTAAATCCGTAAATCGGCCCACACCTGAGTAGCTGAGCAGCTGTCTTCGTAGCTGTTTGTATATGGTTTATCAACCTCAACTTGACGTTGGATGTACGTCAATATTCCTTTGTGCGGAATGCCCATAGTCTCACCGCCTGCCTCGTCTCCGCTCGTAAAATTTTCTGCCAGACAAGTCCAGACATTTTATTTCACCGCGCTAAAGCCGATTCTCGAGAGGTACAATCTTTTGTCTCTCCTCTCTAACGCCATAATGCCGTCCGATAAAAAAGATCACAAGCGAAAGCGCTCAACGGATAATGACCGACCAAGCAAAAAGCCAGCCTTGCACCAGCTGCCCCCGCTGGCCGCCAGCGTTATTGAAGATAAGAGCGAACTGGCACCGGTAATTGGTGAGTTGAACGCTTTTTATCCAGGCTGTAGACCGTCTCTGATGGCAATTTTGCGTTATAGTCGACACACCCGGTCTCCAAAGCTCGAAATCCCTCCACTGGGATCCATATATCAAAAGCCGCCCCAATGTCTCCAAGTCTGCGGCATTGACTCGGAATCCGGGCATTGTCTCTTCAGAGATGCTGCTCCAGTCCTCGGAACACGCCAAGCTGGACTTCGTCGGCCGTGAAGGCACAGGAGATGATACCGACTCCCAAGTGAAGCACTACGTCGCTGTCATCGACCCAGAACGCAAGACATGGAAGGTCGTGGAGGTGCGACGGGCAACACTGCGAGGAGCACTAAGAAGCCGCAAGACCGAGGAAGACTCAGATGAAGAGATGGTACACCCTCATACCCATAATCCCCTACATCAACATCCAACTAACAACTATCACCAGAACACCATGCGCGCCCAACGCACAGCCCTAACCAACACCTTCGGTACTAAACAATCCCGCAAGGCCGTGCAGTCCATGGCCGAGAATGCCCAGCTCTCCAACGCCCCCGCCGGCGCCGTCCCCACAGCCGGCGCAGCCCCTCATCTCCTCGATGCCCACCGACACAGCCTCCGGTCTCGCCAAGGCCCTGGCCATGCAAGCCGAAGTGCAAGCCGCGAAGCCCCTCCCAACGCCCAACCTCGCCGTCTCGCACCCCTCCGACGTCTACACAATCGAGACCCTCGTGCCTGGCAGCCACACAACCCTCAGCCAACTAAACGGCGTGGACGACTGGAAAACCCAAGTGGAAGCCGGTCTGGGCGTGACAACCGTGTCTCGCTACGTCTCGAACCGCGTCGCCGCAGTAGTCAACTCAGACAACACCACCCACCTCCAAGTCCTCCGCTTCATCCAGCTTCTCATCGAATTCGGTCGCTGTCTCAAAAACGCTGGCGCAAACGCCAAGGGCGGTGGCCCCGGCAGCAAACGTCTCCCACCCCGCGAAGACCTCCGTCGCATCCTCTCAAACACCACCGGCTCTGCCGTAGCAAAGCCCAAGCCCGGTGCCCCAGCAGCCGAGTCCGCAGACCTGCTCCCGGAGTCTGTCATCGATGCTGTTCGTCGTCGTTTCGCGCCTAGCGGCGGCTTCGTCTCGAAGAATGACTTCACCCTCTTGCAGACTACCATCTGTGCGCTCTCGCTGCATATCCCGCCCCAGCCGGCGCGTGACGGTGGATCCAGCTCGCTTGGTGGTAATGCACCCAATGAGCTTGCGACCGATCCTTCTGATCTGCGTGATGACTTGCGTCTTGATCCCAATACTATTCACCAGTACTTCCGTGAGCTTGGTTGTCGGATTGATAAGCCTCGTGAGACAGAGTTCGCCAAGTGGAATATTAAGGGTGGACGTGCGGAGGCGGCGGCACGTCGTGTCGCTCGTTTGCGACTTCCTGTTGAGTTCCCTAAGGTTAGTCGTGGTGGTCGCAAGTAGGGTTGAGTTGTGGTTTAGTGGGCTTGTGTTATCAGGCCCACTTGGAATATATGGCGCTTCTTGTGTTTCAAAATTGTTACTTTTATCTGTTTCTATATCTATGAGACAATGTTACATAGCCAAAGAAATTTACTTGGTTGTTTCTTGATTCAATTTTGATTGTGTAAACTTGGGGTCTCTGTTGGCTGGGAATCATATAACCTCTGGAAATCGTCAGCAGTAAGGCACGATCAATTTATATCTATGTTAAGAGCTAATTTGATTCACCATTTACAATAGCTGTTTTGTAACTAGAGCAGAGGCAGTCCAGAATCCAAGAAGGGATAATGTATACTTTATATATATATATATATATCAGTACTCTACACACAAACAAGCCAAGGTCTATTCATACTGATAAGGAACTTACATACTACAACACGGAAGCAAAATCCCAATTCAATACTGTTCATTTCAACCTGATCCACCCGAGTCCAATAAATGACACTCGATCGATATACTAGATACAAGCAGTATACCCGACACGAGTTGTGGTCTTGCCAAGCAAACCAACAACATACATCAAAAGACAAATGCACACTTCACGGCAAATCAAGCCGGAAAATGGCTACATCATTGAACAAAAGCAGACAGGTGACATTAATATGTGAGGGTAGTATGATTGAAGACGGATGCATATGTTAAACTATGTCCGCACGACCGAATATTATGTATAAAATGAATGGACGGGAATAATGCATACAGAATTACCCCAAAAACCGAGAAGCATTGAAAGACGGGACTCGTCTGCTCTAGGCAACCACACCAGCGGTGGAGGTCATTCCCGAGTAAGCCTTCTCGGTCAGAGGGGTAGCAGCCTTCAGGGGCACGGGGGCATGGGCAGCAGCGTGGTTGAATTCACGAGCAACAGCGCCCTCAAGGGTCTCGCCAGACTGCAGACCCAGCTGGGCGTCCTCCCAGATGGGCAGGTTGGCGGCCTCGGCGCCTTCAACGCCAACGCCAACGAAACCGCCCTGCTTCTTCCAATCGCTAGTGCGCTTGAGGCCTAGGTCGTTCCAAACGGTCTGCAGAGCTTGCACGAGGTGGTCACGCAGGGGCTTTGTGTGGCCTGGAGTGGGAGTGATGCGCAGACGCTCCTCACCGCGGGGTACGGTGGGGTAGTTGATGGCCTGCACGTAGATGTTGTGCTCCTCGAGAAGTTTGTCGGAAGCCTGCTTGGCCAGCTCGGCATCACCGACCAGGAGGGGAACGATGTGTGAAGGGTTGGGGATGACAGGAATATCCAGATCACTGAGGGCGGTCTTGACTGCACGGGTGTGGAGTTGCTGGAGGACTCGATCCCGGGGTTCCTGGGACTGGTATTGGATGGCAGCATCCGCACCAGCCATAGTCGCTGGTGGGAGCGAAGTGGTAAAGATGAAGCCGGGAGCAAGGGAGCGAATGGTATCGACCATTGCTGCCGAGCCTGCGATATATCCACCGACACAGCCGTAGGCCTTGCCCAAGGTACCGGTGATAATGTCAATTCGGTCTTGAACTGTGCCCTTGGTGCTTTGAGGTGAAGCTGTGTCCTGCGATGCGTATGCATCGTAATCGAGATGCTCAGCAACTCCAGCTCCGTGTGGGCCGTACATTCCCACGGCATGGACCTCATCCAAGAAAGTGATAGCACCGTATTTGTCGGCGAGATCACAGATTTTTTCAATAGGGGCAATGGATCCGCACATACTGTATACGGATTCAAAGGCAATAATCTTGGGAGTACTCAAAGGCAATGAGGCCAACTTGGCTTCGAGGTCTTCCATATCATTGTGCTTGAAAACCATTTTCTTCGCGCCAGAGTGGCGAATACCCTGGATCATTGAAGCATGGTTCAGACTATCCGAGAGGATGACACAATCGGGCATTTTGCTGCCTAGTGTTGCTAGAGTCGCATCGTTAGCCACGTAGCAGGAGCTGAAGACCAATGCGGCCTCCTTTCCGTGCAACTTGGCAAGGGTATCCTCAAGGGCGACAGCATGCTGGTTATGACCCGAGATATTGCGAGTGCCACCTGCACCAGCTCCATAGGTGTCCAAAGTCTTGTGCATGGAGTCCAAGACTTGGGGGTTACGACCCATGCCAAGGTAGTCATTTGAGCACCAGACAGTCACACGCTCCTCGACAGAGGCAGTGTGGGCCCGAGGGAATTCTTTGGCGAGACGGTTGATATTATTGAAGTAGCGATAAGACTTGTCCTTGTGCTTCTTCTCCAATTCCACGTTGTAGAAACCATCGTAGTTGAACTTTTCGTTGGTTGGGGCTTCTGGGCGGGGACCGCGGACCGCAGTGCCGGCATGGCCGGGGGCGGCAGAGGACGCGCGGAGCGGATTGACCAAGTTAGGGTTTCCTATAAGTCAGATTAGAAACAGCTCGAAATCCAAGTCTCACAAACTCAATCTTACCTCGCTCGGTTTTCTCGTATCCGCCAGAGGCGAGACTTGCGGGATGCCCACTGGTGTTGTGCAATGCCCGCTTGGCAGTCGGAACCCGCACAGTCTGGAATGCGGCGACACCGGCGGCACGCGAGGTGAAGCGCTTGCTGCCGCTGAGACGGGCACTCTGAACCGCCAGAGCCTTGCTCATGACTGGGCAGCGGCGGCCCAGAACCTGCAGGTTGGACATGGTTCCACCTCCTGGGCTGGTGCTAGGACGAGTAGCGGTTGACAGAGTACGGAGGGTGGTGGGGGATGTGCGCTTGAGGAAAGGGCACATAGTGCGAGACTGCTGCAGTAGAGCCTCCATGATGAATTGAACCAAAAGGTATGAGAAACAAAAAAATGAAGACAAGAAATCCCCGTGAATTTAAGGAGAACAAGTCACCTCTCGACCAACGGAACCAAAGGGAAATTCAATCGGCCCAGGTGGGTCTGCTGACTCACACACAGGGCTTACATTTGACGGTCTCTGATTGGTCCATTGACAGACCCCGAGGCACGGATATTTCGTTCCGACGTGCCTCACTGCCGGGCTTTGCCACTTGGCAGACCCCGGGGAAATCGGCCCCTCGTGAAGGGGTTTTTTGTTCTATTCTATTCTACGGAAGTACCTCGGTAGCCGAAAGAGGTTGGAGCCAAAGTGAGACAACCAAAGGAAGAGAATGAGAATACGCTGCAAGCTCGTATATGCGTATTAGGTTCGGATTCGAGTGCTATTACCCGTCGACTTATTGATACGCATTACTTCCCAACTAAAAACCAAGGCCAGGTGCTTTGATCCATCTTTCCCTGTGTAGTACAACATGGACATTAGTACTACAAATTGAGGTGAATCTTTTCCTATATGGTACAGAAATCGACACTCCGCATGTTATAGCTGAGAGCATTTTGTCCTATAGCCTGCCAAGCTCGCTGTTATGTGATATCGTTGGCTTGGAGCAAGTCAACTATAAAATAATCACGCTCGTCTCCTGCTCGAATTCCGGGTGTTTTAGACATTCGGCTTAAAGTCACCAAGGATCTTGGTCTCGGAACCCATAAATGTACTGAGATTTTTAACATTAATTAGCATGGTGATAAAATTAAAACAGTTGAAAAGTATATACTCCCTGCTTTAGTTGATGTACAACGGCCCATGCTAATGTGAGCACTGGTACAGGCCATATGCTTCGTTTAAAGCATAGGGTTGTGCTATCATCAAATACGCCCATTGAATATCATCCAATATACTTACCCAATGACCCACTACGTAGTGAAGGATCTGGAATTTCTAGGAAGATCGGGAGAAGAAGATAGGAACAAGTTCTGAGGACAGTTTAATTGTAGAGTTTGTTGGACATGAAATGCTTGATGATTGTTTGATTCATCAGACTTGCATTTGTTTCTCTTTCTTTTCACTTTTTCTTCCTTTCACTTCTCTTTCGTCTACTTTTGCCTTCTGACCTAGGCCTAAAAACCCCCACAGTAATCTTCTCCATTAGAAGATGGCCTCTGCTCCTTCCTCAGTGACATCTTATGCTAGTCAGTCTAATACATTGTGATGGGCTCCTAGGTGCTCAGATATCTTTCCCGGTTCATCAACACGAACGCTTCAACAGTCCCGAGCTATCATATTATATCACCCGATGGAAGTAGAGGTAAGGCGAAGAATAAATTCTACTAATAGCCAAGTCACAGTCGCAGACTTTCTCAACTTCTATTACTGCCCAGGGTCGCTAGACGTGAGCTGACAATTGTATAAGAAAGGAACATCTTCAGGGCTCCATCTCGGCCTCTCCGCACTTACACCTTCTGTCAGCTTCAGAAATGAGTTTGATTTTGACGTTGGACTATATCCCTTGATCAAGTCTCACGACAGTTTCCGGCATGGGTTGGCGGGGAAGACAGCGTTCAGGATGAAGCCTCTGCCATCGAACTAATACGCCTTGACGCTCCAGCCAGCCAACTCACCCACATGCTACTATTATGTGAGAGGAAGAACTCTCATACGTCCTCTTTGATGGATACTCCACCAGGCTGATGAGCAGCAAGCGTGTCACTATGGTAAGTTTCCCCTCCTCTTCTTGCACGTATCATAAGAACTCAAAGATTCTGACAAAAAGTACAGGACATTCACCTAACTATTGAGGAATTCGCGGGCCACTTTTGAGCGAGATCTCAAAATTTACCAAATGCTGAGACGATGAGTCCCGGAAGTACTCATATCAAGACAACCATATCAACATCTCAACATCAATTCCAAGCTGCAGACCATAGTGTCTTCCGAGTCGTTAGGTCACAATTAAACATGTGGTCAGCCTAAAGGATCTCCTGGGTCATTCTGTTTACGCCACTACGTCTCTTACTTCTAACCCAGCCATTTGTGAGTATCCCTTCATCTGTTACAAACCTATGACAAAACTGACCTTTATCAAGGCGTCGACAACAGCAAAATATATATCATTTACAAACTTCATGGGTTTCTCCACATGTCTGGTGGCGAAAAGTTGCCACAATTCGATATTACCACCAAACTTCGAGATAGTATGAGTATGAACACATCATCTTGAAGTCGTCTACGATTAGGCTGACCGATAATAACATAGAGCAGGTCGCACTTGAGCAGAAATCGCAGATATAATCGACAAGTATACTGAAGCACTTTCTACCCACCGTCGTCGTTTGATGAACTGGTGCACCGGCCCCCGTTCCTCGTGGCCATGTCACTTCGAGAAGACCAATCAATAAATACACACGCTTCCTAGCCAATTAGTGGAATCATCCTCACATCCCCTACTCGGACACCTGATGTCCAGAAAGTTAGGTCTCATAAACAACAGCGAGTTACTCAAAAGATTAGTCCGACTCCGTTTCTACCGAATGGTCAGTTTCTCCACGTCGCTATTTCACCCTTGTTGGATCAAATAGCCTTCTTCAACTACTAAATTGACTTTCTGAAGGTAATAAAAGCGGGCGATTGAAAGATGAAATGGCATATTTTCACGGCAACTTGACCAAAAAGGGGGTGGACCTCGAGAATGTTTCTTGAAACATGGCAGAGTAGACATCTTTCTCGAATGGGGTATTCTCCCATACGAGAGGAATTTATATGGTGATCGAAATTCCCCCTCTCTTCACTACTATGCATCTTACCGCTCCTATCCATGCTTTTCTTCCTCGGATCGTCATCTCTTTCTAGCTAACCCATTTACATAGATCTCATTGCCTACAATCCTAGTGGGAAGAGCTTGAAAGGGCCATCAAGATGTTTAATAAGTTCGACAACCTAAGAGACGCCAGGTCACGCTCAGGCAGAAATTCCCACCGAGTTTATTCAATCCATTCCAGAGCATCATTGTTGATAGATACGGAAAGCAAACATCTGGTAAGCTCTATTACCTAAGATCAGCTATCCTTTATTCCTTGTACTAATCTAGTAGGGTTCGGTAAATTCCTCGCGACTCTTGATGCCTCCCATGACTGGCGCGGCATAGGAGTGCACAAAGCAGAAGAACTTCGATAGATCCGATCTGGGCTATAGGCGCCCTACAGTAAGATACCGCGAGGCGTTTTCCAATCTTTCGATATCTCTACAAACCTAGTCGAGTCTACACATCATCAAACAAACCTAGGAGGAATAAGAATATCAAAGAATGCACCAAGTACTTACTACCCATCAACATCAACCGCCGATCTTGTGCAGTATATCTGACTGATTACAGGGTCGAGAAAACCCCCGTATCTCTCAAACGGGGTGCCACGAATGGAAATTACAAATCTCTCGGCGATGATAATGTGTTTTCCATCTCCACCAACTTGGTAGTAGCGGTGCATCGATCGTGCTAATCAGATCCGACTCCGACATTACGGATTTATGCCACCGCTGCCAACCATTGGTGACACCACTCATATCACTCGAGACCCAAATGTCCTCAGTAGTGAGAAGATAGCTCAACACTCTCGCACCTGCGACCAATCCGAACGATGACTCCAGGGGGTAGGGATCTTTTGCGAGGTGATTGAAGTGCGTTTCTACACTACTCTATTACCCCCCATTCCTATCCCTCCTTTCCTTCAGATTATCATCGATTCTCAACTGACCTATATGACTAGTCCCGCAACTCAAATTTCCAAGACTCGTGCAAAAGACGAAAGAACTGTAAACCCATCCCACTGGAAGGAATGTAGCACGACGCAGGCTACTTACCAGAGTAGGGAAAATGGGAGTTCAGAGGTATCGACAGCTCCTGCTATCTTGATTGATTCTCAACTAATCTATATACCTAGTCCCGGGACTCCAAGGCCCAAGCCTCGCGCAAAAGACGAAGGGGATAGTACACACGTCTAGCCCCAAGGGATGCAACACGACGCAGGCTACTTATCAGCGTAGATAAGATGGCAATTCGTCGATCTCGACGCTTCCTGATCCTACAGGATAAGCAAAGATACAAACTCAACGAAAAGCAAGTTGAGAACGCTTGAATGCCTGTAACATGGGCAGAGTTCCGCCATGGGACCTACTGCGGTCCGAAGCAGAAGATGCTCAACATACATGAGCACTGAAAGCCATTGGCTGCGCCACCTCCTTCGAAGTCATGAATTCGCAGTCGGAATTCTTCAAAAAGAAGTAATAGGGAAGACAAAGGAGAGCATGTCCGCGTTGTTGCAGCCCCGGATTGAGCTACAACCCGGTGGAGTTGATAGCCAGGAGAGATAAATGAATGACGAGTATTCTTGTCTTGGTGTTTCGGTGCTATTATCCCTATTACAAGTGCCACTTCCATCGCATGTTTGAGGAAGTAGAGATTATCCTTTACATTGCACCCCGTGGATTGGTGAGAATATACTAGATCAACCGTGGGGTATCAATCCGGCATCATCATATGCGTAAGATTCAATATCAACTTATTTAGGATCGATCCATCACCAAAACTTAACATTTTGGGCCATGCTTCATCCAGTCATGAAGGATTCCGAAATCACTGTGATGCGAAACTAATATGGATTTAGGAGCCACCTTGGAGGGTCTCTGTGATTATAGATCTATACGGCTCGATGCTGCAGTTGGCCTAGGTCGCACAACTCGTCTAAAAGGCCGGGACTTGGCTATAGAGATTGGTGAAGATGGACCTCCCCAGATTAATGCTCCAAGACAACGAGAAACACAAGGAGAGGGCAAGGATTTAGACTCGACGACTAAGTCGAGAAATCGTTCTCAAAAATCGAAGCCTTGCTATCCCACGCGTAAATTCACCATCACACATTAGTACAGAGACCATTTGTTTCTCCTAGAAGTACACCATACTCACTACACTATCCTCGAACTCT